GCACTCCAACCTCTTGTAAGTCTGCGCCATACGAGCAACCATATACCCACACTCATTCATAGTCATCATTTCACCAGGACATCGTCTTGGCCCAGTGTTGTACGGTGTAAGACTCAGCCCCGGACGCATCTTATCAAAGCGGTCCGGGTTGAACTCCAAGGCGTCATCGCCCCAGTAGTCTGGGTCTTTGTACATGACTGCCTTGTTGATCTGCACAATGTTACCCTTGCGCACGCGCAAGGGCTGGTCGCCTTTTGGACCACCTCCTCGCGGGAGGGTCGTGTCGCGGACTGCAGCGCGGGCGATGAAGAGACCGACCGGAGTGATGCGATGAGCTTCTGTGAGAACGTTCTGTAGAAGCTTCATGCTGCGAAGGCTGTTAAAGTTCAACTCCTTGCCCTTGACCTCTTGACGGAGTCGCTCCCAGATCTCAGGCTGTCTAGCCAGATTCCACATCACATTGGACAGAAAAATCAGGGTAGTCTCGTTGTTGGGAACAAAGAGCAAACAGAGGTGAGATCTGACTTCATCGTCATTCGGCAACTCCCGAACCATGTGCCAGCAGACATCCCGTCTCTCCGGCCCAACAGGAAGACCCTTGCTGATGCGCTCCTCACGCTCTTTGAGTTCAGCACGGGCCTTGGCAATATGCTTGTTGACATAACTGTGAATTGTGCCAACAACCTTGTACCATGTCTTCCAAGGGAAGAGCCAGAGAACACGGTGTAAGAGAAGGCGAATTCTTGCATATGCCAAACCAGTGATGAACGCATCAGTAGTCTTATTTGTCTCCTCTTCAGTGACAATATCAGAGTAATCGCCAAAGAGGAACTGAAGATTGAGATTCAACGACCAGGTTCGTAGATGGGGAAACATATCAAAAGTCTCGCCGTCAGCAGGAATACCCGCAAAGAATCGCTCAGCAAAAGGTTCCATACGCTCAGTATTGGCATACCACTCTCGCATGAAGAATGGCTTGACAAGAGCCCGGGCAAACTCCCAGTCCTTGCCATCAGCGCCAACAATACCCTTCTCAGCGAAGGGCTGTCCTGCTTTGCTGTTGTAGCGAATTGGACCGACTTGAAAATCTGCAAGATTGTTGGCCACAGTCTTGAGGTTCTCAGGCTCAATAGTCCAAATCTGACGTCCACCGAGGAAGGTGAGGGCAAATGTCTTGGGCATCTTGGCGTGTAAGCTGTCCAGCCATGGGACGTAGCGGTTGTTCTTCAGAGCTAGTAGCATAGCAATGAAGGCGTCAACGCCATAGAACGGATCCCATTGCCAGAGAGTTGGGACATGACCGAAGCCCATTGCCTTTTCTTGCTGTCTCTCAGCGACATATTTGATGAAGGATGTGAAGGCAAGGACAGCAACAGTGGAAGATAAGATAACGGGTATAGATGTAAAGTCAACCCGGGAAGGGATGTCAGCAACAAAGCCTGGTATGTCTGTGAAAATGCCAGGTAAATCGGCAATAAAGCCTGTAGAGTTTGACATATTGTCTTGTGTTGCTTCTAGTCCCAGACTTGGAAGCGCAGTTTTGTGAAAGTCATTGTGCTCTGGTAAAGCTGCACATATGTAATGCCTTACTCACCACTGGTCGTTGACATCGCCTGATTCTCAGAAAGAAGGCTGACGGGGAAAGGTACACACAGTGAAAGTACCTGTCCCAAGTCTCCTGCACGACTATCATGTTCTGATGCACGCAGCTGCCAGGGAAGCGCTGACGCCCGCCCACTTCATGTCTAGGCATCTCACCTCTTCCCGCGTCCATCAGCCGTGATCATACCATCTTTACGCTAGCCGAGTATCCTCTGAATCCCATCACAATCCTTCCAACTCTATCATACAGTAATCCTACTGCCTCGCTCAAGACGAATGGCGATTGGCCCTCTTAACGCAGGAACAAATCCTAGTTCTTTACGCCGTAATCTCGCATGTAGGAATCTGCAGCAGGCAATGTGCCGTCATGCAAGATTATAAGCGCACGTTGACAACATCAGATCATATGTGTGGATAAAGCTAAGCGAGCATCAGATCATGCTTGCGTTAATCCAAACCTTCCAAGCCCCCCCTGAATGCCGTCTTGCCGGAAACCTAGAAATGCACAGTCGTGTATGCACATAAGACAGATGCAACCCAAGAAACTGTGGAGCGGGTTGTATCAGATATGGGCCGTCCCGCTTGTAAGCCGGGAATGCTGTTCGAGGTATGGATAAGAGGATAAGGTTATATACACACCTTGAGCTACAATGCCTGTAAAATAAGAATACAACTCTAAGATATTAATTTAAGAAATTGTAGAGTATTTTATTAAGGTAAGATAACTAAAACATTATAAAAAGTATATATCTTTTATATTACTATATGAAAATAGTTTATAACTTATATTATAAATTATTTACCCATCCTTTTATTACTACTTTAGTTTACTTAAACCCTTTTATTTTATTTATATATTTTAAATAACTTCTAGTATTATAGTAGTAAGTATACTATATTAAGTATTAAGTTTTTATTTTATTAATTTAATTAATAATTATATAACTATACAATATTTTATTAAAATTTTAAATAAATTCTTTAAACCTTCTATTTCGTAGCCTTTTACTATATAACTTAAACTCACCTAATTTATAATCTCTCGAATAATTAGAAGCTAATACCCTTATACTTATTCACGGCCAGACCCCCCTTATCAGTCAGTTTACGGCCCATTATAGTATAAGAGCTCACAGTAGAACACCCAACAAACATTCAGTCCAGTAAAGTAAGCCCACTGGCATCATATCATACAGCATTGCATACCCATCATGTCCCAATACGCCGCCACAGCAAGGACCCTCTCCCGAGCCCCTCTCGCCGGAAAGGCCTTCGCCCCCGCCCTCCCAACTCTGGGTAGCGCAGCACCCCCATACCAATCCAAGTGGAAGCGAAATGCACCTGTGCCGCTTTCGGGAGAGAACTTCCTCGATGTCCTGTTTAATCGGACACCTGTAATCAAGCAGCCTGGCTTCCTCGATCGTGAAGCATGTTTTGCTCATGAGAAGGCGTTGAGTCATAGGATTGCACCGTATAGGTATTACACTGGGCCACTTTTGCAGAGGGTTGGGTGTGCGCAGTTTGAGTATCAGGCCCAAGCTGCCGCTGACTTTGAGAATCGCAAGAATGGTATGTGTGATCAAATTCTCTACAGTATATAGAGTGATCTAACAGTATTCGTCGATAGAAAAAGAAGAGTACTTCAAGGTCGCACAGTCTCTGAGTGGGCTTCATCAAGAAGTTGCAGACCAGACTGGAGTCAATGCTTGGAAGAAAGTCATTGGAACTCTTCGAGCTTTACTACCTGAATATGAGATCGTTCGTGCATCAGAAGGGCCAGGAAAAACATACTTCTCAGGTAACTTCCGTGCTCTTAACGATTCTACCTGTCTTCACTGCGACTGGACACCATATGATGCCGCTACTGAGGACTGGATCATCAATCAGGTAAGCCTCTCCTATTTCGGTGCACCCTTCTTATATCTCTTGGCGTATTCGCATAACTAACCGACTTTTCAGGTCACTCATCAGGCTGTCTTCAATTTGTACATGGCGCCCGTAAAGGGTGGCAGAACTTGGGTTCATGACGTTGAGTGGAGTGAGGAGTGCTTGAACTTTAGAGATCCTGAAACTTATGGCTATCGTGATGAGATCATTCATGGTCGGCAGAATGTCGTAGTGAAGCCGGAGGTTGGTGACCTATGGTTCTTCAACTCAAGGAACATGCATCAGGTTGAGAAAGTTGAGCCAGAGCCCTGCCCTGAGCTCGGCCTGCCGTACAGACCACGACTATGTCTCAGCAGCTTCATTGGACTTCTACCTGAGAACAAGACTGGAGGCCGTCCTCGATTGATACTGTGGTCGTGAAGTCTCAAAGTCAGGGTGCAAGTCGGGGTTGAAGATAGCATTGATGCTAGTGGTAGACCCAGTTCCTGTTGGTCGCAGTCATCGTGCTGGGACAAAGATACCAAACAAAAGGATGCAGAGTTTGAAGAGACGAAATGTGAGGCTTGAGTGATTGCAGATGATGAGAGGAATGTAGGGAGGAGCGACGAGAGCTTCAGACACCCGGGCTGTTAGAGGCAATGGGTCTTTCCGAAATGTAACGAAAGGGGCCAGGGAACCTCATATCAAGGCAATCGCAAGGAACAAGGTTCAAGGTTCAAGGGGAAAGTCCAACGCCCTCTGCATCAATGTGATACCAAAGGTAATATCGTAACGCCAATTTTAGTTGCAGCGCCCTCAGGGTGTAAGAAGACTTCTGACGTTAACTAAGGTATTAAAAATACTTAGTCTAAAGTCCTCTATATCTTTACTAAATTACCTATACTAAGTTTACCTATACTAAATTATACTAAGTCTACCTATGTTTACTTAAGTTTACCTAAGGCTTTTTTATTACCTAGGATCAAGGTTCTAAGTTTTATTATATCCCCTTAAGCGCTACGATAGGAAGCTAGGGTAGCCTTTTTATCCCTTGGAAAATGTATTTAGAGTTCTCTTTGCCTTGTACATCAGACGTAATTATTATCAGAGTGGTTGAAAGTTTATCTTGGACTGCCTACATTGAGTTTATAAGAGTGTTTTTGAGAGTTAATGGCCTGATAGCTGATGCTCACATCACGTGCCTCACACGCAACAGGCCCTCTCTTGTCACCAGAACTACTTCCAGCGAGAAAGAAAGATTCTGACATGAAGAGCCGGTACGTAAATAAGCTGGCGTAGAGGCTTGACAACATACAACAAATTTCTCCAAAAATTTCTTGTCACTTGCAAATGAGGTCCTGAATCTTCTTACCTATCACATAGTTTGAAAACAAATGCACAAGCTTCCTTTACGAGTCGTGTCCACTGCAGAGAACACATTTCAAAGCTCACAGTAGATCAACAATTATGGTGGTTAATCTTTCGATATTTCTATGTAGATCTTTGACAATAACATGCGACACGATTCCGTGCTAGAGAGAGTGGTCAACAAATCGAATCACCTTTCGCCCTGTCCCGCTCAGCTCAAACCCAAGAGCATCATTGACAAATGTAACCTTGAATTTATGCTCATTCAAAGAAGTGAAATGAATATAAGCCTTTAGCCGGTCTAAGAGGGTCTGCACTGTATCCCCCGAGCTCTGGCCACTCAGCAGACGAATCTCCAACGAAACCTCTTGTGACGGTTGCATCTTGTCTAGTATCACCTGCCACAGAAGTACCCCTGACTGAGGATCAGATAAGATGTCATTGAGCTTGTCGAACTGAAAGTCGCTTCCGTCCCACATGAAACTGAAACGGTGGTCGCGGCCTCGCAGGCGAAGAATGCGATAATGAGGTAGATCATGTTTGGCGATGCGATCAACGGCCTTTTGTGGTAGAGCATGAAGGGAGCCGATGTCGCCAGTTATGTAACGTACCACAGGGTGGCGTAGACGTGTCAGAACCGTTTGTGCGATGACACCTGTTTCTCCGTCTGGCAACGGTTCAGGGATCCTGTCGCTTTCACTCCCCGCGCAAGATAGAGGTAGGATCTCAATGATTGCCATCCGTGTATCAATAATGAAGTCATTATAGTTCGAGCAAGGATCAAAGTCAACGAGAAAAGGGCTGCTTGCTCCATACGGCCCGGCCTCTGCACTTCCGATTATGGAGTATATGGTTACCGGACCCAGCACTCTATAGATCTGCTCTCTTTGTATGGCAGAAAGCCCTTCTGATGTGTAGATTACCTTATCGATCTTAATACGCTTCTTCAGGTCCGACAAGGTCGATATATGGTGGACAATTGATACAATCAGACTGCTGTCCCCAGTGAGGACGTTGACGTTGAAGTCTTGCAGTATCTGTACCACCCTGTCAGGCGGACATTGGTGCCCGGCACCTAGCACAGAAGCTTCAGCATTCTCCAGGATCTCCAGAGTTAGATCTAGGGATCTAGGGGTATGTAAGCGGCGATGTTTATTTGATGGCATTCCTTGCATACCTGTATAAGTTGCCGCTGTCATGCATCGACAGAACCCAGTCCCCACGCTCAATGATGCCTATCTTCTTCAGATACTCACCAAAGAAGGCCCTATGCCGACGATTCTCGAGCGCATCTGTCGCGAAGAACAATGGTTTTGACAGACTTCCTCCACCACCCGTAACGCTGGTGTAGGCATTGTTGCGATACGTGTTTCTCGCGTCGGTGTCGTTGATTAGCCGTTCAATTACGCTATATCTGATGCTATCAGATAACGCCCATAGAATGTAAGAAAGACTTACAAATTGGTTTTCCGAAGCAACGGCCACGACTTTAAATCAGCTCTTTCGTACTTCGTTGCCGCTTCCTCTCTTGCAAACTGGATGGTGTCATCGTCTGGTGGGTACTGAGCTGAACTGTAGAACGGATGTATTCGTGCAACAGCAAGTACGTCTGCCAACGAATATGTTGGGCTGGGGGACATCCTGTTGTGTCACCAGCGAGCTCCGACTGTTTTTGTCAAGGCAGTCTCCGTAGTCTGTTCCCGACGGCAATGTTAAATTCTTTAACCATGAAAAGCACTGCAGTGTTTTTTAATCTTGTATTCTGCTGCCGAGAAGTTTGAAAGGGATATGTATGATAACATCGGCTAAAGCTGCCTCGAAAGTCCGTCCGTGTATCATTGACATGGTTTGAGCTGTGAAATGTCTCGGAAGAGGCCCTGCCCGAGACACGGCTGAGTCCGAACATCCGTCATATCCTACTCTGACATTGAGCCCGTGAAACACTCAGCCAATGCATGTCTTGTGTTACCGTAACTGGGGGGATCCATGTAAAAGCAGCAATCCATGCTGGGAACTGGTCGAAATGTCCCGAGAGGCTGAACACCTACAAGTTCATTGGTACATTAACAAGCTCTATTCAGCTATTGCCAAATACGAAGTTGTTTGATGCAAGTTTCGTGGTCCGGCTGGCACTAATGTTCATGCAGATGCGAGCCTTTTCTTAGAAACCTGTCGGATGGCCTACGTGATACGGAGGCATTATCTACAAAGAGGCTTATAGCGATCTATACAACTAAAAACGGCCTTTTAAAGCACAAATATTTGTATTTTCCCTATTAGACCTATTGGTTTGTCATACCCCTCCCCGTTCTAACTTTCATCATTGGACATATTGAATGGTCGTGCATCCCATCTCACCCTCCGAAGGTGGCGCTCTGGATCCGCAATCTCGTTCCGCGCATGCATCCATCGGCGGTTGTCCATCAAGATAATCGACCCTTTTGGCAGATCGGACGATCCCAGATGCATGGTCGAGGAGGCCTGTACTTCACGTCGCACCAATACTGCGCTCAGCTCTTCCAATGCCTTTTCAGCCCGAGCAGTCAGTGGCGCAATAATGTCGTGTCTATAGCGAATAATAATCGAGTGGAGATCTGGGGCGAGAATGCTGCCAGTGGTGAATGATTTCTCGGGGTCCTTGATGAACTCGGGTGGGATTTGCATCCGGAACTCGGGCGCCATCAAGGTTTTTCGTGTTTCCGGTGATAGAAACTCAATGAGGCTAGCTACGTTCATCGCAGACAGTGTGCCGCCTCCGTACCGATCATGTTGTAGCACCTGGAGGGCGAAGTATCGCGGCAGTGGATCCTCATAGCTACAGTCGGTGTGCCATGAGAACTCGCTCATAGTTTCGGACCGAGCATGATGAGCTCCTGTAGTGGAGGCCGGTTTGGGCCGCACATCCCAGAACCAGCCTCTTGTCGCACTATGAGCGATAGGCAGGTGATGACCATGTTGTTTGTGCATATTCAGGATAAGATTCCGCAGGTAGTCACAAGAGTCATCAGCAAAGCCCAGACGAATCTTGAGCAGGCCGGAAGTCTCAAGCTCTGATGCGACTTTGCAAACATGTCCAGGGTCATGAGCATAGGAGATATGAGGTGCATCAACAACCCGAAGACGATGCTGTAGTGTGCCATGGGAACGAATGAAATTGCGAGGGGATGTCGGTCTAAGGGTGACGAATCTTGTAAGACGCGAAAGTCTACACATCGTAGCAAAAGACATGGCAGGAGGGGTGATGGAACAAGATCCTGAGATAACAGACTCCTTTGAAGAAAATGAATTTATTATCGCCCTCAGCCTAAGTACGTACTAGAAGGACCTGGTTATGACTCTGGCTTGACATTGCTATTCTGTGGCTGCCTTCAGGTCGACACCACTTCCGTCCTCGTCGTGGCTTTTTTGTTTCAGAGAACACGATAAAGCAATGGTGGATGTTGACCTGGAAGTGTTGGACGAAAATGAAAGCCAAGTCTTTCCACATGATGCCCCTTCTATAGACATAAATAGCCTCAGGCAGTGTCATGCACCATCTTATATGTTAGACTCACATCGGAAAGTTTCGTCTTATACTATGCAAATTGAACAGCTTACACAAATTCACATCCGGGACGATCTTGGGGAGGTTCGGTCCATATCGCAACAGAACTCCGATGCGGCATTCTTCGCTAATGAGGAAGCTCGGTTCCAGGAAAGGTTACTGAAGCTATGCCCCGCGAATCTCTGGCACAAGGCTTCTTACACGGCAGGATGCCCACGACCTGTACTAGTGGGTCGACAACACCAGCAGCAGCTGAAACATCTTCATGAAGCTTTGACAGCGGCGATTACGGATGTTGTGCAACGCTGGTGGAGTGATGGAGATGCACGGTTCCCAGAACGTATGCCACTAGAGGCAGAGGAGGAGGAACTTCTGCAAGTACGTCCAACATATTATCGTTTGAGACATGAATAACAGAATGAGGCAGTTGCTGACACGTCATATAGTGGATCGAGGGCCAGGTCATTATCGGAAACCTGCCGCAATTCTCGCAGTGTCAGGGATCATGGCGTCCAGACTTTCTGGTAGAGGACAGTAGCCAGCGCGAAGAGAATTACTGTGTTACAGAAATCAACGCGCGCTTCTCCTTTAACGGATTCATGCACGAGGCTTATGGCCAGGCGGCAACCAACGAGAGCTTAGAGAGCGCGGGGACGGTGCTTATCCCCGCAACTGACCCGGACACTGTAAGACAATACCAATGCACCTTTCGTTTATTTCTTTTGACGTGAGTAGATATTGGAAGGGCTTTTCAGCTTGTTCGATCCCGAGTACCCGCTCCATCTTCTGAAGGGTACCGAAAGAGGTATCGACATCCACATGTTCATTGATGCCGTCGAACATCGTTTCGGGGCAAAGCCACGACTCATTACACCCGCAGATCTCAGACTATTCCCCGATGCACGCAGCAAAAGCGGGTTCCGGCTGTGCTGCGCCATACAAGATCGCGATGGCCAAGTCCCCAATACCTGGCGATTTGTATCCCCGCACGGTGAGATCTACGAAGAGATACATCAGGTTGGGCTTGAGCTACATCAGCGGGAACTCCTCGCTCTCGAACCGGAAATGCTGCGTCAGATCTCCTTGCGGTGTTTCAATGATATGCGAACAATCCTTCTCGTACATGACAAGCGAATGCTGGGCATTTTGAGACAGGAAATCCCGCAGCTATTGGCCCGAGGAGTAGTTACCGCAGGTCAAGCTGAAGCCTTACGTCTCGGCCTCGTGGAGACACTACTTCCCGGTTCGAAGGAGCTGAAAGGTCTGCTGGAAATGTCCCTTGCTTCTCCCGATTTGAGACACAGCTACATACTCAAGCCAATCCGCAGTGGCAAAGGTAATGGCATCATTTTCGGAGACGATGTTACGGCACCCGAATGGGCATCCCTTCTTCAAGCTCTCACATCTCCCAGCGGTGTTTCCGCGGAGCTGTGCGTGGTACAGAGACTCATCACTCCGCGTGAATATGATCTAGTGTTGCGCGCTTCAAAAGGAATGGTTCGATATCCTCTGGTGGGTACGTATCATGTTTCAAACGGGAATTTGCTCGGTCTCGGGACCTGGCGGGCGAGCGGAGGCCGAATTGTTGCTGTGTCATCTGGAGGATCTTGGATTTGTTCAGTCATGAAAGCTGAGAGAGAAGTTCGGGAAGAATGAAAGGCTAGTTGTCTTTTCTTTCCACTGAACTTTGCTTATCATTCCTAACAGACCCTGTGTGGTACCTATCAGATACACCTTCGACTATCTACGAAGACCTAGATCACATTGACTTGTTTTCCAGAAGATAGCCATTTGATCTTATCTCCCAAGCCTCCTGACGTAAAGATCTCTTCCAAATCCTTGCCATCCTGCGTAAAGTGCGCCCATGACTCAAAATGCATGGGAACAAGCATACCAGCCTCCAAAACCTCCATCATCTTCACAGCATCCTCGCCACCCATTGTGATCTGCACGAACCCAGTGGGGCTCTTGGGGCTTGGTAGCATTGCCCGCCCAAGATTCGTGAGTGCAACCACGACGTGATATTTTTCACGAAGCTTCCTGAACTCATCCTCAATGAATACAGTATCCTCAGTGAAGTAAAGTACATTTGGGCGTCCATCTGTGCTGGTACCGAAAGAGGTTTTGTGCAAGAGAAAAGCCAGTTACTTCGCCGCCTGGGACATGGACGCATGGAACACCAGTAATGCTCCATTCTTTGCCTCCAAGCTGAAACTTCAGCGTTTGCCACGGCTTGATAGCGCATGTGCCAGGATAGTCAGATAAGTTCTTTGCACCATCAGGCGTGGTAATGACTCTGCGGCCGATGAGGAGTTGACGGCCTGTCTCATCCAGGTTGTCAACTTGATCTTCATGACTGAGCAAGACGCAGTCTATGATGGGGAGTTTCCTGATTGGTATAGTGGGACCTTCTTGCATGGTGAGGAAGAATTCGCCTGGCTTTAACCCAATCGCTTATGGCCGGTCATGGCTCTGAGCAGCATCATCGAAAATAGGATCAGTGATGAACTTGACACCATCGATCTCAACAATCGCGGTTGCGGTTGTAATGTGAGTATGGTGACTTTGCTGTTGAAGCTGTCCGGAATTGTCATTTTTAAATGTCGTGTACTGTGGTAGAATGATTGAGTTGGAAGTTATGCGGCCAGCTTTGTTCCAAGCTGCAACAGCTTCAGATATACGGCAGGCAAGATCTGGATGTCGTTATCCATTTATCAGCTGGCTGATAAATTTAACCCCGAGAGAAATAAGATTTCTTTGGCCGTGATACTGCAATGACTGGTAGTTTCGGGCATGTTTGGTAATTTTTCCGTCTCGGTTGTGTGTAGCTCGGTGACCTATGTTGAAATAGTGGATCTAGGCCTCACTCACAGCTTGGGCTTGAGATCTTCAGGATTGAATCAATAGTTTATGCACAACATAATTCTATCACACATTTACGTAAATAGAAAAAAAAAACACTCGAAGATTGCGTTTCTTACATTAATAAATGAAATTATCTGCAACAAAGTCAGACTCTTTGTGTTCAGTAGCGCGATACCATCTTCGCCGCTGACAGGACCATTCCCACCACCAGAAAATGCACTCATGTAAGAAACCCGAGCACTTCAAGACACAATATCTGATTACTCTTCAGGCTTACGGCCCCAGACAACCCGCTGCTTGTAGTAAGGATGGTGTTTGCCCGAGTGTATCTCCCTCCGAGCATGTGCAAGGAAGACATGAATTTCCGACTCCGTCCAACCGATCGTGTTGGCGACAAAAAGCACAAAACCTTCAGGGTCGGCCAGGAACGCAAGCTTGCCGAACTGACCCAGTTCCTTCAGGGCTGGGTCTTTGGGCCAGCCACCGATTGGAGTCTGCAATCGAATGTTATCAGACATTGTCCACGAGTTCAAAATGGTTTACTCACCTTGTACTCGAATTGCTGAATATCAACAAAGCCAGCAGCTTCCATGGCCTTCCGCTGTAGCTCTTCTTCATACACGGTGAAGCTCACACCTAGCTTCTTGGCTCCCTCGATGAACAGCTTACCCCACTGGCCCAGTGCAGAACTCTCCTTCACGGTGTCGTCGTCGCTGGTGATGATACCGGAAGGTTCGAAACTCTCGACCCAACCACCTGGCTTGCAGGTCTTGTAGGCCTCGCGGAAGAACTTGTACCAATCGGGGATACTGCCGATGAGCCAGCGGATGTGAATGTAGTCAGCTGAGTCGGGCGCAAATGTCCACTCTTGGGTACAGTCTTCGATCTCACTGAGACAACATGTTAGTATGTGCAATTGGGGATTTGTGGCCGTTTCAGGTGACTCACAATTGCAGGTTCGGTGGTACCCAGGAGGGCTGAATTGGCGATACATCGGTGCCGATAACCTCAACGTTGGGATACTCATCGGCAAAATCTCTGCCAAAGGTCAGCGCGCGTCTTGATCGCTTTTTGGAGACCTACAAAGCCCAGATACCTGGATGGCATGTTAGCTAGCACACAGCATAATCGAGGTAGTTTTTACGTACCGGTGCCTGTTCCAATATCAAGTGCTTTCTTTTTTAATCTGTCAGCTTTGAAACATGCCTGCGAGGTCTTCGCTCATCACTCACTATAATTTTCTCAGTGTCAAGAGGAGCGAGGTGTGTCTTTCCTCCAATACCCAGTGTCAGACAGTGGTGGCTAGGGAAGATCAGTTATCGTTCATGAATAGGATTCGCGCAACCTACTTGATGTCGAGCAGTTCACTTTGTCTTTCATCGTTTGCAGCCCTATGTGCATGAGCCTCGGTGCACGACGAATGCATACCGGAATATCTTACCAGTACTGTGAACTGCCAATTTCCCTATGATACGTCCTCCCATGAAGTTTGCGGTATTCGAAAATACTAGAAGACACTGAATCTGTTGAGGACGCGAGACTTTCTCCGCTCAGCGAATGAGCATCGTCGTCACCATTGGCATTCTCCTCCTGGGATTGAGTCAGCATAGTATGCATTTAAGCGACCAACATGAAACCCGTAAGCTGTTGTTTGTCGGCCTTATCTCACCTCGGCAAGCTGCTGCCAATGCGTAGGTTCCAAAATGCCGGTATCCCCAACATTCACCTGCGCATGCTGAGGGGGGCTTTTTGAGGGGCTCTTTGATGAGGGACTTTTGCCAGTATTCTTGACAGGACTTTTCTCGCTCTTGGGGCTCATCGCAGCCGCTGGCGGTGTCGACATTTTGAGTCCTTATATCTTTGTCGCGGACACCTTGTTCGTTGGGGTCTTTTTAGCTTTTGGGAGCTTAATATAGCGCAGAGTCTATGTGGGAAAAAGAGAGAACCCGAAAAAACAATCTGGGAATTTTCGGTTGGGGGAAATAATGATAAGGTAAATTTGTTCTACTCCATATTTGGGGGGGGTTCAGCGAATTATAGTGACGAGACTTGGTGGTAGACGAACGAATGAGATGCTTGGCCGAGGGTTATTAGTTGATCAGCATGGGGAGACGTGTCAGTTCGTACAGGGTTCGAGGTGGGGGATCATGCATCGTTTTAGTGGTATGTACGTACAAAATCTGCTAATGACAAGATCAAATCATATCATGCATGTTTGAAGTCGTTTTGAATGATGGCAGCGTCAGCTATATAGTGCAAGCTCGAGTGTCCCCATTCATTAACTCTTTATCTCAGCTTGTTTAGAGGAGGCTTCTCATCGCGTCGCTCACCTATACGATGACTAGGTCGACATGGATATCATGACACTAGCCCGATATGGCATGACATGAATTCCCTAACCATTATCCTGGGCTAGATTCGCTGACGCAGTCAAGAGGAGTTGATGATGCGATTGCTTGCATCGAGACAGCTACCATTGCGCTGCGGTGCCAGCAGATAGAAACCCATCTGGAAAACATCCTTGAATTATACCTGACCATCAACGCTTGCTAAAAGTTCCTCCTCCCAATCGTCATCGCTCTCGTCCCATTCAGCAGGAGGTCCTGTACCATCATCGCCATCAAACCAGCACCCCTCCCCAAGTCTCGCCTCGCTGGCAATACCCTTTTTCTCAAGAAACCTCATGAACCGATAGCCAGGTACATCTCCAATCGGCTCACCACGTTCCTTTGACCCAACGACAATTCCTTTCAGATAAACGCGCTTCAATGCAGGAAACTTTCTCTTCGACAAAACTCCTTGGAGCATAATCATCAACCTCTCGCTACCGAGACCGTCCTGATCACTTCGGAAGAAACCCTCAGCTTCATCGACAGCACCGTCTCCATGCTCTATGCCAATTTGTTGCTGTACTGAAAGTGTCTCGAGTGTTTTACATGAGGCTTGTAAGATATTCTCCCAATCTTTATGGGCGGAAACCTCGTCAGTTGTTGACCAGAAGTAGCTGACCATTCTTGCTGACAGGTTACTCTGTGATGGCTGACAGAGATGTAAATGTCGTAGTCGTGGCAATCTTAATGACTGCGCATCTTTGTGAGATGGTAAGAAGCCGGATAAGGGTCTGGGTATGGCAGCCCATCCACGGAGTCTACCATACGTAGGATCCTCGGGTGGGCTGTAGATATCTTCAGTAAAGCGTGGAAAATCGTCCCCAATAGTTGCTCTCGATTCTATCGGTTCATCGAGTAGCCCGAGCTCCAGTCGCTCGACGGTTGAGCATGACCGCAATATCCATTTGACAACGGCCATCGGTACATAGCCATCGAGCTTTGCGTAGCGGAGCTTCCGAAGTGTAAGATCAGATGAGCAAAATGACCTATGCTTTTCCTGGTCGAAGTACGAGGGGTCACCATAGAGTTCAAGAGTCTTGAGGTTGTTAAAATACGGTAAGATTTGCCAAAAATCTATCTTGGACCGAACGACTGTGCAGATAGACTCAACTCGTGAGCACAATTGTTTCAGTCGACCTATGTCCTCAAGCAACAGATCCTGTAACATCTCAAAAAAATTCTCTGACTTGCATTGGCCCGGGTATTGAGTGTCACAGTGGTAAAATCGTTGTGATGCAGTTATCATGGGCGGCGGCCGTTTCAAGTCGGAAGCCTCGTGGAATGTACGATGATGGAATTCGATATTGGTCCATAGTAGCGGTTCAAAAAGTCTATAGAGCCTTTTAGAAGCCCGGGATAGCTGGGTGAGTTCGTGCGTTGTGGCATTGGCGATAATAATGCTGACAATCTCATCAGGTAAGGTATCCATTGTTGAGGGGTGTCGTGAGCGAGGTCTGACAGCAACAAAAGAGTATATGAAGGAAGATGAAAGGAAAGAAGAAGAATGGAGGGTTTATCTACAATCGTGAGCATTGACGATATTAAAACAAGTCAAAGCTTAGGCGGTCAATGACTCAGACGGGGAGCTATTGTTGTTCTGCATTAATTAATTGAAGGACCAAAGCCCCGCAATCAAGGCTGAAGCTGGGGCGATGCATCATGCGACAATAAACTGTCAGGTACATACCCTAGACCAGTTAGTGGTCTGCCACGATTTCACCCACAGAACACTTCTTAAAAACGTTCCATTATTGGGAAGCTTCAAGCTTAATACTCCAATTGTAAGTCCGAACTGAATTCACCACTGCCCTGTCATTTATCGCACACCAAAGAATCGATCCTGCGGTCTGCCAGCATCCTTCAGAATGCCGTCCATGTGACAACTCACAATGCTCTCGGAGACATTCCCTAACTCCGAAAGATTCTATCAGAATGGACAATGAGTAAGACGGAGTTCTAGGTTGCCTCTGGATAAATCTGACTTTGAGCTAAATCTGCTAAATTCGCAATTTGATCAAGCCCCGCTCTCTCAACGACGTACGGTGACCCAAATTAAACATGTCTCCCCCGCTACGCAAAGTAGCCATACTCGGCGTAAGTAATCATGGCCAGTAGTAGAGCCGAATGACAAATAACAATTTCTAGGCCTCGGGCCGCCTTGGTGCCTTTATCTTCAGAGCATTGCACCAAAGCAACAAGTTCGATATCACCGTCATCAGTAGATTCAGCTCCAAGCCAGCCGAGTATCCTGCCCCGACCAAGGTCGTTCATGTTCACGATGAGTACCCACCACGCGAGATGGTAGAGGCCTTTTGTGGCCATGATGCTGTGGTGCTGGCTTCGGGTTTAGTAGCCGAGGGTTACCTTATCGAGCTCGCTCGTGCTTCTGTTGAGGCCGGTGTCAAGAGATTGATCGCTTCGGGTTACGGCGCTGACAGCGCCAATGAAGAAGCCGTAAAGGTCTTTCCCGTTGCAGCTGCAAAAGCGCGCATGATTGAGCATCTCAAGGGTCTCGAGCAGCCTGGTTGGTCTTGGACTGAGATTGCTTGCGGACCTTTGCTAGATATGTGAGCTCATTCAACTTTCGAGATGAATGGCTTTTGTTAATAACATGATATAGGGCCGTCCAAGTCGGGTTCTTCGGTATTAACCCTGAAGCTAAAACAGCTGAGGTCCTGGATGATGGAAATGCCAAGTTTACCGCTACTACCCGTGATGGTGTCGGCCAAGCTGTCGTTGGCATTCTCAGTCACCCAGAAGAAACAGCGAATCGCATTGTCTATATCTCGTCGACAGAGCTGTGTGTGAATGACGTCCTAGAGGCCGAGCAAAGGCTCGTCGGTAGGGAAGGATGGAAGATCAAGCATGTCAAGACGGATGAAGAGATCATCAAGGCAAACAAGGTCGTGGCTACAGCCACCGAAATGATGCCCAGAATGATAGCTACTAGAAGATTGGCACTGGCAGTCACTGTTCAAGAAAGATGCGGGGCGAATTTTGAGAAACGGGGTATCCTCGACAATGAGTTGTTGGGAGTACCGCAGGAGATCATCCAAGAGGTTGTCGCGCGAGTTAGGATCGGGCGCTAAAGTACGTCTGTTGGGAATACGGAGACCAGAGTGAGATTGGTTCTGTCAGTTGTTTCTGTAGATAATTAAATGTTCTGGTCCAATATGTGGGCATCGTACTCTCCTCGTTGCGGAGTTGTGCAACAATGTTTCTCGATGCCAATATGTCGAATCAACCAACAGAAGTGGATAAACTTATCCCACCAGTAACTTCTGGCCTGTGCAGGGCAGTCCTTGGCTAATGATATGATTTGCCAGCGATACTTTTAAGATGAGGGGAATGCTCACGTGTGGAGAAGCGTCGCATCTAACTCGACCCATATCCGGCACTCAACTTCAGCTGACGTATCCTCAGCCTGATATCTTGAATGCGATTACCTGCGAAAGAATAGCAAGAAAGAACTCAAGCCGGTTCAAGTTGAAGTTGCACACAAATGCTAGCAGCAGCACGAGCAGAACTTGCGTCTGGTGATTCAGGCGCTGGGCAAAATGGTACCTCCACAAAACCCCCCAAGAAGCGCGTCCGCAATTTCACGGCAGATGATCGAGCTGCACATCGCATCTTTGAGAAGAAACGCCGGGAGCTATTTCGAGAGCGCCTCAATGTGAGACCAGTCCTTTATTCTGTACTAAGTGTTGTCTAACGCTTTGTTGTAGGACTTGGCGAAAGAACTGCCTGCGCTAGCTGGGAAGAACCCCGCCAGGCTGTCAAAGCACGACGTGATTGATGAGAGCATAAACCGTCATCAGCTAGAGCGCGGTGCCTGCCTGGATGTGATACAAGCTTATAGAGCTTTGCTTCAGGAGCGGGATGACTTGCTGGGCGAGGTCAATACCTGGCGAGCTACTGCTGCGATGCCTAAACGTCATGCTACGAGCAACCAGATGAACCTTGATGAGCTGGGCAAGCTGGAGACCAGAGTTCGAGGTCAACAGCCAGAAGTCATTCGCGCAGATGTCCAAGAGTTGGCTCCGGTGGACACAAGCTATACCATCGTCAACGATCTGACTTCCCAGCCTTCTTTCTCCCCTCCGACCAATTCTATTCATCCAGCACCAGTACCCCACCCAGCCTTACTAGGCACCGAAGAGTCCAGTCTGATTCAAAACTCGTCATTTGATCCAGCTGGACCCTTACCTCATTCTGATGAGCTCATCAACCAGACTATGGCTCTGATGGAGACGCAACATTTACCAAATCAAGTTATGATGATGCCACTAAAGAATATGACGGAGCCCACTGTGGATGCAATCGTAGAGCCACAACTGGAGAATGGCAGGCCAATCTCTAACATGCACGACTTCCTTACGGACACCTCAGGCGATCACATCTCTCTCACAGGCTGGAATACCGACTTTCCTCTTTCAGCGATGGACTTTGGGCCAGACACGACACTTCAACAATATTGTTTCTAGTAGTCTTGGGTAAATTGCTTGACGCTCATTTTGGGCGATATGGAGACTTATTTACACCTTTGCCAGCATGGCCTCAACCTTGGCTTTGCTTCGTTCTTCACCACCAATAAACAGTGTCAACGCATCAGCTAAGCGAGTCTTGGTCGCTTTATCGGCCTGATTTGCCTTGTCAATCTCAGCACCGCCGTTAGCAAGATAGTCGACGTCAGTGCTAGTCAGTTTTCCATCCCAGTCTGGGCCAGCCAAGGGATCGATTGACAGGAGCTTTTTGAGACGCTCCGGCAGTGGATTGGCGTTCTTGTAAGCATGGGCAGGCTTGGGTAGGCCTTCTCCGGGTTGCTTGGAAGCGTCATATGGAAGCTTTGAGAGCTTTTCGAGGACGGTATGGGAGATGGTGGCTGAGTGGCATCCCATTTCACCAGCGGCCATGGCCTCTTGAGGTGTTATAAAGCTGGGGGCTTGTCAGTCTGGATGCTGGTATCTGTGGTCTATTTCTTTACCTGGCGTTCTTCACAAGGGGTTGTTCCTTTCCGGTTTCTTTGTACAGCCGTTTGTACGTCTCAAGGATCTGGACGATACGGGGAGAGTTTGGGTGCTCCAGCGCAGGATCAGCCACATCTGGCCACAGAGATAGCTCATCATGCGCTCGCGTTTCTGTAGTCTGTTAACTTTATATTCACACTGCTTCTCCCTTTACGTACCGTTGTAGTAGGGACTGATGTACAGCATGCCAGCCTGGCTGCAAGCGATAGCCTGCTCAAGACTGAAAAGTGCCGTGCCAAGTGTCGGAATGCCCTCGGCGGAGAGAATCTTTGCGGCGTTCAGAGCGGGCCCTGTGGAAGGGATCTTGATGCAGAACCGCTCTCGCGAGATACCGGCTCTGGCAAATTCCTTATCGTAAAGTCGTGCATGATCAAGAGTCGCTTGCGTGTTGTAGGCCTTGGAAGGAAGTGTTTGTAGAAGAACACGGCCTTGGATGGAATCAATGTTCTTCTTGCACATGAGAACAGCCTGTGAGGTAGTGAGCAGGGTTTCCTTACTGCCGATGAGATGCTTCATTTACCATGCGCGTGTAGATGGCGAGCCAGCCTTGATCTTTGAGCTCCTTTGTAGTTTGCTCGAACAATTCTTTGTTCGAGTCATCACCAAGCTGGATGTCAACCCAAAGTTGATTGCTGGTCTGATCATGGAACTTGAATGGCATGGCTTTGATCCATTCCGGAGCCATCCAGTCGACATCCACGTTCACTGGTCTCATCAGCATCACGTAATGAAAGCCATCTTCAGAAGAGAAACATACGTTGCTCTTCGAGCTTGTCAAGCCATGATTGAGTTCCGGTGCTTCCCATTTTGGATAAGTTTGGTCGAGTATTCTGTTTGTTAGATGGAAAAGATGCTTGTTTTCGATGACTTGCTCTTCTTGGTGTAGCATAGAGGGTGGACGTGGAATACGTTTATAACCTTATTTCCATCAAGTTCTCAATGCTCAAATGGCTTCAAATTGCCGAAACTTTGACCTCAATGCGACCTGCCCTGCGTGTACCAAGTCTCTGTACGCTATTCCCCTCCTATGCCCTGCGTGTGCCAATTCATTCCCTCCAGTGTTCCCCGCCCGTGCCCTGTGTGTTCAAATGCCCTGCGTGTGGCATCAGCAAGTCAGTACATTCGGATTGGCCAATCGGGTAGTTGACCCGAGTACACTAGCAGCTCTTTCGGGGGTAATTGTCCAGTCTACCGAGATCCGGCACTTCAGGAACATTCTTGTTTGTCTCATCTCACATGATGTACCATCCTATGCGGGGTGGAATCATTCAGGCTGGGGTGGAAGTGGCGCCATTCTAAGAAGAGTATGGAGCGAAAGTTGATACTCTGATCGACGAGTATAAAAGTGGCCCTTGTGCGCTGATGAACAGACATGTTGTTCAAGAGCAATCAATTGTTTATCAGCACTTTTACAAGCTTCATAAAGCAGTATGGACCGCAAGTCTGATATTGAAGATCACCTCAAGCATGATGTTGAGCACATCGACCATCTCACGCCGCAAGACTTTACTCGAAATACGAACGCCAAGTATGTATCTCGTCATGCAGTAGGCAGTTGCTGACATCGTCAATCTGCAGAATTCGCAATCCTCTTGCTGGCATATCTAGAGCTGACTTGCGAACGCAAGTCAATGCCTTCTGTGAAGACTATGACTTCCAGGACAAGATAGAGGTCTTCTACCGCGGTGCACTGGCAGCTCAAAACCCAACAGAGTACGAGAACATCGAAGAGCTTACTGGTGATGACAAACGCGTCCTACAACGGGAAGTGACTCATAAGTGGCATCTGCCTCGTACTCTCTACTACGGCATTGCTCTTTGCTCTCTTGGATCTGCCGTTCAAGGCTGGGACAACACCGGAGCAAACGGAGCAAACCTATCGTTCCCGCAAGAATTCGGTATTGAACATAGAACCACTCTTATTGGTGTAATCAACTCTGGGCCTACTCTCTTTGGTTTGTTGAGTGCTTGGGCAGCAGACCCTATTAACAACCGCATCGGCCGCCGAGGCGCCATCTTCTTGACTGGACTTTTCTGTATCTTTCCAGTACTTGCTCAAGCCTTCACTCAAAACTGGTGGGGACTCTTGATCTGCCGTCTCTTCATGGGTCTTGGAATGGGCATCAAGATCTCGACCATTCCTGTTTACTCCGCCGAGATTGCTCCAGCATCCATCAGAGGTGGCATCGTCACGAGCTTTCAGCTATGGGTTGCTTTCGGCATTTTTGTGGGATTCTGTTCGAACCTGATCTGGTATCGCATTGGAGATCTTGCTTGGCGCTTCCAGCTTGCAGCTGCGTTTGTCCCAGCTATCCCGGTAGTTATCCTTGTTTGGTTCTGCCCTGGTCAGTATTTACTCATGCTATACCCATTTAAGACGCTAACGCTTATTCTAGAGTCCCCTCGCTGGCTTATCAAAAAGGGTCGCTACCAAGACTCCTTCAAAGTCTTCTGCCGTATCCGCAACACGGAAATGCTAGCAGCCCGAGACTTGTACTACGCTCATCGTCAAATTCTCGAGGAGAAAGATGCCTTTGGAGGAAAGACACTCGCTCGCCGTATGTGGGAGCTGGTAAGCGTCCCTCGCCTTCGACGAGCTACGGTTGCATCCTCTTGGATCGTCATCTCGCAGCAATTCTCCGGAATCAACATCATGGCATTTTACTCGTCCACAATCTTTGCTGCTGCCAACTATTCCACCAGGGACTGTCTCCTTGCTTCCATGGGGTTTGGCCTTGTCATGTTTATTTTTGCTTTCCCTGCCGTTTATATGGTTGACACCTTTGGCCGGCGAAATCTGCTGCTAGTTACCTTCCCCAACATGGCGTGGTGTTTGCTGGCGGCAGGATTCAGTTTTCAGATCGACAAGGATTCTAGTGCCAGAGTTCCACTTATCGCTTTCTTCATCTATCTCTTCACTGCCATGTATGGACCTGGTAAGTTCACTTTTCTATTAGCAATCTGCCAGAAGCTAACTGTTTAGGCATCGGACCGCTACCTTCTATCTATTTCTCCGAAGCATTTCCACTGTCGCATAGAGAGATTGGGTCTGCCTTCACCATCTGTGTCAACAACGCGGTTGGCAGCGCCTTGACTTTGACATTCCCATCCCTTCTTGATCGTCTCGGACCAACTGGTGCTTTCGGCTTCTACGCAGGCCTCAACGTTGTAGCGTTTATCGTGATATTCTTGATTATTCCAGAGACTAAGTGAGTAAATAATGGTGCGATCTGTTATGCTTGTAACTGACCGAAGTGTTCCAGGCAACGTACTTTGGAAGAGTTGGACTACATCTTTGGGGTTCCGACAAGACGCCACGTCGCTTATCAGGTTCGACATTGGCTACCTTGGTTTATCAACAGACATATCTTTCTCCAGAAGTCAGCTACGCTAGAGCCGTTGTATCAGCTAGATTGAGATTCTGCAGACGAGGAAGCGAGAAAGCGGGCACGCCAACATTGTAACTAGTTTCTTAGTACTACTATATGTTTCCTTTGACGCCTCCACTGGGTGAAGCCAACCGATTTGTTATCAACGAGATGCTTACAACCTTCGACACAATATCTGATATTTGGTTGAACAGAAGTCCAGTCATTGTTCAGCCTAAGGTTCAGTTAATAGAATGTGTCTAGAGTGATGTGATACTTCTTGATGATGGGGTCGCAGGCCCTAGAACCGATATGAGACCCGGTCAGAGTGCTTAGGCGACAGTTGATCCCATCGGGAGCCATGGTGCTAGCTTTCCAGGTATATCGCTGGTATTCGTCATCTGATATGACCGGGTGAACGAGAGCTAACCCAAGAAGTGAAAGACGGATAAACCAAGGAGACATTTTGGTTGGACACATTCGACGATTCTGCCTGTCGATTGAGACTTGCTGATGCAGCAGGTGTATTTAACGTTGAGTGCCCCAAAGCTCACGCTGCCATCATGCCTAACTGTACCTACCAACAGCTACCAAGGCTCAGGCCGGGTTGAATGGGCAGAAGAAATGAGACCCACTCAAACGTGTTGGTCGTTGCAGATTATGAAACAACCTGCCCACGTGCAAGGCTCTGTGCCCCAAACCACTTTGTGTCAATAGAACGGAATGGGGCAATGTTGGCAATGCCGGAATGAGTGGGGGTTTCGGCTAGAGAGGGTGGTAGCATGCCAGAGGTTTGCACTGCCAGGTGTATCCTTGGACTGTGCCCCGGCTCAACATCTTGTATGAGTCAAGACTTGAGGGATCTTCTGTACAGTCAACTCCACACGGACCCATCTGGGTTCATTCACTCCACTGGTCTGCCGGGGCGACTGAGATTAAGAGTCTGACTTCATCTCTGTAGGGTCCGTGATATGACTGACTTTCGTCACTAGTATGCATTCCCAGTGGAACAGATCATCTGTGAGAAAGTTTTATACTGATCTGACGACTGTCTACAGTGGGCTCAGTACTAGCCTAAGGGCCCACGTCGTTTGGTAACATTTCTTCCAATATCTGCCAGATCCGACGTCGGTTGGTAAAGCCGCCGGGTACGCTGAGGCCAAGTTTATCAAAGCTCCATATGCCTTTGTCATCCTCAAGTGCTTCGCTTGGTGAGATCTCGGCTGGACTCATAATCTGCCGTGTAATCTTCTCCCAATCCCATTGTAGTGATTCTGAGTCTCGTGAGACAGCCTTGTCATGAACAGCTTGGGCGTCAAGATCCCAAAGAAACGGCACTTGAAGAAGTACCTGCCTCCACATGGACTGTGGCATGATGTAATTACATTCCAGGTGGAGAGGCGCTTGAGCGACAAATGAGCAAATGAGATCTTTGACTTCTTGTGGCAGACTCTCGACGTGCTTCCTGAATTTATTGAGGTTGTTTGGTAGTCGATGAACAGCATCTCCTGCCGGTGCTAAGTTTTGGATGAGGAGTATGCTCAAGTCTGGGATTGCAACAGGATCTTCATCCCACTATAAAGCAAACATTGATCGACATCAGTATGCGATTCCTGAGTTTCTTGTTAAAGGAGGGCTTGAACTTACCCAACCATCCCAATGATCTCCACATCTGTAAATATTATGTGACGGGATGTAATATCGTTCAAAGCCCACTGAAAACGGTTGGCCCGGTTGAGAGTTGGGAATTGGGGGAGTGAAATGCATGCCAGCCTTGCAGGGATCTTGATTAACAACCCTAGCACAACGGCGTTCAAGAGTAAACCAGAGGTCCCCAATGGAGTTGACTTTGAGACACAAAGATGTTCTCATAACGCGATTCGCGAGATCTTCGCAAGCTGAATGTATTCCAACATACATTGTCCCCACCCGTCCCAAAGGATCGTCTGATTGTTTGTTGACGTCGTAGGCTGTTTGAGGACATACCTCGCGATCCTCGCGAAGTATAACAAGAGAACCGCGATTGGAAGTGGCTTTGGCGGTATATCGAGCGACCTCATTGCTAGTTAGCTACCCTGAGATGCGGAGGTGGCCGTGACAGGTCTGGCCAATGGGGACCAGCCAATACGACGGCATCGGCCTTCCAGTCCTCCGCGCCGCCAAGGACGACGCCGCAAATGGTACAGTTGATGCAATCAGGGTTATGCGCCATGAGTAGTGAGGTGAGAGGAAGATGAAAAGTAGAGAGTGGTGAAGTCAAATCCCAGAATACAAAACAAATGCTCCAGGCTAGGGTCGTGACGAAAGTACGATAGTGGAGACGGAGAATGATGCCGAGAACAACCTTGCGCTGAGTGTTGGTTCCGGGGTCTAAGGAAATGAATGACACACAATAAATGAAACAAATTGGCCATTCTCAGCATAACACAAACCCCTCAAAAGAGCAATCTAGCCAAGGGTATCATTTCAAGCTTGCTCGAACTCTTTGTGAGGGTTGCGTATGAACAGCGGACTACGATGATTGTATGCGTTGTATGCGTGTTCCCATCGATAGCTGTGATTGCTCCGTCAAAGGGATTAAGCAGGTTGGGTCGAGAGCAATTGCATCTACGCACGAGTGGCTATTGTGAGGCTTACTTGGAGACCGTAATATTGCTGAATATAGTTATGCATTTATAAATGAACATTTCATGTCTAGCTTTGCGTCTTGTATTTAATTCCGGTCTCTTGCGACTTAACGTAGCTTTCTCGCTTTTGCAGATGAGGAACGTAAGAGGAATGTTCATATTATGCTAGTATACAATTCAAACACCAGAGCTAACCGACCAGCACTCGCTCTGTTTCAATGATTACATGACCTTCATTCCCATAGCCGTGTTGCTAGCCATACCAGCCAGCTCAAAATGCTGAACCATCTTCGCCGATCCAGATCCACCTGAGACATCCAGAACAGTGACAGCAGCCTGAGTAGTACCATTACCAGGTGAAAGAGCGTAGAGGAAGTTCCCAGAAGCAGCCAAGTCGATGAGACCAGGGTCACCGTTGCAAGACAAGTCAAGCTCAGATACAACGCTCGCATCGTCAAGGCTCATCTCGACAACCCGGTTGCGGCCGACATCTGTCACGAAAGCAGACTTGGTAGCGGGGGAGATGGCAACCCAGCACGTGGCGGTCTGCCCTTCGACTGCGCCCTTGGCGGCGGTGGTGGCTTCGCAGCTGTTGGGATCGACATCGAGAATGGCTGCGCCGAAGGAAGCGTCTGTAGCAAAGACCTTAGATGTTCCGGGGATGACCTGCGAGCCAAAGAGAACGGCTGTGCCTTCAGGTGAACTGCGAGCATCTTGCTTGCTCACAGCCGCGACTCCGTTGCTCATCTCAACATTCGCGACGGAGATAAAGCCAGTGTTGTTCACAGCAGGGTCGCCCTTGACCATGGTGAACAGCATGGACTCATCTTCTGAGAAGAGGACTTGTGAAAGTGTGTTTGTAGGTCCGGCAGGAGGAGTTGTTTGACCGAGGTCGATCGTTCGTAGTTCATCCATGGCACCGAGTCCTTGTCGCGAGAAGCTGCTACAGGAAACACCGGCCTTGGCACCGGTTGAACCAACACAAACAAGTCCATTCTTGGCGGAAGCAGCGACAGTGTTGGGGAACTCGCCGGGGACTTGGACTGGTTTGCCAACCATTTGTAGTTTCGTGGGATCGGACCGTGAGACTCTCAGCATGCTGAGAGTATTGGAGCCGGCGTTAACAGCGAAGATGTTCTACACCGACGTCAGCAAAGGTTGATGTTATTTTTGAGGAATATTAAACTTACGTTGCCTGCAATTGTCAAAGCAGACTGGCTGATCAAAGCATCAGGTGTAGCCGGCTTGCCCTCAGCGTTAACAGCTACAGAGCCTGCACCTCCAGTCATGGTGACTTTGCCCTTAGACAGAGTACCATCCTGGCCAATTGGGATCGCGAGAATACCATTGGCCTCCTCATTGGTGAGAACATAGATCGCCTTGCCCATCATAGCGTTGCTATTCATTCCGGGCTTGCATGCTGGGTGGCTGCTCGCTTCCTGCGCAAGCCAGAGTAAAGCTGGGAGAAAGAATCCTGGAGAGAACATGTTGATTGATGTGTTGGTGGTGAATTATGTAAGAGAGTGTGGAAGAAAATATTAAAAGGCAGGCCTGCTGCAGAGAATGAATGAGAGAAGAATGTTTGAGTGATTGAATGAAGATATTGAGTTTATTGAACGCGTCTGGGTCTTCTTTATAGCTATCTCTCATCCAAACTCAACATCTCCATATAATCCATTTCCAGGGATAAGGTCTCAACATCGAAGTAATCTGAATCTCCTCTTTAGGAAAGGCCTAATTCTTATTGCAACATAAACGGCCAAATCGAAAGTCCCACTTCCTTAAATCTGAAACGATGCTGAAGAACCATCCACAGTTCGGAAACAACATAATGTGACTTGGTTGCCGTGCTGCCGGCCAAAGTGAAACCGGGGTGTGATGTCCCCCTGTTTAGAAGTCAGATCTGTGCTTTTCGACTGTGTAATCACGATTTCCATTTTGGAAGCGCTGTGACTTTGTTTGGGGACTTTTTCCATGGTAAAAAAGAAGCAATTGATATAATTGCCAGTGCTTAGCCGATCGTTGTAGTATACTAACAAGTCGATGGTATGATGAGTGACCTTATTGTCGGCGCGTAGGAACGCGATAACAGGGATGGAAATGGGTGCACGAGCATATGGATAACCTTATCATACAAGGTTAACATGAGTTACTGTGATCAACTTGACAATTGTGGAAACAAATGTCGTGAAATTACCAATGAGGCTATTACTGATCCTTGCAAATATCAAGATTCTTTCTTGGCCACTCGGTATTCTCCTCGAGACATGATATCGCAGGCCTTTTCGCTAGTCCCTCTCCGTGTCAGGGCTGACATGAGTAAGACGAACCTTTCCCAATCAGGAAATTCTGATATTCTCATCTTCAGTGCCCCAAAATGAGGGGACGACGCCGAAACGCCCCTGATACAAGGGTCTCACTCAGCTAGCGCTCACCAGGGCCAATAGGAACAATGCTCACCCGTTGACTAATCTTGGATAAGAAACAAGAATGAAGCAGCTGAACTGGAGTCGTTGTTCTCTTCATCTTTGTTGATCTTTCATCATTTTTACCTTTTTCGCGTTCCCTCCTCGCTCGCGCCAATCTCACAATGGCTGATAGAATCTTCCGAATTTTTAATCCTGGCGGTTCGTTTGAGTTTCTGCTAACCCTTGTTTGGACAAAATACTGACCATGGCCAGAGCCCAAGGAGAATCCCGTTGAGAGGCGGAGAGCCCAACTACGACGTGCTCAACAGTAAGACGTTCCTTGGACACTGTCTTATATAACCATTTTTAACACCCCACTCTTTTAGATCCTATCGTGGACGAAAGGATAAGTACGCCAGGACCTTGGAAGAAGAGCTAGCCAAGTCCCGATCCCGGGAAGCGGAACTCGCGCGAGAATGCGAACAACTCCGTGCAGGTCTTCAAAATGCCCTTCAACAACTATCTCAAGGTCCCAATTCCACCGATACTGGGTTCAGAGAGATCAACTACCCGATTAATGACTACGCTACTCCATCCAGAACCACAGGGTCGTCGAGCGGCGCTTCGCCGATGTACCTTGGTGACCCAGGCTACCAATCAGTGGACATTGTACCTTCTCCACAACTGATATCACCGTCTTCGTTCGGAGACTTCTCTGACCCATCCGAAGGCCATGGGGCTCCCGTGTTGTTCAATCAAGGGTACTCGAGCCATTCACGTGTAGGCGAAGTGGATCAGATCATTGCAGGCATGGAGTTTGTTCTTAAGTATGCCCCTCCAACACTCCTCATCGAGTCTCTGCTGACACATACTAGAATTGAAGAGCCTTGTCTGGGTCATCTCCATGGCGATCCCAAGAAGCCAGACGAACCTGGCAACCATACCTTGACTGCGACGGCCCAGCTCATGGCAGCCTGTGGCGATACATCACATACAAATAACCCACATCTCCCTTCGTCCCCCGCCTTTGGAGGTACTCCATCATCTATGCTAGAGCGGCTTTTGACACTGGCGCCCGACCTGTCGAATGAGGATGAGATGACGCCGATCCAGGCCTGGAATGACATCCGGTGTCGGCCAAACTTTCGCGGGTTTAGTACGAGCAGCTTGGGTAGCCTTGCGGCAAAATTGATGAAGGCTGCGAAATGTCACGGGTAAGTTCATTCAAGTCTAGTGTTCGAAGGTAGCTAACAGAGAACAGCTTTGGTGCTGCGATTAAGCGATCTGTTTTTGAAGGTCTAGTCTACGAGACTCTTGTTACTGGACAAACCTTTTAGTCGTGATATCTTTACGGCCCTTATCTAGACTACTGTATCATATTTACATTCTAATTCGATTTGTTCTGTCATGCCTAGGAACGCCCTTTCATCTGTGCATATTGTTCGTAACTTCGTACATGGGAATATGCGGTCTCTGTTCTTGCAGCTGCTCGGCAGCTGTTCAGGCAACAGCCTACGATATCAATTGTTCGCTCTACATCCTTGGCCACTGCGTGACTTTAGCTTAGCAGTGGCTCTGGCAAGCTCAAGGCGACAAGTTCAGCTGTGCAGACAAGAGCTATGTCTTTCCCTGAGTGACAGTGTCACTGTTCATCTACGTATTTAATCATCCCCCATCGATCCTATGCTTCTTCTCAAATTCTCTATCAAAGACTTCTGTCGATACACTAGACTATAACCATCTTGTCAGAAAGAAGCAACTTGCGAAAACCTTTATTCAGATTCATCGGACAACTGATTTACCATGGATGAGTTGATTACTCGACGGTTAATCTTATTGGACGAATTGGCAGAAATCGATGACACTATCGCGATTTATCGCCAGCTCGCTAGAGATAACGGAGACAATGATGATTACGTCGGTCCGTCTCCCTCTTTCGTAGGTGACGGCAACGGCAACGGCAACGACGACGACGACAACAACAACGATATCCAAATTTCGTTTGACTTCTCTGGTGATAGAATGGATATCTTCCCCGAGGGCCCAGGCTCTCCAAGCACTACCTCTGATGACGAGGATGTGGAGATCATCACGTCGTCACCCAAAGAACCTTCAAAGCTGTCACTTCGTGAGACCCCGTCAATTGTATACTGGCAAGGTTCGCGCCAGGACCCGAGGCTCAAGTCAGACCAGTGGCTTTGCGAAAAGCCCAAGGAGTCCTTCTCACGAGACTTCCTCCAGGAAATCGGCACACAACGCTTATGCAACACCCTACATCCCAAGATTTTTGTCATTATGCTCGTCCACCCCAGCGCTGCGAATTGTCCTGCTAGCAAAGCCTGCGACCACTGGGAGTTGCGCTGGGATGACAGACCCCGCCGAGAGCCCGGAACCCTTGAGCTGGAGCTGATCTGCCTTGATCGTCGTGATCGCGGAGATTTTATCGACCTCCTTGGCAAGAAGTTGGTTCTACTTGATAAGGACCATCCTATCCCCATCAAATGCGCCCCATGTTTCTTGTTCAATTCTCTGAAGCCTGACTTTAGTAGTCTGGATGGAACTCATCTTGATGTGGTTTTGTTTCGGATGCTTCAGCCTGATGATGGAGAGGACGAGAATCCCGTTGAGGAACGGGATGAGTCAGAAGGTATCAATCTTGATTACCCCTGTGAAAAGATTGGTTGGACCGAAGCTTATCGGTACATGGATCGCTGTGGCCGTCGGCTCGTGACTTTGACAAATGAGTGAAAGACGGACCAATGACTTGTGAGCAGGCTCTATCCGTTGGTGGCTGGTGGAGGCTATGTTAGGAGGCAATCATTTGTCTAGACGGCGTTATGGTTCTGGAAGTCGTGATAGTTGGTCTGGATGGATTTGACGGAGTGAAAAGTCACTATGGGAGCGCGCTGCACTTGTTCTTTTTTATATGACTATGGTCATATCTTTGATAGTTCTCTTATAAATGTAGAACATACAACATGATTTGCAAAGCAATCAACTATCGTGACCCAGTTTCTAGTGACTGGTAATGAAACTTATACCGTTCCATTCGAAAAAGACATTTTCCCATTGACTTAGTGAGGTGCTTATATAAATAATGTCATTGGCTTTAACTGAAGCAATAAATGCAAAAAGCCCGTGACAGCTATTTTGATGCTATCGCTGTCTTCGTAGGGACATAACATCTGTATAACAGGAAGTACAAAACGATCAGGCGATCGAATTGCTGTAGAAAGCCACCAGACTACGTACAATTAGAGTAGTCGACCTCACATATCGCTCCCAAGTCTTAAGTAAAGTTCATATTATCTCCCTCCTGGCCTGAACATGCGTTCTTCTCGTCTTGAGGTTGCTTGAGCTTGTATTTCACCCAATGGCCAAGCTTCTTCGAAAAGCCGAGGTCATAAGTGTCATGGCCCTCAGGCGATAAACGGTACTTATGAATTCATATTTTGCTTGCCGTGTTATACCCAGGCCTGCATTTACAGCCCCCCACTTCAACCATGTCTTCTCAGTTACTATGCTTGTCGCGGATATAATCGGTACAGTTCACTCCGATCAACAGATTCAATTCATGTATCGTATCATCAAGTAAGTGGTACACGTGAAGATCAGTGACATGGGTGTCGTGACGAGACGATTTCATCATACTGCTCCCAAGCCACGGCTGACCCGCGTTGACAGTCGTCTCCTCCCGACCTTACCTACCAACCCGCCTTGTCTTCTCTAGATTGGCGAAAGAAGGTAGTCCAGATTTAGGCACGCTATGCATGTATATAAAGTGGCCTGACACTTCATCAAAAATGGAGCTAGTAGAGCCGGGCCGTCACAGCTTCGATTCATGTCTACACAAAGCCACTCAACTTTATTCAACCAGTGGCGCAAGTACCGAGTAATGTCTTCTCACTTTTTATTATTTCAGGTACGAGTAAGCAACACACCTTCATTTTTTGGAGCCAATGTCACTCTACGGGCAGATGATTACCAAGCCCGGTATATCAGTCATCGAGGTCTATTGATGCGGTCAAGACATATGAAATCGGAGGAGCCTTTGCCGAGGTATGCAAAACCTTGCCCATCACGCCACACGTGAAACTCGTTCTTGCAGTCATCGATGCATTTGCCGTAATTTTAGAAGAATTTCGGAAAGTGTTTCTCCAGTCTCCCGCTCTGCATCGGTGTTGCATATGCCTGTGGGCGGATTCCCCAGTCACTGGTAGAACCTTGGAGCTTTCCCGACGGGAGGCATACCCGGACCCTGGTAACATTCTTCCAGGAACATGACTGTTCATTCTTGAGTCCCTCACCAACCCAAGAGCATGGTCCTCTGCGAACTTATTCTTAATACTCATCGTCTTCGTCTTCATCATCTTCATCGCCAATTCCACCGTGTATCCTCCCCATATGCTCATAACAGTCGTCTCCATCCGTAAAGGTCTTCAAGCAGAGCCAGCAAATATGCGTCCCACAGGCCGTGCAATTTATATGATTGCAGCCTGCATCCTTCTGTATGTGCGTGTTACATTTCGGACAGTCTTTGAACCCCAGCTCTTCCTTTGCTTTGAGAAGCTCTGCCATGCCACCAGACTCGTCACCCTTGTACTGCGCGCATGTCTTTCTCGGGTGCGAGGCATTGCAGCTCGTGCAGGTTGCTGTCATGCATTTAGCGCAGGTAAAGATTGGCGGGACGCTTGTTTCTGGCTGGGCGATGCGGTAGACTTGAGTGCATTCGGGTGTCGGACAATAGCGCAGCTGGTCTTGATGACGGCGCATATAAGAGGCGAACGAGGCATCCAAGACGCTCTCAAAAATCTCTGAAAGGAGCAAGTTCTGAATCTCAAGTAGTGGAATGGCTTTTTTACAGTTTCCTTGGTGTCCAATGCATTTTATGGAGAATTCGCCGATCGTAGATGCTTCTACCTGACACATATTCACAAAGCATATCGTGCAGTACACATGGCCACAAGAAGTTGCGAGTGCTTGGTCGGCCTCACAAAAGCAGACTGCACAGTCGCCTTCGGCAGCCTGGCCGGTGTTTGGTTGCTCAATATTGTGTCCTGCTGACCGGGGCTGTAGTTCTTGCAAAAGCTGGTCAAGTGCTTCACATGCTGGCACAAATTTATCCTCCGGGCCGAATACTCGGAATTTGGAGGATTTGATGTCGCGGATGATAACAACACCAAGGTCCCGCTCGATTTTCTGAAGCATCCAATATGCTCCCCTATCAGCTTTAAAATCAGGAGACCATAGGTTCTTCCCATTCAGAGTCATAGTCGTTCCATTGATGATTTGCTCGAGGGCCTCTTTTGCTTGCGTAAAAAGTTCACGATCTTGGCTCTCGAGCTTCAGAACTCTGTAGCCACGCTCAAGGACCGAAGAAAAAGAAACGAATTGTCGATCCCAATCTTTTCGCAGCGATTCGATGGTGTCTTCAACAACGCCATAGACCCGAGTCGAAACCCTATACTTAACTTGATGTACGTGCTGAAGGTAGAGCTTTCCTGATGGATTAAATGGCAACCACGTCTCGTTTAACTGCGCGACGGCATCCAGCGCTTCAGACTCCTCGATAAACCGGGCTTGTGCCTTGACTCTCCTTGCTGTTGGGCTCCCAAACACTTCCCATTTTTCCAAGGCGCCTATATCGTATAGCAAGGACTTGATTATAGTCGAGTCGATATCCACGTCTGTATCGTAACTTGAATCTCCCATGCGAACCTCATAGGGTTTTCCAGACGCGGGGAAGACGTTCATGATATCCTCTGGAGGCATGGTAGCCACCAGGCCTTCCAACTCCATCTGCCATGGCCCATCCTTTTGCGTGGCATGCACTGCAACGGGTATATGGGCTGCGACTGGCAAGCCAGCGATGGTAAGTTGCTGATTTTTGAACTTGTAATACGCATCAAATGCTTCTGCTGGATTCCTGAACGAAAGAGTGGCGTTTTTTGTCGGTCTATGCCACGAGCAGCGGACGTTTCTGCTGTCGATAAGGCCAAATGATGATCCTTCTGGTAACGGCACAGGAATTTGGGTGACTTCTAAGTCAGGTGCTTCAATACAGGTGCGTAATTTCCAGCAGGCAGACTTGGCAAATTCTGGGTCTTTGACTTTGACGATTGCCGTTCCGTTCCGATTCTTGACGAGTTTGATGAAATTGATGTCGCTTAGGGAAACGCTGATGCCTACATCAGCCAGCAGCTCTTGCACCGACCGTGCTGACGACCTCGAGGGCAGATGGCGCATTTGGATAGCGGAAAAGTCTGATAGAAGAGTGACATTCGTGACAGCCGCTCCATCTCTGAAATCTACCCAAGCACCTCCGATCTCGCGAGTCCACTGATCAGTAAGGAGGTCTGGGAGGTCACCCTTGGAAACATCATCAGCATTCGGGTATATCGCATCATTGCGGTACAATATCCTACCTCGGGTTCCTCCGACGGCGCATCGTGAGCATATATGCAGGTGGCTCCTCGTTTACAGTATCCTTTGGCAAAGAAGCGACATGTCTCTTGAACAGGTCGGGGTCCTTCATGAGAAAAGCGACAGGCTTCGCCGTAAGAGCATATGCCTTGCGCGTAGAACCGACAAGGTTGTCTTTGACGACGATCTGGTCGTCGGGTCTGAGTCGCTGGTCCTTCGTGAGAAAAGCGACAGGCTGCGCCGCGGAAGCACAAACCCTGCGCGTAGAATCTACAGGGCGGCCTATCGCGATGCTCCGGGCGCCTCGGCCCACGGTTTTGTTCTCGAAGTGCGTCGACTAGCGTTTGAGTCTCGTGATTTTGTAGGCGTAGCTGTTCGAAAAGCCATGGAAATTGCTCCTCTGTGGCAGCAGTGGGACGCACAAAAGTATTGCCCATGCTTGGAGATGGGGGTTGTTGTCGCGTTCAAACTCTTTGCGATCAAATGGAAATTGTCATCGTCATTAAATAGTAAATTACGGTGGCGTTGCGGTGAATGTTAAAAGCAAATAAACATTACACAAAGCGATTCGGAGATACTGCGGCTAACAGCAGGACTCAAGCTCAAGGTTTACACGGTATTTAATGCTTGATCCCAGGTGACGGATAAAACAATTCGGAGTGAAGATGGAATGCTTTGATTTGGTGTTTGATATTGAGACTGTTTGAATGATGCTAGAGGCCGATTGTTTCACTCAACGCGTGACGCGTGTTTGTAACACAGTCAGTGATTAATGTTGATCTGCAAGCTTTACCCCGCAGATAAGATGATGTAGCAACAGCATGCGTGTTCATCTCGTTTCATGGTTGATGCCAACTCTGATGCAGCGTTTGGGCATGACTGCCGCAGAGAATTGGGTTATGCCACGCATTTGGATGAGGTGGCAGTGAGTGGTTAAGTGCCCAAGCTCAGCAAGCCTAAAGGCGGTGAAGCCTTCGCCACATCATGTGTTGGCAGCTGGAAGTCGAGAGAATACTTGGGCAGAGCATAAATGATGCGGTCAGTAGCATGCTGATAGTGTATAGTGAGATGACTGTCTAATATTGTCGCAAATCTGATAGTCCCGTTTATTTTACTCACCGCTCAACCCATGTTGGGTCAGCGGGTCTTGATCATCTCTGACTGGCTGTAGTCGGTCCAAAAAAAGGGGCCTGGCATGTGCCTGACATATTTCTCGCTTAGGTAATGGTGATCCGAGTTCTTGGATAATTCTTAGCTTTGAATCTACCCGAGATACCTTTAAACCCGCGATCTGCAACGAGCCAGTCAAGTCAGGTCAAGTCAAGCAAGCTCATTCACTCACTGATCCGACTACTACTGTACCTGCACTAGCTACCTCTCTTCTCTTCTTTCCTGCCCTTCAAGGGACATCCTGGCTGACCGCTCACCTCGGAGCCTCAACGGTCGCTCAGACCATACCCCAACAGCCCCGCACCTCGGCGCAGCAGAGCAGAGCAGAGCAGAGCACAAGAAAGCAAAAAGCCGCCTCGCAATATGGGCTCCAAGAAGCGCAGCTCGGCCTCAGGCGAGACTGGCAACGCCACTGATGCTTCTTCCTCTCGCAGCGGTCAACCATCCCGTAGCCTCAGGAGGAGAGCCGGCGACATTGTCAACAGCCTCAATCCGGCGGGCGCTGGCAAGGGCCCCGACGTGACGCAGCAACTCGCTGAGATTCCTTTCAACGCCGAGGCCTTCCTCCAGGCGAAGGCTGCTCAAGCCAAGGCGCTGGATGCCGAGGCCAGTGAGCCCGGTGAGGGCGATGATGTCGTCGAGGTTGAGTATGAGGGGACTCGTCCGTACGTTCCGACGGTTCACGCTCATCTCAAGGGCGTCGACAAGGTTTGCCGAAACGGGGAATGGTCGAAACCTCTTCAACGCTTCCTGACGAGGCTTCAGCTCGGTTCAAACAATCTCAGCGTCATTTATGACTCAGACCTTGAAAATGTGGGGATTGAACCTCCCGAGGAGACCGAGTCTTGGGTCGAACAGAGTGAGCCTTCCAAATTCGCTGGCCACGTCTACAGATTCCTTGGCCGCCAGTGTCGATCCGCCTCCTCAGATCGCCATCTCTATGTCCTCTATCACCCCGATGCCGAATGGCATACCGACTTCTACGAACTCCTACAGGACAAGCCTCTGCCCAGCAACTTCCTTGGCTTCTCCGACAATCTTGATGCTCTCGTGGCTTTTGTTAGGTTCATCCGAAAGCGCCTCGGCAAGCGCGCCAACAACGCCATGTTCCACCTCCTTATCCCCTCATCTCGACCCATGTCCATCAGAGACGCTCTTGAGTTCCCAGATCTGGGCGATCTGGTCATTCACGGTGAGACTCACGGCGGTAACAACTACGTCTGGGTCAATCTACCCACTTCCGACGACTACCCCGCGAACCTGCTTCTGAAGCATGTTGAGAACGCCGTCCGCGGTGAGAGCGAATGGAAGACGACAGCGACAGTCAGCACAGCCATAGGAGGATTAACGGCATCATTGGCTGGCGCGGCTTTCACCCTCAGAGTCAAGGGGGCGCCCTTCCCATCCCTTAAGACCTTCGGAATCGGAGCAGTCTGCACCACCATAGCCGCCCGAATCAGAGGCGCAGAGTACCTCCCCCTAGCAGTCCTCGGCATCGGCGGACTCTGCACCACGATAGCAGCATTGCAAGTAAACAGAGGCCTGAGCAAGCGCATCCCCAGACTCATCGGCGGCAGCGACACACCCAAGGAGCCCAAGGCCGAGCCCGAGAAGGAAGATTCAGCAGCCAGCGAGCAGGACGAGAGCAGGGACGAAACCCCCCACGAATCAGATGTCCTTCCCGAGCCAGAGCCGCCAGTCGTTCCAGAGGAGCCATCCAAGATCAAAGACGACTCGGACGCTCTGTCTTTCGTGAGCAAGGCATCCAGCACGAGCAAGTCCTCGAGCAGCAAGAAGCATCGACGAAGTGAACGCAGTGAGCGAAGTGAGCGCAAGCGCAGAGATAAATAAAGCATGGAAAACTATAAGGTTGGAAAGACAGAACAAAGTACAAAGTACACTGACAGACAGCTGGACTTTTGATGGTGTATTTTTTTGTTTTTTCGAATTGAATACGCTTCGAGTGCTGGTTTTTTTGCTCAGTTCTTGGTTTTGATGAGTTAGAAAAACGCACAAAAGTAGAAATATAAATTGAAGACCTCTACTTGAAACGAGGCTGTTGTGTTCAAACTATCCTTTCCCAACATGATATCACCTACTATGTTGACGATCCACAAGGTTTAGAAAACGTCACGCGAGCTAAGTGACTCAGAACTTACGACCAGCTTGCAGTATTAAGGAGAGTTTTGAGTATGTTTTGAGTATGTTTTAAAATAATAGTCATATTCTCTGATTTTTGTAAAATTTCCATTGCTTACTACTCATCTACCTACCATTATGCTAATTGTTCGTCGACATTCGATTGACATGAAACTCTTAGCTGTAGGGTAGTCAGCCCAACGGAAGAATGGGCCAAAATTACCGAGGTTCTGTCGTCTGTGGATCTCCCTCATCAGAACATGGAGGTTTCTAATTTTAGCATTTCTGTCAGATTCCTTACGGCTCATTCAATTGGAGCTTGGCTATCTTTAGCCATATCCACTTCAATGCTGGAACCCACTAACCCGAAAGAAGACAATCTCGAGATGTAGGATTAACATCCCTCTACTTGAAACTCCGGCATGGAATGAAAGGATTATGATAGAAACTTATCAAGAATAGACTGACTGAGATACAAGTGATGACTAAATACAGATGAGTTGCGGGACAAAGCTCGCGGGTCCATCAACATCAGTAGAGAATGCAATATACGATACAAATAACAATTCCAACCATCTACCATAGCTCACAAACAGGTTTCTTCTGAGGACATTTGAACGCCCGCTGGAAATCAGCAGAATTCTTCACCGGCAACAAAATTCTGGCCTGGTTAGGACTGTGCTCATCCGTCAATCCAGCAATGACCTGCGCAGGTTTAATGTTCTCGCACCAATTCTGGCCCCATTTGACAAAGAACAACTGCTCATGAGTGAAGTTGCCAAGTCCAGGTAGGTCTTGCGCTTTTCCATTGTCTTTTTCCCACTTCTTCCAAGCGGCAAAACTAGAGAGAATACCACCTGCGTCTGCAACGTTCTCACCCAACGTAAGCTCTCCGTCAATCTTTTCTTCTTCTCCATCGGGACCAGTGATGGTAAAGTTGCCGTATTGCTTGACAAAACAGTCACTAGACTTTTTAAACCCTGCTGTAGACTTTTCATCGAACCAAGCGCTCTTGTTACCCGTCTTGTCAAACTGATGGCCACTGTTATCGAAACCATGGGTGATTTCGTGCCCAACAATACTTCCCATGCCGCCGTAGGTAATGTATGCGGGATAGCCAACACCGTAGATGGGAGATTGCTGGATACCCGATAGGATTACCATGGTGTTTCCTGAGGGTTGATGGAAGGCATTGGTGGTGAGAGTGCTAGACGGGAACTTCTGTCGATCGACAGGCTTGTCAAGGGATGCCCAGTTCTTGGCAACCCGAGACTTCGCGAAGGAAAGAGCATTAAGGAGCAAAGACGACGTGATCTCGATATCAGAATAAAACTTCTTCACAACCTTTGCGTCGGTGACATGGGGGGAGGTTGGTAAGCCAATCTTGCTCGTCATGGCGCGCACTTTCTCCACCGCTGTCTTCTTAACCTTATCAGTAGCCCAAGCTCTGGTGCCAATGCGCCCGATAAAAGCCTCCTCAAGATTATCGATGATCTGAGATGTGAACTTCTTAGCATCAGGCGTAAAGTGCTTATCTGCGAAGAATCGGGCGAGGATCCAAGTCAGACCGGTAGGACCGACGAGCTGAGAAGCGACTTTGTCGTTGGCAATCCAGTCAACGCCGTTATCGAGAAGGATTGCGCATCGCTGCCAGCGGGGTGAAGGACTACCAGGGTCTCTACCTTGCTGCTTCATTTTCCACGTGTTGTAGGCCTCAGTCTGTGGAGAGTCGACATAGATAGAAACAGCAGCGATGGCTTTCCAAAGGAAATAAGTTTGGATGACCAGTGGCGGAGTCTGGGAGAACTTCTGCGAGATGTTGTAGTACAGCGCTGCGGATTCGAATATGATCCTGGAATCATTGAACCCCTCTGGCGCCAATTGATCAATAACGTATTTGAAGTTCAGCTGTGGAGCGAGCTTTTGGATATCGTTGATAGAGACGTATGGAATCACATCAGGCGTCTCTTCCGTATCTTGTTCCTGGCCCGCCTCCGTTGCATTTGTCTCTGGGGCGGCCACCGGCTGGAGTGAGAGTTGAAGGGCGACGACCGACTCCATCAAAGTCTGAGCCCCACCTCTCGTCAAGTTGACAGGATGAACAGAGTAAATAAGCTCGCTTGCAATCTTGATGAACTCAAACATATCCTCGGGAGTAGATGGAAGACCAGAATCCGTGGGTGGCTGGATGCCAAGTGCCATCTTGTCTGGGTTCAGCGGCTCTGCGATCTGTATGAACCTCTGCGTCGTCTCGATGCCCAGGCTTTCAAACAGAGTAATCAGCTGACCAATTCCATTTGAGTGATCATATACAGCTCCTTTCTTTCCGTTACCGGAAGCAGGGAGTGTCTTTACAATAGTCTTGGCCACTTGTCGAAGTTGGCTGAGACCCTCTTCCTCATGGGCCGTTGTGTTCATGCAGACTTGGTAAGCTTCCTGCATCTTGACAAAATTCTCTTTATCAGCCTTAGTCTCCTCTTTGGTGAGATTGACTGTTATCCAGCCTGCGTCTGGGCCGGAAGGGTAGGGACCCTCGAGAACGCGTCGAACGAGGTCGTATACGTGATATTGGACAGCTCGTAGGACATCGACAGACGCTGCGCCTGCTGGGATTGGGTTGCGTTCTGCCCAGTTACCGCAGACGACTATGAAGACATTAGCTCACCGAAAACTGGCGAATAGAGAAGAAGCCTAAAAGACGTACGCTCATCGAAGTCGGTGCATGGATCAACCTTTGCATGATTTGTAGCCATACTACCCAGAATGTTATCCGCAATCTCAATACATGCTGGAGTCGTGCAGAGGTCGTTGGCGCCATAGCCAGACGATCCACGAGGCAAGATGCCCATATTGAGAGGAAAGAAAAAAGCGAAGGTTATCGGAGAATAACGAAACAAAAGGCACGAAGAGAGTACCGAAACAGCTCTGACTGAGTTGGTGCACCAAAAGGAATGAACTGAATCGATGTTCTTATATACGTATATATACAGGCTTAAACACGTCCTTGAGGCTGTGCCAGGTCCCAATAATCAAGCTCATAAGCTCGTAAGATTAAATGCCCTTCCATTGGCCAACTCACCCGTGCTGACAGACATCGCGCGTACGAGGCCAGTGGCCCGAGGTCCCATTCTAAATGGCGATCGAAAAAAACAGCCAAACGCAGCGTAGCAGCCACGTCAATGCGCTCGAAAGTAGCAGCTGAACAAAGTATAGCGAAAACTGCTGCGGTCATCATTTCTGGGACTTGGGTGATACATGCTTCTTGGCAGTGCCTAATACCAGTCGCAAGCGCTTGTTCAAAAGTCCTGGGTGGGGGCTGAATTATTAATAGTATCCATAAATACAGCGGTCAGCTAGTTCTGCATATTTTATGCTTATTATGATGGTATGGCTTGCTGTGGGCGTAAGTTGAGGCAGGCTGGGTTGAGCCGTCCAATAGAGGTCGACGTGGATGAGGATAGCACCGTCAGGAGACGGGCATAGGAGGCAGCAGAGTGGTTTTGTGCATAGGTAGATCTCGCCGCTGATGGAACTTTTGAGGCTGAGCCGGCGAATAAATATGGTAAGCATAAATACAAATATTCGGGCTTGTCATACGCATATTGCTGACACTCGTGACCACAGAGACGGTCCGGGCTATGACTCGGTGGAGACCAGAAGTTCGTTTAGCATGACTCGAGCCTTGACTCCACGAGATTCAAACACAGTCATAAGTACGATGACTGTCTCTTTGCTCAACTGGCCCATGATCTATCGCTGATTTTCTATTATATTTTTTGTGCAAAATAAAAAGTAGCAAGGACTCGATCTCGCGAAGTGAACAGATACTTGTATTGCAGAGTAATGCCCAGTCTAGTAAGAGTAGTTAGGCTAGTTTGTTAAAGTCATGGTAATTTAATAGATATAAGACGGTATAAACTCCTTTAGATTTACTTGAGACTTCTATCTCGGAGTTAAGTCCCTTTTAGAGTTATTAGACACAAAAGAGGAAATATTTAAACGCAGGATCGCCGTCATACTCATTTCGTGTACAACTCAGCCTCAATTATTTTGACGAGTGAGTCTAACCTAATCTAGCAGTAACTGAACGCACCGAACTATCCAAGATGGTTCAACTTCACAGTATAAAGATAGAGCAATGTCCAGAGGAATGAAATTAAAAAAACATTCGTTTATTAAACCATTTCTTACTATTAACTACCGCTCCTTCAAAATGCAGACCTTCAACATTCTTTTCATCACTCTTGCTACTGCAGTAGCTGGAGTTACTTCTTCCTCCAACTGCCCCCCCTTCCCTGCCTCAATGACTCCGTTCTCCTATGGCTTCAAAGAGCCGAAACCGCCTACTATCAAGCCAGAATATCAAGCTCACTTCGTACAGCATAAGTGGTAGGTGGTACTCAAAACATGTAGCTTACTTTGCTCCTGACTGACTTAAACACCTAGGAATGGCGAACTCTCGCATATCACAACTGGCTTCATCCAAAACTCCCCATCTAAGGGCTTTGTCCGAGCTGACGAAGCCTTCGATGGTGTTCTTGCATCTTCGGTTTTTGACTATTCCAACGTTACCAAATCGGGCTTGGTTGACAACACCTTGACTACATATGATCCCAAGAAGGCCAAGCCAAGTGTTTGGAGAGGATATGTGAACTCAAACTATCCTATCCTCAATAAGACAGTCTTGATTGATAATGGGGCTGTCTTTGAGGGCTTTGTGAAGAGGGATTTCACTCCATCTCCCGTTGCAGCAGTAAGCTTTTCATCCGCGCCTGAAGAGTGATTGCTGACTATTCATTCTAGTGGAGCATCATGTACCAAAATGCAGTGCCCGTTACTGTCTTCGTCAACGAGTGTGGTGTTATTGTTGGTTACGATTACTTTGCGCCCGAGCTTCGTACCCGGGTCATCATGGAGTTCTTCAACATTCAGGCCAAGTAGGCCGTTCAATGTAATTGGTGGGGTTTTTTTGCCGCGATGAGGTTTTCCCCAGGTAATTGATGTTTAGAGTAAAAAAGCGGTCGGACAAAACAGCACCGTATTTAGAAAAAGAGTTCTTAGTCGAGTTACATAATGCCTTCTAGGTTAGGTTTCTCAGAACCCACGCCAACAAATCAGCTCCAACCCCCTTCTTTACTGTTCAAGTATTGGTACTCCCATAGTTCAACTAAATCAACCTTGATTCTCCCCGACACCACAAATCCCTTCTGTGATATTAAATCTAGTAGCCTTACAATCTCTTTCCTCTCTCGGGAATCTACAGAGTTCGCACCCGCCATTCGAAGTGGAAATATCGCCAACACTCCAGCAATGCGAGAATGCTCAAGTATTTCAGAGCAACAAGAGATCACACTAGCGACATGAGTATCAATTTCCTCGGGATTGAGGACGGGGATAACTCTTGTGTCCCAGCAGTCATAAAAAGTGAAATTTCTGCAGAGAAATAATTGCATAGCATGGTAATTTGCCAATGCGAGTTTTCCATACGGTCCAGATGATTTAATTGAGGCATTGTGCCGGGAATACCAAGACTGAAATTCGTATTGGTAAAGACAACTTTGTGTGACCAATATGTCTAGATCCGGATGATCTTGTCGTTGATCCTCTGGAATTGACTCAATTTGATCGAAGAAACTAGCACTTGGTAAGTCATAGTCTCTATGCTTCGGAGCAACCAACCTTTTACTGAAAGAAGATATTTTGATAATAAAGTCGAGAATTTCGCCTAATGGGTTTGATGCGATTATGTTATGTTGGTCCGTACACGAGTAGTCGGATAGTACGGTATCTTCACCGTAGAGAATTGCTCGGTTCCCCTCTAACAACCTGAATGTCTCAAAGGACTGAGAGCCGAGATAATCAGAACGACTACCGGACCCAGAAAGTTCAAATATCTTAGAAGTGCCATAGAGCATATGCTTGGCCCACTGGCCTCCAGAGACTTCGATCATCAACTGCAGGAAGGATTAGATACGAGCTACCAGGTGAGATGTCTCCTTACCTCAAATAAGCCAAGAAGTAATGTACACCAAAGAACGCCTTGGCATTGCAATGCGTCTGGTGACCTTATGTAGTGCTGAAGGCTTGAGAGTGCCTTGCTATATGATTTCAATGCAAAATGGTATGGTGATTGAAGCTCATTAGAGGACCTTGTACTTGGGGACCTGCTGATTTCCAAGGCGCCAATCGCGACTGTTGCCTCTCGCAGTGGTGCACACGCTCGAATCAGAGGCAGAAAGTCAGTACCCAAGCTTGCAAACTCGGGTGTGAATTCGCAGCGTCGAAGAAATAAGAAGAACGTCCTCAAGTATATGCTGTCGGGCTTCTCGCTTATGTGCGGCTTGAGGATGCCTGTATTTTGAGGCACCATGGAATGGCTGACAAATTTGAGCTCGGAGACTGTGGCGGCTTGAGGTTGGCAGTTCTTCTTCGTGCGGATGCAATATTCGCAAGGGGTGCCTCCTTGGCACTTTTTCTTGGAGTTAGCTGGGGTCAGGACATGACCTGTGATGTATGTCTCTCGAACCTTGATGCGTCGCCTTGCACATGACTGGCAGCGAGTCCGCTTCTTACGCTGATCTAGCGGCCCAACGATACGTCGAGTCTTCATTTGGTGAGCGAATGCGTATGATTAGGCTGTCAACAGGATAATTTTGTCACATTTTCTGTGAGGAACTACAACGGATAATGTCATTTTTCATGTGGAATCATGGACTGATGAACGCGCAACTTCGTATCGAGGCTCAGCTTTAGTTCAACCCCACCACTAGACTTGACTCAAAGTAGAAGCATTTGAACGCACTGGAGTAACCTCATAAAGACACAGCCAATGACAGCTCTCCGGTATTCTCGACTTCATTACCTCCAGAAAAAAATGTAACCTGTTGAACGAGGCGCAAGAAGAGTCATTGATGTCTCCATTAATGAATTGCCCGCTTATAATACTGCCAATTTGTATCAAGCGATGTTGTTTTAGTGCAGCGATTGTAGAGACGATGAAAGTATTATAATTAAGCATTCCCTATTGGGAGCTGTTTTAAGTATTTTTCTATATTTTCCAGATTCCTTGTAGCCCTTGTAAATTCACTTTTAATTACCTTTTCCATGTCAGCTTGTAATGATTCCCAAATAACGCCGTTTTGTTATGATTCTGCCCTTCCGTAAGTCACTCCCTGTTACAACCTTCTGCGCAGGACGAGCCATTTCCCAAGTAACAGCGATCGTCCTGTAATAAAGAAGATGACAGCTAGTACGATGATAGCGAGGTAGAAGCAACCCAGGAGCTGAGCGCCCAGCTTTTCGAGCAAAATTCCACTTAATGGGTTTGCGAGGAGCAGTGCGACAGCCACACACATATTTGTTGAGCCTTCCCTTGAGTCAGTAATTGTATGTTATCGAAATTCAAACATAAGGACTTACCGAAATATCGAGCATAATCTTGTGGCTCGCAAGTCTTTCCAGTGCATACTACAGCATGTTAGCTGCGAGGAAGAATGACGTTAGGGGTGAACTTACATGGTGATAGGACGTAGAAAGATCCCGAACAGTATCCCCAAAGTGCCGTGAAGGTATACATGAGAGGAGTCGAGGTCGTACTGAATGGGATAAAGACGGACGAAATGAACACTAGGATGACTAGCATGGTAGTGATCATAGCATTGAACGGCCCAACCTTGTCTCCCACGAACCCAATCGAGAAACGACCGAAGCAAGAGCAAGCACCCAAGATTGACAGAAGCGTGTATCCATCCTCGGTGGAAAACCCTGCTCCTCTTGCGATAGTTGGTAACAAGCCACTGATTCCATAGTTGACGAACTCGACCATGCAAATACCAAGGGCAGTGACGACAAAGCTCAAAGACTTGAAAGCAGACAAGTCTAAGCTGAAGCTCTGTGGTTTCTGAGCCGTGGATTGCCCCTCAGTGAGACGACGGAATGGGAGATAGCATAACACGCCGAGCGACGTGATGCACGCAATGACTAGCGCAACAAGCCTCATCGACCAAGCCCAGCCAAGCTTGCTAAAAGTAGCACGTAGCATCATCGGGTAAATAATACCACCCAGCGAAGTACCCATGACGGCAATGCCCATGGCAAGACCGCGGCGGCGAGTGAAAAGCTTGCCGATGACGCCGATTGCCGTGACAGCACCAATGCCACTCCCGATACTGCCAAAAAGGCCGAGACAAAGGATGAAATGCCAGTATTGCGTACACTCAGCTAAAAGGAGAAATGTAACTGTGGAGAAAGCTGCGGCGATCGGGCCGAGGATCTGAAGACCATAGCGATCTAGGATAGAGCCGATTTGGAAGTTGAAGATGAGGGAGAGAAAGAGGTAAGTTCCTGATATCCATCCGACTTGGCTGACGCTATAGCCGTTCAACTCGTTTAGGGTGAGATGGGATTGTATTGTCCCAAGGGAGTTCATAAATCCTAAGAGAGTCTATCAGTAAATACATTTCTGGATTGAAGTAATAGTCCTTACCATAAGAAGATATCAGGAATAGCATAGATGCAAAGACACATAGCCAGGCACCAAAGTCTGACTCGATATCCCTCTTTTCTTGTTGTTTTTCGTTATATGGGCCAGCAGAAAGGTCTATCTGGCTTGGAGGTACCGAAGTCGGTGCACTTTCGATGTCTGGAGTTGCCGCGCCCTCGTGAAACAGAGTAGGTGAAGTCGACCTTGATCGATCCATGTTGATAATATTGTTTCAGTTCAACGTGTAATTAAACTCTTGTTGTTGAATACAGCTATCTTATCCTGAGAGTAGAGTCACCATCTTGTAGTCTATTTATACAGTAAAGTACCTGACGTCCACCGCCAACAATCTCCACTCACGATATATTTTCACATCATGAGCCTCAACGCAAAGAAGAGAACGTATCTCTCGCTTATTCCCAATCAACGCCATTATCCGATACCGATCCCAAAACTCGTGCCTGAGTCCAAGGAAAAGATTTAAAGAAATCTAATAATGGCCCAAGCTCGTTCGATCGACTCGGTCAGACCCGCCGCGTTGGGTCAGGCATCTTGTGTTGCAGCTCCACTTAGTGGACCGCTTGACTAAAAGACTGAAGGTCATGAGCGATTGCGAGACCGGGAGAATAGTCATAATATCCACGTCTCGGCCACATTCTTTGTCACGAACTTGTGGTACGTCGCTACGTACTTGGACCATGAGATTCGGTGAGTATCGTGGTTGTGCACGGGAATAACGGAGGTCCACCGCCGTCAGGTCAAGGACACTCGGTATTGCCACTGCCAAATGCCGACGATCTGACTTTGGATCGGTGTGAGCTCGGGTACCTTGTAAAATACCAGGGTTTGGTAATTTTTGTTTATTTTAGATTCTCTTAGCTTATTTATTAGTGTTTATATCGTGATCTGTCCCGGCTGCGCTGGGACACGCGATCCGCATCATCATATCATGTCGACGCTGACTCGTCATGTCACTTGGTATTGCCACACACTGTGTTTCCATTCAACTTTAGTATTCCCGGTAGTATTCCAGGCTTAAATCCCGCTGATAACAGTCACTTGAGTATCATCCTGCACGGTGAAGTACATATTGTACACGCTGGCTGTCCGTGATATTTCTATAGTGGAGAGGTGCAACCGTGCAGGCACGCTCACGTGGTTTTGCATCCGATATAGGAGTCTTGATTGCAATTTAATATTGAGTCACGAATTTCAGTCTCCCCTTCAATTTATATCAAGCCTTTGAGAAATGTAGACGTGGTGAGCGAGAGTCTCCTATAAAACCCAATATATGATGTCTCCAGACTTCCGTCGAACAACTTTAGTGGTCATCACTGCCATTCTTATCAGATCAAGAGCGACTGTCTACATTCTAGGATGGTATTGATCTAGCATCGCTCCTCATATTGACGTCAAGAAATAGCCAAACTATCTCGTGCAGTATCGGAGTTCTGTGCTAACTAATTGTCGACTGGATGAGATGTAACGGAGAGCTGGCCTCGCTGGCAAACAGAGATATCACCATGAAAAGCATGCAAGTATTCAGAATGGAGGATGAGGTTTGAGATCGTATTTGCTGCATCATGTAGTTGAGAAATGAGAAGCTCCGGCGTATCCCCTGATCGACGAAACTATTCAAGTGCAAGGCCTACTTTATCCAACAGCAGTCAACGATGAAGGGACTGGCCCAAGAGACATTTCCAGTGCATAAGCACGTGCCAGTCAGAAAGGCATACACTTGAGATCAGGCGGTACTCATGCCTCGTCAATTTCGTGTGAGATGTATCGCTTCTAGTTCTACACACAGAGGCCTTTGTTGCGACTAGGTACAAAACGAGGGGCATCAAAAGGTCCTTGCATCCAGTGCCCGCCGAATAACTCTAACCCCAATAGACTGCTCGCAAGCTACCCCTCCAAGGAAGTCGGGGGCATCGAGAACCAATAGACAGCATAGAAAAGCGATATTCCGAGACGAGTTGCCAGATACAAAAACAGGCACGTTGATACTAGCGAAAATCGGGAATGCACAGCGCATCTCTGTGGCAAGTTATGCAACTATCGAACGGCACAGCACTCTCCGGGGAATGAATCTGCACAGCCGCTGGCGATCTTCCGGTCTAAAATCCTCCGCACTGATGAAATAGGAAGCTCGAATTGACTGTGGAGACGATTTATGCGCGGGACATTTTCAGCTGAAAACTCGATGCAACGCGACATACGAGTTGCATGAGACTAGTGAATTTGTATGCAAAGCAGATCAGTATGATGATTGTTATTGGATGGAGCTCGGGATATTTGTTTGATCTAGAACTGCTATCACGAGATGAATACTACCTTTGTCTGTGCAAGGCTCCCAATACGAATATTCATAGTGACTTCTCGTCGTCGAGCTCAGTCCATGTTGGTGTTTGAGGTGCATTAAGCGCGGGGAAATGCAGAGACGGAGAGGCGTAGATCTGGCTCTAGGCAAAAGGCAAGTGAAAAGGTTCCTATCATCAGACATTACTTGCGCTGATAGGGATGTACTCGACGTATAAAGAGCCCGATCTTTTCTCCAACATCTAGCACTTCAGACAAGAGATTCACCTGCAAACAACTGACAAATATTCCCTCTCAACACTATATCTTCACGGACTTCTGTAAATCGCACCATGTTCCATCTTCCACCTGTCTTGCTAACACACAGTAGCCTAGAACTCATCACGATGGTCAAACCCCTCTACGTCGTCTATGCCCTCTCCGCTATCGCAGGAGTTGAGGCATGCAAGAGAACCTGCTCTGCCTCCAACGACGCCGGCACCACCTGTAGCTACTCGTGCACCCAGGTTTGCTCCAGCATCTCTGCCAAGCAGGCTCGTGATACCTTCCTCGCGGCTCTACAGTCCGGAGGCAACTCATGCTCTGCCGTTGGAACTAGTGGTGTCTCGTGCAGGAAGACAGCCAAGTTTGGAAGCTGCTATGATCACCACTGGTCATGCGGCAGTGGTTGTTAGATTTATCACAACATAACCGGGCAAGACATCGATGAAGGGCACGAGTTTGAGGATCAGGTCCTTGCAAGTCTGAAATAACAGTTGATCCTTGGCGGATGTCATTAGTATTCACCTGCATGTTCCAGAAACGCTCTTATATATATAAGAAGTAGCAAAGGATTCTACAAAGTTGTAAGGCTTACTGATACGGTCGTTAGCCCACTAAGCGGTATTCCAAGTCGTGAATGAGGTGCTCACACCAATTTTCAGTGGGATAGGGTAGGCAAGAAGACTTGGCTCTTCTTCGTGAGTAGTGATAGAACTGGGGCGATATTAACTTTATTGCAGTACTGCCAATCCTATGACGCATCTAGCACTACGATATACTTTCTGACCTATCACTGCCCTTCTTTCCACAACAGATAAGACTTGGGCAAGTCTAGTATATGTTAGTACTTTAGAACAGTTAGCTGCGCCACTTTGGCCTACTGTATAAAGCCTTCTTGCTCCATGAGCGGCTCCCCTTACATTTCAAGGCTGTATACTAATTATCCTATCTGTACTTCTTATGGCCTTGCTTCCTTCAATTGGCCGACTGAGCTCCTGTGACACCGGTCGCAATAGGACTGGACTGGTACTTTAGTGTATTTGGCCTGACTGAAACACCCAAGACTTCGACCAAGTAACCGCGTATCCCTTCGGCACTATCGGCGAACCGTAACATTAGTAATTCCCAGGGACCAGAATCACGTTGAAGATATTTGTGTTGAGCACTTCTAAGTCGGCAATTGATGGCGTCTTGCTCTAAATCTTAGTACAGGACACTATTGGTTTTAGTATACGAAACAGGCGGACATTATCTCGTCTAGAGGCTTTCGTAGCAGGAAGCTTGCCGTTGAGCTAAAACTTAGTAATATAAGCATATCTACTATCACCGTCGGCAGAGCTCACGGTATGTTCGCCGAATAGCTAGGGAGTACGGAGTAAAATACCACCTCGGCATATGGGAAGTTCCGCGCAGTGGGAACAGATCCGAGCCGACTTAGCCGCAAGACCCTGAGCGCGCACGGATGAATACCCCAAAACTGACAGCCGGACCACTATCGAGCAGGGAAACCCTGCATTTGCATTGCTGGAACAATTCGCTTGACCGTTTTGCTTTTTGGAACACTAGAATGAAATGCGTTAAGATAATATGACGAATTCAGATGCGACCCAATCAACACTATGACCCCTACCACGCCGCTGGGCAGAAACAGTTCGAGACCTTTTCCAACAAGCATCTGTCACTTATGCATTGAAATCTAACACTAAAACTAACTAATAAATCATAATGCCTACCTCCCATAATTAATGTCCCGGAGTGAGCTCTCCCCTATCCACCGGTCCCTGAGCTGAACTAATCACAATTTCCGTCTTGCGCATGATTCCATCCTCCTTGGCCAAAATGTCCTCTGCACTATCACCAATCTGCTCATCAACCCCACTGCCCAAGGGTTGCAGTCCGCTTCTTCGGGAAAGGTTCTTGCGGTAGGTCGACTGCAGCGCGTAACCGGAATTGTTCTGGGACTTGCTGCGGCTGCGACTGCCGACGCGTGACTGCTCGCTGAAGTAACGCACAAGAGGGGCGAGGGTCGGGACGCAAGCGACGATTATTCCGAGATTGTTCTCGACCATGGACCATTTGATGAGACCGGCTGAGTCGAGGAGGTTGGAGAGGGATTTTATGGTCTGAATGCGGACGATTTGGATGATGGAGATGAAGATTCCCATGGCGAAGAGACCGAGGAGGACGACTTTCTTGCGGTTCGGCATCTGGAGCTTGAGTAATGTCGGGAAAGGGAGCATCATTCTGTATTTAACACTGGTTAGATCTCTTCTAAGTGTTAAATGTCGCAGTTACTCACACGACAACATCAAATACAATGGTGATTGAGGCCATGGCGGTGTACATAGGCACGCCCTTGAGACACGAGCCGTGCGTAACGCTCAAATCCCATTGTTTTCGAACCTACGAAAAGCTCTCGTTAGCAAAGCAAAGTATTGAGATCGCCTGAGGCGCCACATACAGGTGTACAAAGGTTGATCTGCGCAATCAAGAACGAGAGATGGAAGAGTGTACAGGCAACAGCGACGCCGACTGTCACTCTGTACCATATGCCCGACGCCATAAATCTCAGGTACGAGATCAAGAGGCTCAGCTTGAACCCTAGAATACTAGATATGTAACTTTTCGTGGTCGGTAAGTAATTGTTCGGTATCGCAAGGAGTCGATCTTACAATGGCGCGCCCATGAATTGTAGCTGATGATGAAGTTAGCTTCTGACAGACAATGGATAGATATTGGACTTACCAGCATGAAGTTGTAGTAGTTCTGCTGAGGCAAGTCGTCAAGTTTCTTCAACCCGAGCCCCCATTTCGTTTCTAGAATGTGTCAACTGGTGATCGGCAACACTCGATCTTAGCGAAAGTTTACTCACGTATCACCGTCACAACAGCGAATCCACAGCTCGCGATCTGTTGTTGATCAGCATGACTGTCATCTGGAGATCGAATGCAGATCCCTTCTTACCCATGTCACAACGATGATCCAGTCATCTATGTACAAACAAGACGCGTCAGTGCCGACGAACAACGGGGAATAGACAGGCTCTTCTTACCAGCTCCCACCGATTTGAGCATAACCCCTCGGACATAAACTCTTAGGAGAACCGTAAGGAGTGCAACGGCTGTAAAAACAACAGCAATGGACGTGATTTGAGGGCCATCGGTTGGCGAGCCGCTCGGGGCGTTGTAAGTCCAGCCTGACATTGGAAAATATGCGACGACAGTATAGAGAGCACAATCCGGAAGAGTACAGCCGACTTATACATCGTTCCCTCCAGAAAAAAGAAACTCGATTCCTTTGAAATGAGCTCTGTTCCGAGACCATGGTCTGATCTGACGCACTCCGACAGCCACAAAACTCAATTTGGCAGGTCGCTTCTCCTCGAGACGATGCGAAATACGTCTTCATGCAGGGGTAACTGGCAGAACGTTCATAGGCCATTCATAATGGATCTTTGTCTCTCGGCTGTTGAACCCCCCAGGGCCTTGACAACCCATTACCGGCCTCGACCGAGATAAGCTTCTGACATGGAAAACCTGTCAGGTAGACCGTTGTGCCGGTGAACCTAAACATCCTAGTCCCAGCCCCGGCCCGTGAGCCACTTCCGTGCCTTGTCCCCGCTTTCAAAGCGCACTATCACCGGTGGGACTAGCTCACTCAAGACATTGACACCGATGCTTGCGATGTACGAGGAAACTCTAATAGTACTTATATAACCCAAAAAGTAAAAAGAGACAAGAACCACTCTCTTTTCTCTGCAAGATCTGCGACACTGTAGCATTTTCTGTGAGTCACACCCTTTGTCTAACTGGCTTGTTGCTTTTGCTCACGCAGGTAGTGTTTCATCTGCAGGACATCAACCATGAAAGTGACAAGCTTCGTTACAGCCGCTGCGGCCTTCTCCACTGCCCAAGCGTATGCTACTACATCTAGCTGTAAATGCTTTCCTGGTGATGCTTGCTGGCCTTCGGATAGCCAATGGAAGAGTCTCAACACGACTGTGAATGGTCGTTTGATCAAGACTGTTCCTTTGGGGTCGCCTTGTCACGACCCTACGTACGATGCTGCTCAGTGCAAGTACCTCCAGGACCAATGGCAGCATCCTGGGATCCAGTAAGTCTGGCACTGGTGGAGTGTAGCCTTGTACTAACATGACTTAGCATGAACTCCTCGTCGTCGGTAATGGCTCCTTGGTTCGCTAACCAGAGCTGCGATCCTTTCCAACCTGAGTCCCGTGCCTGTGAACTAGGAAACTACGTTCGCTACGCCGTCGAGGCTCAGACCAAGGCTGATGTTGTTAACACCATCAACTTTGCCCGCAACAACAACATTCGCTTCGTCATTCGCAACACCGGCCATGACTACAATGGAAGATCTACCGGTGCCGGTGCCCTCTCTGTCTGGACCCATCGTCTCAAGGACATCCAGTTCAAGGACTACAACGCCAACGGATACAAGGGCAAGGCTGTTACTCTCGGTGCTGGTGTCCAGGGCTTCGATATCCTCAAGGCTGGAAACGATGCGGGATATGTTGTCATCGGCGGTGAATGCCCTACCGTTGGTGTCACCGGTGGCTATACACAGGGTGGTGGCCACTCAGCTCTAAGCACAAGCTTTGGTCTATCTGCGCAGAACACTCTTGAGTTCGAAGTCGTGACAGCAGACTCTGGTGTTGTTACTGCTTCTCCCACCAAGAACTCTGATCTCTTCTGGGCTCTGAATGGTGGTGGTGGCGGTAACTGGGGTGTTGTACTGTCTATGACTGTCAAGGCCTTCCCCGATGCCAAGGTTGGCGCTGCTACCCTTGCCTTCTTCAACACCAACAACGACCAGGCTACATTCTACAAGGCCATTGAGACTTTCCACTCTAAGCTCCCTGGCATGGTTGATGCTGGATCTATGGTTGTCTACTACTTCACCAACACCTTCTTCCAGATTGCTCCTCTGACTGCCTTTGGCAAGTCTCAAGACGAGGTTCAGACTCTTCTTGCACCTTTCGTCAGCTCGCTTGATGGCCTAGGTGTAAACTACACAGTCAAGTACAGCCAGTCAGCAAACTACTACGGCCACTACGACACCTACTTTGGCCCTCTTCCTATTGGTAACATCCAAGTCGGCATCGCCCAGTATGGTGGCCGCTTGATCCCACGCGACACTATCGTCAACAACAACGACGACCTCACCCAAGCTGCCATCAGCATCGTTGAGCAAGGTGTCACATGGATTGGTGTTGGCACCAATGTCGCACCCTTCAGTAACTCCCAGAAGCAGTCCCTTCTCCCCGCCTGGAACAATGCCCTCGTGCACGCCACCCTCACAACACCCTGGAACTTCACTGCCCCCTGGTCAGAGATGTTGGATCTTCAGAACCTCATGACTGATACAATCATGCCTGAGATTGAAGCTGTTACACCTGGCAGTGGAGCATACATGAACGAGGCAGACTTCCGTCAGCCCAACTTTCAGTCCGAGTTCTTTGGAGCCAATTACAACAAGTTGCTGTCTGTGAAGGCCAAGTGGGATAAGAAGGGATTCTTCTACGCCAGGAATGCAGTTGGCAGTGAGCAGTGGACTGTTAGCGATAACGGCCGAATGTGTCGGCCGAAGTATTAAGCAAACACTTGTGCCGTCGGATACTGTACACTTGAACCAAAGTTCAGTACCGATAAGACGAGGGGTTAATTATAATAGTACTTTACTTCTTAATACATAATTCAACGAGCTAAGTCAACGAGAGGATGCCATCTGAGCACTAGGGTTAGACAATGCATTTCTGAGTAGCCCTATGTAAACAGTCCTAATCCTCCCTTGCAGTGGCCGGCACTAGCATTCCTCCCCCGCCAAGCCCTAAGACTAGATCGAAAAGTCCGGCTGAGACAGTGGCGTTGGTGCTGTCTTAAAAATTCACCTTATCATAGGGCGCATCATCTCCCTGTTTTTCTTGGCTGTCTTATATGCTGATAGTCTCACCACAGGATGCGTCTCGGCTCAAATAATGTGCATCAAAGAAATGAATCTCGACCGTTGAAATGCCGCGAATTCGATTTCCTCATTTACATTTGCAATTTTACGTCACTAAGACAGTTTTGCTTCTTTTGCCTAGATGCGACCCTTGGTATTGAATTCTGCTCAGACTCGCAACTAGGGGAACTCGAAATTGTAAGAATGGCATATTCCACACGTGAATCTGACAGAGGCTGGCATCGCCATTTTCAACGCGACATCCACGACTAAAATATAAGCATATTTTGACTTGATCGCGTGGCTACGAGAAACGCATGGAGATTTAGGTGAGACACAACAGTAAAAGCATTCCTCTACTGTAACCTTCGAAATAAGCATAGCAATCGCAGGGAGAACGCGGGCTAGAACAACTCTTCCTCCCTTCTGGCTTTGCCCAATATTTCACATTCGATATGTTGCCTGAACTATGTTAATGAGAGTGTTTTTTTTGGAATTAATAGATCTGAGAGCTGATGTTTGTATCGTGAGCCTTCTTGCAACATTCGCATTTAGTTAGGAGTCAGGCAAGAGTAGAATATTGATGTTTACAATCATTAGAATTGATGATTAACGAACTATGAAAAAAACCCAACAAAGCGTGTACACTCCATACCTAAGTCCATATAAAGTAGTAGATACTCCGAACCTCGAAACCCAAGCCGACAAAAAGAATCATTACTAGTAGTACAGATGAAAAGAGTCTGAAATCAAGGACCGCATTGGCTAAGATACCAAGCGACAAACTTAACAATGCCCTGTTGAACCTGTGTCTTGGGCTTGTATCCAAGCATGGCACCCGCCTTGGAGATATCGGCGTAGGTGATGGGCATATCACCGGCTTGATCTCCCTTTCTGTCAATGCGTGCCTTACGTCCCAGAGTGTCCTCAAGAGCACCGATAAGGTCTCTCAGCTGAATAGTCTGCGATTCTCCAAGGTTGAAGATCTCATAGTCAGACCCATCATATTTGAGGGCCGCAAAGATACCATCAATGATATCATCGACATACGTGTAGTCTCGACGGGAAGAGCCATCTCCAAAGAGAGGAATAGGCTTGCCTTGATGAATGAGCCTCGTGAACTTGTGGATGGCGAGGTCTGGCCGCTGGCGAGGACCGTAGACGGTGAAGAAACGCAGGCAGATGCAGCGAATGTCATAGAGGTGAGCGTATGTATGGCAAAGCAGTTCACCAGCCGATTTGGATGCTGCGTAGGGAGAGATGGGCTTTGTGTTCTTGTAGTCCTCGTTGAATGGCGCCTTGGCACCAAGGCCATATACACTCGACGACGATCCGAAGAGGAACTGCTTGACGCCAAATTCTCTAGCACACTGAAGCAGGTTCAGAGTGCCATTGACATTGGTATCGAAGTACTTGTTGGGCTGGCTCAATGAAGGAAGAACACCAGCGCGGGCTGCCAGATGAACAATAGCGGAGAAGCCATTATCAGCGAAAATGGTCTGAAGGGCCTCGAGATCCTCAATGTCGGCTTCGTAAACCCTCAGATTGGGGTTCAGAAGATGAGGTGCAAGGTTGGCGCGCTTGATCGCTGGGTCGTAGAATTCATCAAAGTTGTCAACGACGACGACTCTCCAACCGCCCTCAGCAAGAAGAGCTTCAACCAGATGGGAGCCGATAAAGCCGGCCCCACCGGTGACGAGAATAGCTCGTCTAGGCTTAGAGGTGCGTATCCTTGTTACAATCGTCATGCTTGCGAGTGGGGGGAGGTAGTAACTGAAGAGGGTCTGGGGAGATGGATAAGGTTGGCAGGATCGGATATGTAGCGGGGATTAAGCATATTTAGTTGAGAAGGAGAGATATACTCCCCTTTAAGGGATGCTTGGTGTTGAAGGGTGAGTTGCAATGCGCCACAATACTCTGAATTTCCCACTAATGCAAGCCACATTAGATAGATCCGAGCCATCCCCTCACTAAGTTGGTTATCAACTCATCTTAAGTGAGGGGGCGCCAAGCTTGCCACCATTCTTTTTCCGCTGCCCTTAGATTGCCATGTCTCAGCCGCTAACCCAGACGAGGGCAGCTCAGGGGTCATCGTTATCTCCCCTTCTTAAGCTCTCAGACATTTCACCATCAACAAAAATCTCCGCGTCAATCTCAGCAGCCGTCTGGCCACCAATTTGCAGTTCAGAGACATTGATAGTTGTCATTTCCATCGCGTATCACCACAATCCTTGAACTATCACTCTTGTCTTCGCTGGCCGAGATTTTATGGCTGAGCGACAGCCCCAAAACAAACACCAAGGCTAGCATGCTCTACCCCAATCCAAAGCCCAGTAGGGCAACTCTGTCGGCAATCTTCAGCGCACCCATGTTTTACAAGATCATCACCATTTGTCTGGCGTTGTCTCTATCCCTCTATGCTTTGGTCTGGTGGTCGGAGGTAGAAATAAGGCCGGCAGGCTGGCAACACGACAATGTCAGCACAACAGAGCGGCCGGAGGTACCAGTTGACCAGGACCGTCGGTTTGCCTTAATCGTCCCTTCTACCAACCCAAGTCCGAATCTGTGCAGGACAGTCTTCAGCGCCATGGCTTTAGGCTATCCAAGCCCAGTCATCATCAATTGGGGACTCAACTATAGGGATATCTCACATTGGAGACTTGGCAAGAATCTTCCCAAGATCGTCGGCTTTGTCAACTACCTTGACTCAGTTATGCACCCCAGTGCTGCCGCAGAAGAGAAGCTATTCGATGACGATATCGTTCTCATGGTTGATGCCTATGACGTGTGGTTCCAGCTCCCTGCTCAAGTTCTTCTCAGTCGGTACCATGAGATCAACAGGAAAGCCAATGAAAGACTGCGCAAAGAATGGAAGCGGAAGGATATACCCATGCCGATGAAGCAGACAATCGTCGCGGCATCGCAAAGGAAATGTTACCCCGAGGATCCTGTAAAATTTGGTGTGGACATGAAATGTGACCGCTGGCCCGAGCCTCCTTTGAGAGAAGACCTCTATGGACCGGAGACGGAAAAGAACGCTACCTTCTGGCACAACAACAGACCGAGGTGGATCAATGGCGGCATGTACATAGGCCCAGCAGGCGACATGAGACGACTGTTTCGCCGTGCCAAGCAAAACATCGAAAGAATGGTCGCAGAGGCTTTCCCTATAAGGAGCGAACAGGGTATGATTGGCGAAGTACTCGGTGCGCAGGAAGTCTGGCGTGAGTTGCAGAGGCAAAACCACGTCAGCGTTGATGTGGAGGACTTCGTGGGAGAGAATTTCGAATTCCACATTGGACTTGATTACGCTCAGGACATATCGGCACAAGCTTTCGCAACTGAGATCAGACCAGAGGATGACCTCTTCGACGGTGACTTTGTCATGTTGAGCGACCAAGCGTCCATCGAAAAGAATTCTGAGGTACGCGGTATATCACCAGTACGAGTGGAGGGTATCCCAGATGATCTCAAGTCGGTTCAAAGCCCATTGGTTGAACAAGGCAAAGCCGTTGACTGGAGCGACATGCGTCTGTATACCGATTTCTTCCTCACAACAGTACCAGCTATACTGCATCACAACAAGTTCAAGGAGAGACGTGAGACTTGGTGGGATAGACCATGGTACCACCAAAAGCTGCGTGGCCTTGTCAAATCCGCTCTGCTACCTAGAAAAGGTAATGAGCCTTTGGCTACTGTTCAGCTTGAGGGCAGCAAGGTCAGATACTGGGCAGCTTCAGCGGAGAAGAAAGACAGATATCCCCGCATGGGTAAGCTCAATGCCAACTTGACGGTTTATAGTAGGTTTCCAAGCATGGAGCCTAAAGAGATGTGCCGCCTTGGAAGACGAAAGCCGCCCGGATCGAAAGCGACGTGGGAGGAAGAAGTTTTCCGTGACGGTGGTGGAGCGTTCAACTGACTTTGGTTGATTGATTCCTATAGATGATATTAAATATTACAAATTTCGGATTTCCATAGGAGTTTTCGTTTCCTTCAGTCATGATACCAGCGTTTTGAACGAGACTCTCGAGATAAAATCAGGAGAATCGTGCGGTGATCATCCAAGCGCAATTTCCGACTATACGAGGCTAGTACCAGTGACGAAAAACCATCATAGCCGTTAAACTCCAGAGCGTTAGCTTACAGCCTCTAGCCCCACTTCACAATCGATAGTCAGTAGAATTTACAGGGTTTAACGCCAGCTGACGAAAACACTACTATCAGCGATAACGTCTAGGAGTCAATCAAGAGACTTTAGTATGTATTTGTGTTGCGACCGCCAGTAGCATCGTGTCTGATTTTAAACTGCAGGAACTCTAATTCTGACCTTAATCTTTTGCTAGTAATACGCTTTTACGCCTCGTTTGCGCTAGCCGTTGGGCTTGTGGCTGCTAGCCCTTGAAAGCCGCCATCTTCCAGTATGTGTTATTCCCGGGAGCATGTAGACTTGTGATAACTAACCAGATCATTTTTAGCTGTTTTGTCAGAGTTCATTTCGTCATCGAGTACGATCATCGATTTTGCTTCTTCCGCGGTTGATTCCACAGCAACTACCGAGACCGGCGTAGCTGAAATCTCAGCATTGGCCGAATCCTCGGTCTCAGAGACTTCCACTGCAATTGGCTCAACGAGCTCCGAATTCGCCCAAGTCAGCGTCTCAAGAACCGAGTCTTTGGTCAAGCCAACTTCTATCAAGACACCCGAAGCCACCCCCTCAATGATACAACAACAGCTCTCACAGCAGGTGCTCTATCGGTCGAAACAACTACAGCTGTCGCAACCACCACCACTTCCGAAGAGGCAGGCCCAACAGGCTTCTTCCTCGTCCCGGGTGAGGGTCCAGCTCTCGAAGGCCAGGGCGAGTCCAACGGCGACAGTTTTACTCCCATGGTCCTTTGCGACTGCGGCTCGACTTTCAACTCTGCCCGCTTCCTAGTTGACGAGATCACCGGTGAACTCCAATACCTGCAGGTCGGGTTACCTTACGCCCTGATCACGCGGTGCGAGAGCCACAATCTCTACTACGGCAGTGTGCCCCTCAACTGTGCATCAATTAGGGGTCCTGGCACCTCTGTCGGATGCAGTGCTGCGAAATTGGATTATCAGACAACTGGATCAGGTTCCTCTCAGGCGTGTTCGAGATCACAGGATCCCGATTGGGGCGCGTTGTTTATTACTAACAGTGATGTCTGATATCTTGGTTCGGAGACGTTCAAATACATATATATATTATAATCTTATAAGAATCACCCCTTTACTGCATCATAAAACCTGTAAGCCTTATAATTGATATCATTAAGCAAGCTGCTCAACATTATTCAAATAGGAATTTAAGCAGCTGGGCCAGTAATAAATAAACAGGCTTGTTTGATGAGATGTTGGAGGTTTTACGCAGCTACTCTTTGCCCATGTTACCATCAATGAGCTTAAAGTCTTCACGTATCTTATAAATCATATTATAAGTCACTGCAGGCATAAATAGGTGTATGCCGCCAGCCTCACTTTCAACTATCTGGTGATGCCCCGCTATTCGACCTTATTATATCAGGTTTACTTAACTGCGATTGTGGCTAGCGCAGCCGCTCTGCTAAGCCAACATCGATACCCAGAAAATTGGGACATATCAGTAGTAGAAAGGAAATAGCAATCGTTGGTAATAACTGTCGGGGACAGATGACAGAAAAACTGGGAAATGGTGGGATTCAAAATTGATTGCGCAAATAAGCATCCAATAAGACAAATGACAGAGTTCGCTGCGCCACACCGAGAACGCCTTGCTTATTTCATTGGCACTCAAACAAGCTCCCTCTCGCGGACACAGCCAATCATAAGCTGACACAGCCAGCCAATGAACCGAATTGCCTACCAACAATGATATTGAAAGTAAGCCTAACGCGACGCACAAGCTGGACAAACCACCAGAATTTCCGGTATTTAAACATCATTTTGAGCCACTCATACTGCCTTCTTCCAACCTTACATCGCTACCTACCCTCATACACGTTTTATCCAATATGCTAGCAGGGCCAGAAGATGCTACTAGCCACGGCCTGGCACACCGGGACTGTGACACATGTCCCAGTGCCACAACTTCTACCCTTCTGACGGCTACGGCCACCACGAATCAAAACCACATCAGCGTCACGCAAGAGTCCAGCGCTGTAAGTCACTCAACTCGCACGGTGATTTGGCTGGTTGCTGACCTTCACGAACTATATAGATACTACACAAGCGACGGAACGGAAGGGCAAGATTGACACAACTGCAGGATAAAGCTATTGCCGTCATGGTATAGCTGCTTTTACGTTACTGGGGGCTGCAAGCTGGTCTTGGTTAAACCCTCCTCTCCACTGTCTGTTATAAGACACGGGGTACTGTACTATAGTGTATGTTACAGGGAGGCCATTAAGAGTGAACTATGCCTTAGAAAAGTAATGAATTTCTGGTTACCTGCACCTTGTCCATACTTTGGTGTATTGTACCTATTCGCTGTTGCTCTATGTTTTATGTAACGTCGAATTTTTAACTTTTGTTTCAGAATGAAGAGTGTTGAACTTAGGCCTCTGTCAGCCTTCTAAGGTTGTAGGCCTTTTGGAATGGACACCCTAGACATGGCCTGTGTTGAAAATCACATAGAGAATTATTCAAAAAGAAAACGAGTTGTAGAATAAAGCAGGCGCACCCTCAGATTGACAAGGAGCCAACAACATATAATCTGATCCTCTTCCAGAAATAGCCCAAGGCCTCTGACTCTCACTCCTCCATAACACCATGCTTGGACTTGGGGAAATACCTTCATATCAAAACAAAACAACCTAACCTATAGTTAGAGTACAGCAACTAAAGCTCTTTTTAGCCATTATCTACATCTGTTAAAGTGGGCCCATTCCAACATGGATCCTTGGCACAGCCACCCTTTTGGAAGCACAGCCTCATCTAACAACTGCGCCACATGCTGTACGTTAATGTACCGTGCTGCCGCGTATATAACGTCAGCGCGCGTCAGCTGAAAAGAAACGTTAATTCCCCAATAACAACATCATATCATCAACCCGAACCTCGACCGCGCAATCTAAAGCTCACCCTATACACCGTCGAAATGTCCTCCTCTCAATCTGTGCCACAAGAACTGTCCGAGATGAGAAGTTCTCAGTCTCTCGAGACCAATCAACCCAAGTCTCAGCAATCAATGGGTAAGACAGCCACGCGCCCAGACTACCAGCGCGCCGAGTTTTGGTACTTTATACTGATATTATGCAGATCCCCAGAAGGCTCCCGAGACTACAGATCCTCAAATGGAGCTCCGCGGAGGTGGTGCTTGCGATGGCAGGCTCTGTGGTATCATCCCATGCCCGATTCCCATCAATTGCTGGATCATCCCTTGCCCCTGTTAGAAGAATCAGCTAGACGGAGTCTTTCGGTCATCCTTTGCGTTTTAGTTTTCAAGATACTCGTGGTATATATAATGCTGGGATAATTTATAGGCATGTTGCTTTTTCGCTCATTATCTTGACGCTGCTCATGACGTCATCTCCTCAATGCAGCTGGGATCTTCCGTGCGCGTGAGCCACGCGTTGCTCAGGTATCAAGTTTCGATCCACTGCAACATTCACACGACGCAGTTATAGCAATTGAGACCTTACTACAAACCAATAAATCAAATTATAATTCTTATCTAGGTAACCCTGATAAATCTATCGCAACTAATCTTGACCAAAAATGACATCGTTCTTGCGAGATTTGGGCAGGACCGTCAGCTTCTCCATCTTACCAGCCTTCACGGTACCCTCAACCGTAGTATTATGAGGAGCCCAGACCTTGAAGCGCGCATCCCAAGTCTTGGGCCAAGCAGCAAGCAATCTAATGTCGTCTCTAACAAAAGTCTGGATGAGCTGCTCCTGGAGTCCGATGGCAGCAGAACCGTAGTGATTCAGATCAGGTGTCCAGTCGAAGTTGGGGCCCTTGAAAGTCGGGAACTTGCACACTTTGCTTGGTGCATACCGGTCTTCCGTCATTGCAGTAGCGTTGACTGTGAAGCCCATTCGCGCGAGCCAGATGACATCCTGCTTCCAGCCAGTGTTGCCGTGGAATGAGAACGTCTCGGTGTCGTAGAGATAAGTGTTGATAGCGTGCGTGAGGTTAGGAAGACCGAGACCGTATTCGGGCCAAGGAAATACTGTGTATAGCTGAGGAACTTCGCTATTTTGAACGCGTGTGTATGCTTCGGCGGGAGCGATACAGGTGTGACCTTGTTGCTGGCGTAAAGTGTTCGCAGGGATCTTGGCCAGGTACTTGGTGTAGTAGGTCTTGTTCTGAAGTGCATACTCATCGACGATGAGCAGGTCTTTGACGACTTGACGCAGACCAGCCAGAGTGGAGACTGGGTTATATGATTCTTTGTATGTCTCGGCACCAGAGCCGGGATAGATGACCAGAGATTCGTTGCCAGCCATGCCGGTCAAGGGCCAGGGATTACGCTTCTGCATTTCGCGGGTGTAGAACTTGTCGAACCACGCGAGTTGATACTCGATGAATTCGAGGTATGGTTTGACGTCAAAGCCAGAGTAAATGTTGGCCTGCAAGATCATGTCGGCGAACTCACTAAAGTTGAATAGTTAGCCATCCTCCATATACTATCCCAATGGAAGGGGATGCCGCAAGGTGCAGTACTTACTTGGCTGTGTCCTGCACATGGTTCAGCCAGACATTCCAGAGCTCACCATCTGGGAAGAAGTCAGGCCGCGGAGTATTAGCGTCGTCATCGTACCACTGCGCGTTATACTCGAACACATTTGACAGGCCAGTATTATCGATCTGCTCCAAGAAATAAGCAGCATCGATATCCTGGTAAACCTGACCGCGTAGAAAGGCATTGGGAGTGATGCGCTTGTAAAAGTCAAACTGCTGCGTCATGACATCAAAGTCACCCGATCGCAGAAGAGGCCAGTACAGTAGACGCTGGTTCTGAGCAGTGAATGTACCACCACCCCAGCGGCGATAGTCGGGCGTGTAGGGACGCCAAATGTTGACATATATGGGATCGAAAGTCCAAAGTCCACCGTTGAACTTGGTGGGCCAATCGCCCTTGGCATTGCACCCCATGAGGTATCGCCAGATCTGGTAGTTCTTGCCGACCTGAAAGCCTGCATCCTTCTCGCCCTTCCCCTCGTTGATGATGATATAGGATCGAGCCCAGTATTCGTGCCACCAAGCAAGAGTCGCGTCCTGGGTGTTCTTGGCTGTGGACTTGATCACCTTCTGAAGACCTTTGTACCACTCATCGTGATTCTTAGTCTGAGCCTGGTACATGGATAGTGTGACCTTTACAGACTTGCTAGGTGCCTTTGAGTCAAGGTTCCAAGCTTTGTAAGTAGTATTGATGTAGTGGCCATTCGTGACAGCGCCGGGTTTCAGCTGCTCGGAATGGACAAAGATGCCAAACTCATTGTCGCGCATGGGGTTGTACATCTTGTCAGAGTGCTTCTCAAGCCCTTGCTGCTTCATCTGAAAGTTCCAGAGATCCAGCTTCTCGTTACGATGGCTCATAAGTACACCATTCTCATGGAAGCCAATCTTGTCGGCGTAGGTAGTGCCGTTTGCGATCTTGGAAGTGTAGATGCCCCATGAGCCCTGGTTGCGCTCTTCATTGATGATAGGACGGTCCTCGTAGCGCCAGTTCTCGTAGGCGACCTTGACGGCTATCTTCTCGGGGCTGTCAACCTCAACGTGCACGACGGGGTTGAAGACGTCGACCCAAATCTTGGCAGTCGCGTTGTCTTCACCCGTGTATTTGACGTAACCGTCGTTGAGCAACAATCTCTGCTCAAATGATTGGCTGTCGAATGGATTAGGGTCAAAGGACAGCCTGACGCGACCGAGCTTCAGCAGAGAATTGTTCTCGTCAAAGGTTCCGCTCTTGGCGATGTACATGAGAATCGTGCCTATTACACGGTATATGAGTAAATGAAACGTTTCGCATAAAAACGGGAGCTACAATTAGAGCACGGGGATGCGTTGTCGGGGGACATATATTAAAGACTGGCTTACCATTCTCGTACCAAGTGTTGAGGCCAATATCACCGCCGCCGAGAGGCATAGAGTCAGCTGAGCCATTGACACCAGGTTTATCCCAGACAACATCATAAGATGTGGGAAGCATCGCCAGCACGCTCGTACAGCAAAGAAAGAGGACTAGCAAGATCCGGTTTAGGTAGCCCATGGTGAGTAGTTTACCACCTCTAAGATGGGATAGTGCTTGGTGACCTCGTGCTCAGAGACAACGCGTGGCTACAGCGGTTTCTTAAGTAGTACCCCTCTCTATTATAAGCGATGGTAAATTTGCCATACATCCTTGAACCTGGACTGTCCCTATTGGTTTACGGCGGGAGGGTAGCGTAAAATGGAAATGACAGCAGCATCATGACCTTGAGCACTGCTTAACGAGACCGGATGTCGTGTGGCGAAACCCGGTGATCTGAGCGAATGCGGGGAAAGACGAACGACAATTACCCCCGCGATTTCATGGCTATCAATTACTTCGATAGTACGATAGTCTTTATAGTCGTGCCGTATCTCGGCTAAAATGCCATGACTTTCCGATCAAGGTGACATAGCTTGATTCGTAAGATATTAGCGCCCGGTAAACATCGGCGAACTAGACCGGTCAACCCATAAAGAGATCGGCAACGTCAGATAGGGACGATCGGCATACCGAAAGTAACAGGAGATAAAAACATCAGATTAATTGCTTTAATGAGCTTTGTCTGAGCTAATAGTATAGAAGCACAAGCTAAACTAGTTCCTCACATTGAAACCCATTATGATCAGATATCCCAATCCTCCTTAATCATGGTGGCTCCGTGCTCGCCCAACATGTACACCGGGCCAGCTATGTTAACGTCTGGCACTGTAGGCATGATGCTACTATCGATAACTCTCAGGCCCTGCACTCCATAGACGCGAAGACGAGAGTCGACAACGCCGCCGTCCTCAAGTGGAAGCATGCGATTAGTTCCGGAAGCGTGCCAATTAGGAACTGTCGTAGCCTTGATGTACTCAAATATGGCATCCTCGTCATCAGAAGCAATGTTGGAAACACCAGGAGCAACCTCCCCATGGTTAGGCCCAACAGTTAGGTTTGCAAAAGCGGAATGGGCAAGGATCTTCCGTGCGTCCCGGAACGCATTGATGGCGATAGCACGATCAGCAGGGTGGGTGTAGTACTGAAAGCAGTTAGTATGGAACAAGTAATGAGAGCTGTTATCATGACAACATACGTTGGGGTTGATGATAGGGTCGTCGGACATGCCGCTCGACTGGATGGTGACGTTGCCCTTGGATAGAGCGACCATGCTTGACACCGAAATAGATATGTATGGCTGATCCGATAGTGGTTCGTAGGTGGGACCTGGGCTATTGGGATAGAAGAACGACTCAAAAAGAAACTCTACTGTAGATCGATTGGTAAGTCCAGCATCGATGACAGCTTCGGCACCTATCTTCTGAAGCTGTTCCTTTGATAGCTCTTGGAAGCCATTGGTTATACCTCCAGGGGCCGTGTAGACTCCTTTGCCAGTAGTGTAGTATTCCTCCTGCGAAGCTTCGACGGCAGTGGAGTTAAACATAAGCTGGTGGGTTGAAGCTTCGGAAACTACTGTGGCTGAGATACTATACAGGTTATGGTCCATCATGCTACATGTTGTTAGAGCAATGTTCCATAGCTAAGGCCTTCTAAGTTGACTTACTGCTGTCCCACGTTTGCATTGATGACAACCGGCTCTATATTGAACGCGTCAAGCGTGTCCTCCGGTCCAATACCCTGGTCTCTCGTTAGCGTCCTTTTCTAACAAGTTCAAGAGAAAATAGGCCACGGAGTGTGTTCTTACCGATACTATTAGAATTTGGGGTGACTGGAAAGTTCCCAGAGTGACGATGACCTCTTTTGAAGCTGAAACAGTGCGGTGACGACCCTGAGAGTGATCAATGAAGTTGACACCAGTCGCAATAGGGAAACCAGTAGCATTCTTTGAGAACATGATCTGCTGAACTGGGGCGTTGTGAAAAATGTCGACATTGGGCCATTTGGCGGTAGCCTTGTAATAGTCGTAAGCTGAACTACGTCGGTACTTTGAGGTCAGAGTGGCGGTCCCTTGCTTAACGCCGACATTCTTCCCGATGTTGAGGTCTTGGACTATTGGGATCTCAATTGCTGCACAGGCATCGATGAAAGCAACGCTCGAGGGCGGGACAAAGCCTTGGTAGCCAATCTCCAGTGGACCGTTAGAGTATGCGGATGGGTCCCAGGTCTGATACTTTTGGTTGTAGCCTGTTCCATTATTGGGAGCATTGAAGTGAGTACTCTGTTGACATTATGAGCGGAAGAATCTGGGATCGTCGCTGACGGCACTTACCTTGATGAATGACGGATACACTTCTTCCCAGCTCCAACCTGGATTTCCAAGCTCCACCCAGTGATCGTAGACATTAGCTGAGCCTCGTCCGTAGTAGAGGCCGTTGAGGATGCTGCTACCACCAAGACCGCGTCCACCTATGAGGCTGAGTAAGGAAGCACTATGATAGATTGTAGTACTTACGATGGTATGCAAGTTTGCGGCCATCGAGGCCTTCCTGGGGCTCGGTATAGAAGTTCCAGTCGATCGCCGTACCTGAGTGACAGATTAGGGGCGCCAAAAGACTCATTTCTGAATTCGATCTTACCAGCGATATATTCAACTGCACCAGGTGCTTGATGCATGGCTACAACGTTTGGATCTGGCCCAGCTTCTAGTACTAGTACCTTTTGCTCACCAGACTCGCTCAGCCTATCCGCAAGAATGAGACCAGTGGTTCCGCCTATGACGGAGTCATTATCATCAATTGAGGTTGCCGCCTGTGGAGACGGTATGAACACTTACCACCCACAATGATGAAGTCATACGTGTTACTGAGAGTAGACTCAGGATGGTGTCGTGCAAGGATCGACGAGAGCTGTGATAGTAGAGCCACGGAAGTGATGGTAAACCGCATGATGAAGACTGAGGAGGGGAATTTGGTACGTCTAAGATGGAGAGGCAGCGTGCTACTGAGACGTTTTGTTTAAGCTATTGATAGCTTGCTTTATAGATTATGTCTCCCGCGCTTGAGGTTCAGTCGTCGGGAAACAGATCGAGTTTCAACCCCTAGTGTCCAAGGACTAAATCTGTTGCATAGTTTCTTCTCGAACTGCTGCTTGACCTGGAAGTAGGTAGAAACGGCGCTGCGTATCCATCTTCCCGACTTGGCAGGTAGACAATGAGCCCATCTTCGTAAGACGGTGGAATAGCTTCTCTCACAAAGGTCTTGACAATTTGCGTAACCATAAGCAAGTGGACCAGTGTAGTATATGGATTCAACATACTCTAAGCCCTAGTGTAAATATAGACATAATGTCCGCCTGTGTAACAATTCTAAGCTGGGTCTTTTGTGAGATATGAGACCCCAGACAGTGTAGGAGACACTGTGGGATATCTTCGAATCGAGTTTCCAATAGCAGTAAGCAGCAGTGGCAATCGTTTAGTCACAGCTTACTATAGCATCTTATATAGCCAACTGCCGTGTTTTAGGAGTGCGGAGCGAGAACAGAAGGAACAGTTTAAAGCAACGGTTCAGGCAAGGTATGACGGAGCGGAGCCGGCACAGAAGGAATGCATATGCAGTGATAAATTCTCCATTGAATTTGGGATCCCGCAGGATGAATCTGCCGTGAAGATCGTGAGCTAATTTTATGTTGCACTTGAATCCTTCAGGATGACGGGCCAAGAGTTCATTGGAGCGCCTTTACAGGATAGTCGACCTGAGTGGATGTTTTGTAAGCGACCCTGTATGTAACGCGTGAATCTATGGATACATCAGGAAAAGGTTTACATTCGCCGCCGAAACCAGGTCATAATGTGCTCAGCCGATGCTGTAGAGGATCCGCCAAAACCCCAACCCCTGGTAGGTAGTCATATAAGCATAGAGTGAGATCCGCTGACAGACACTTTTTGACTGCATCTAGAATTTAGGATTCGAAATAGAGTGCGGGATTTAGAAGGTGTGACGTGCATTAGTCCTACCGTGTTATTAGGCATGGGTTTACGGGATGATACATACTAATATAGGCTGACATGATCTGTAAGGCTGATGTGAGTCGATGCAGGGGTTATGAAGCCAAACCCCAAGGGTGTGCTGTCATCGGTACATACTGCATAAGAACCCAACTGGTCACCGCTTATCTGAAAAGAGAGAGGAGAAATACGGTAACAACGCTAGGGTTTGTTGTGTCAAGATTTCGAATAACAATTTGTAATAGCACGTAGAAATGTGATATATCACAATCCATTCATTATCAATTTTCTTTCTCATTCCCCTAATCAATCTTTCACCCACAGTAACATCATCATCTTCGAACAAGGTCACACAAGAACAACCACTATGGGATCCCGCTCTAACACGGTTAGTAAATCCATTCCATGTTCACCTAACATCATTAATGGCCTCAATGAAGATAACAACGCTCCTTCTGGACTGTGACAATACCCTTGTCCAGTCCGAGTCTCTTGCTTTCGAAGCAAGCGCTGATCTCACCAACGAGATACTCGCTGCCTGTAAAGTCAACCTGAGCTTTACGGGCCGCTATTTGCAACGCGAATTTGTTGGACAGAACTTCCAAAACATGGTGAGTGACTAGAAGAATGATAGCTATGCACACATGACTAAATCGTAATTACTAGATTCGCGCTATCGAGGCAAAGTTCAATGTCTCGTGCAACATCTCGGATAAGAAGCTGGAGCATTATGCCACCATGGAAGACGACCGCGTCATATCCAAGCTTATACAAAAGTTAGAACCATGTGAAGGCGCTAATGCTGAGTTGGAGTGTCTCAGGGGACACTACCGACTCGCTGTAGTATCTTCATCAGCACTTCGTCGTGTGCGTGCTTCTCTTGATATAGTTGGCCAAGCCGATTTATTCGACCCAAACGACGTTTTCAGCGCTGCAGACTCGCTCCCTGTTCCTACTTCAAAACCTGATCCAGCTGTATACCTACACGCCTTGAAGACTATGGATAAAAGCGCCAATGAGTGCGTTGCAGTTGAAGACAGTCGCTCTGGTGCAACCTCTGCTACATGCGCTGGCATCATTACGGTTGGTTATACTGGTGCATGCGAGACGCTCGAGGAGGCTGAGGTACTACGTGTAGTTCTGGAGAATGCTGGTTGTAAGTTTGTTATGAGTAGTTGGGATGAGTTTCAAGATGTTCTGTACAGGATTGAGACTAGTTTGGTGGAATGATATTTCCTTGGAACCTCAGGAAGCCATAGACTACCTGGGGTTAGGCTATTTAGAAGTACAGTATCTGTGAATCTACCAGTTGCAGTGTTTTTATTAGTTTTAAGCATACTTCGGTTCATACACGTCTAGAATACTTATAAGCTTTAGGTAGATAATAACTCAAATTATGCGGCCTCTGACCAAGTGCTACAAGGAATTGCCCCCGCAACTTGAATGAGAAACAGAAAGACCGTATCAGACGCTCATTAAAGGAGGTTAAAGTGGGCAATAAAGCGACGAGAGCTTTAGTTACAAAATGTATATGACACTCTAACTATGGGCTGCGCACCGCTCCCCTCCCTAGCCTTTCACTGCCGCTCCAACATTCTATGCTCTCTGTCCTACACAGAGTTCTCATTGCCATCCGTCTGATTCTTTTCCACCGGCCTGCGGGGAAGTAGTAGCCACAAACAGCCAAGAACGACGCAAATAGCGAGGACGATGGGTTGAAGTGTCTGCACCCCCTTTGCCTGTGCAATGGCCCCTACGGCAAAAGGTAGTATTGCGCCGCCAGAACCGCCAAAGGAAGCGGCGAAACCGATAGTTCCAACATGGAGAGAGCGAGGCATAACCTTGGTGATGAGAACAACGGCAACAGGATACATTGGCCCTAGAAACTTTAGTGTTAGCTATAAATGCTTCTACATATAATCTGTGACGATATTGTGCTGAAAACATACCCATGGCAACGCCAATTAGTGCTGCTGCCACTGCACTAACGACCAGGTTTGGCACCAGCCAAAAAACCAGCTCTAAAGCAATAGTTACTCCGATGTATAAGAACATGGCCCAGAACTCTCCCAGTCGGACTGTTACTAAGGATAAGAACAGGCGCCCGACTGTCATTCCGCCCCAAAACCCTGTGGCCACGGAACTGCCAACAATAGCTGAGGCTTTACGTCTTTTCTGCATGAAGACGACCACCCAACCACCAAGAGCAACTGGAACAGATTTTCAGTAACTACAACAGAAGAATATTAACGAGAGCTTACCTTCGGCTCCGCAGTATCCAAACACAAAAAAAGCGAATATCCACGAAAGCTTGTTCTTCAGGACCTGGCGCATACGCCCTGATTTAGCCCCAGATGCTGAAGGCGCTTCAGACAAGTAGACGGCTCCAGTCTGTGTCCAAAAGGTGATTGTTAAGACGATGAGCTCTAACACCGACGCAGCAGTCATGACATAGAAGAATGCATACCAGCCTGGCATACCATTTCCAGAGAGACCAGTCGCGACGAGAGGAGCAATGGTAGCACCAAGGGCGTAACATGCCTGCAAGATACCTGACATCTCGTGCGAGTTCATCATCTGTCCTATGAAAGAACACCACGCGGCATCAGCAAGTCCATTTCCTATGCCTACAAGGACATACATGGAGATCTTAAGAAATCGCATTAGGCATTTTGATTCAAGGTTCGATGATGAAGTGCAACATACCATGACTGCGTAAGGAGGATGGAAAGAGAAGATAAGATATGGTATAATATGACACATGGGAGCAAGCAATGCTACGCCTCTTTGACCAAAATGTACATGCATTAGGCTATTGATAGCAGAAGCGATGGCATATCCAACAAAGGGTGTTAGGAACACCAAAGACACAAGGGTATGATTCTTGTGGTAATAATCCTCGAGCTATGATACACAGTAAGCCAGGTCTATTCTACTATAGAGACATCGAGATACTACTCACCAAGGGAACTAAAGCCTAAGATGTCATAGTTAGCAACTGGGGTCGAAGAAAGAAGAGTTCATCTTACACCATAAGATCCGTCGTTCATTCCAACAACAAGAAACGACCAGAATGTCGCGGCAGTACGATACTTGTTGATAGGAGGATGGTTCCATTTTGGCGGAGCGATAGTCTCCTGGGACGAAGCATTGCTATCGACTCCCTGTTGTGCAATATCGACTCGCTGTCTGCCCTCTTCCTCACCGCGATGCGAAAGACGAGGAAGAGACTCTAGGTCAATTGCATCGGTTGCTGAGCCAGCTGCTGTCAAATTGATACTAGTCATGATGGAGGTAATCGTTTTTGATTCTGAGTAAGATGTCAAAATGATGGCTCTTGATTTTTTTTATTATAATCCATTCAGATTGCTGATGGCAAAACTAATGCTTTTGAGTAATAGGAATTACTTTGTTGGTCACGCAAATCTGACTTTCGCTTTGTCTTGTGTAACATGGCAAAAGAACCTTGCTTGTTTAGTTATCTCCTTTGTTCTCTCAATATTTCATTGTTCAGGATCTCGGTAAACACGACGAGCGGAGTTAATATTGTGGCGAGAAGGCAATCATTGTCGTAATACAGTGGATTTCATGTAAGCTCAATCTTCCAGGCTTCCAAGTTAAGTATTCCCGCCAAGCGAAGATAATTGGTAGGAGAGCATGCATTCTTCGGCATCCGCGATACAGTAAGAATTACGCAGGTTCAAAAAAGTAGTGGATCTATCGGATATGCTTATTCTTCCCGCTTATTATCGTGAATACTCCCAAACTGTGTGGATAGCTGCGGGCCATCACATCCCGCGACTCCAGTGATGAAGGATCTTATGTGGGGGTACACTCCATGGGGAGGTTTATACGACTGGGGTCGGGGAAAAACTGAATTTTACGCTCGGGGATGACAAATTCTGGGATTTGATATGTCCTAGCTATGAGCTAATTCTCTGTGTAAGCACGGCGTCACATTAGTGCCAGAAGGAGAAGCGATTGCCGACTTCTCACTGTGAATCGTAGTCAGACCTTGAGACAAGGAACTATACTCCACAGCCGTGTCGTTATCGTCGAACCGAGGTTTCTTTCGTGTAGAGTACCCTGACGGATGTGGAGAGCAAGAACGCCTAGCAGAGCTCCTGTAACTGTATGTGGGAGCATGAAGCTGTATGCTGTAGATTCTGGAGATGTCAGAGGCCTTGGTTGTATATGCAACAGTGTAAGCGATGGTGAATGTCCTGCCGCAGAAGGAAGTGACAGGATGGTTTCGTGTTTGCTGTAAGCGCTTGAAAGGCGTTCGATTATTCATACTGGACATTAAATTGTACCGCACAAAGGCCACCATGAATTGAATAATAAGTATAAAACCTTCCTTGAAACTCTCCTAAATCTCTATCTTGCAATACAGCTTTCTTCCTCTGTAGAGAACTAGAACTCAGATCAGCATCTTTTCAGCACAACTCAAACCTTATCTTCTATCACGATGGGATCTCTTGGCCCCCTTATTGACGAGCCTATCGTCTCAGAAAACTCTCTGTTCTACCAGAGTGTCTACCCTTCTGCAGCACCAACAGTCGAATCTGCCGATGGGCTTTACTTCACATTGAAGAATGGCCAAAAGATCATTGACTCTACAGGCGGAGCTGCTGTCTCTGCCATCGGCCATAATAATGCGAGAGTCAAAAACGCTATCATCAAGCAGCTGAACAAGTTCACATATGCTCATCCTGGATACTTCCAGAACAGTCCTTCTCATGAACTCGCCGACATCCTCGTCCAGTCTACTGGTGGTGAACTGTCTAGAGCATGCTTCCTTGGATCAGGTGAGTATTCCTACTGAGTGGAGTAAGATATCCTCTAACATGCGAAAAGGCTCTGAGGCTGTCGAAGCTGCCATGAAGCTTGCCCGGCAGTACTTCCTTGAGAAGGACCCAGGTGCTCCTCGTTCTCACTTCATAGCCAGACAGAGCTCCTGGCATGGATGTACCATGGGAGCCTTGGCTGTTGGGGATCTCAAAGCCCGAAAGGAGCCATTCCTTGATGTTCTCGCCACCAATGTCAGCCATGTCTCTCCGTGCCACCCATATAGGGATCTTGAAAATGGCGAGACTGAGGAACAGTATGTGATCAGACTTGCCCAAGAACTGGAGGATGAGTTCCAGCGGATCGGTCCCGAGAACGTCTGTGCCTTCATCTTGGAGCCCATGGTTGGAACTGTAAGTTACTTTTAATGAACCCCAAAAGATGACAGCAAAGAGCAAATACTAACTCAAATTAGGCATTAGGTTGTGTTACTGCTCTCCCTGGATACCTGGCTGCTATGAAGGCCGTTTGCCATCGCCATGGCGCACTCATCATCTTCGATGAGGTCATGTGCGGTCTCGGACGAACTGGACACATGCATGCCTGGCAGTACGATGGTGTAGTTCCGGATATCCAAGCGGTTGGCAAAGGATTGGCTGCAGGCTACGGTACCATCTCTGCACTTCTCATCCACGACCGCGTTATCGATGGTCTGAAGCAAGGCAGCGCATCCTTCCAGCACGGCCAGACCTATCAGTGCCATCCTCTCAACGTAGTCGCCGCTCTGGAGGTACAGCGCATCATCCGAGACGATGACCTCGTCCGAAATGCTCGCCTCATGGGTTTTCTCCTTGGACATCTACTTCATCGAGCTTTCGATAGTCATCCCAACGTTGGCCAGGTTCGCGGCCGCGGTATGTTTTGGTGTATCGAGTTCGTGGCTGACAAGGTCACCAAGCGGCCGTTGGATCTAAAGCTGAACCTCGCTCGTCGAATGCGACTTCGCGGCCTTGAGAAGGGCTATGACGTATGCCTTTTCTCATCTACTGGATGTGCTGATGGCTGGAATGGTGATCACTTTTTGTTGGCTCCTCCTTTTACTGTCACACCCCGTGATGTCGAGGAGATTGTGTACCGTGCATCCCGTGTTGTTGACAGTGTGTTTGAAGAAGTCAGAGCAAAGGGTGAGATCTTAGCCTAGATTAAGCTGTGTACTATTCATGGCCTTGGTACGGAAGGGCTTTGATCTATCTTGATCCCGCTTTGGGGGAGGTTCATAGCATCGCAGCAGTAGAAAAAGAAGACAAAATATAACAAACACATCTCTTGGTATTTGCAACTCATAACCAAACCAAACTGATGGCCTAAACCTGACTGTATATCCTCTTGACCTTACTTTATTATTTCGATCCATGTGGAGTGTCGTAACAAGGGAGGGTACGTGGAGTAACAGTCCTAGAACCGCTCTCCACCTTGATGATATGAGCTTACCCTGGTTACCTGAACGTAATACGTTACATCTGAGCATTCCCCTCATCGGCTTGCTTAAGTAACCATCGCTGACACAAAGCATAAAAAGGCATTTGCTGACCATCTCACACCTCTCGCATTCCTCACATTCTAGAATTATCAGCTTCCTGTTGAAGCTCTACCAAGCGATAACAATAAGCCCTTGTACTACATCTTTCTCACACCAAAATGTCTACCAATGAGAAAACGCTCACCCATCCTTTCACTGTTGAGGCTGGAGCAGGGACTGACATTTGGCGAAAGCCCGGGTATAACGCGTGGAACAGTAAGTCACGCCAGGCTATGCGACTCACACTCACGCTTACTCATTGTGGCAGTTCCCGATGTTCATACCGTCTCGGGCCCACTCAAGTCCTTTGTTTCTGTTCGTGTCACCTTCTCTGCTAAGTGGGAGAACCTCTACGACCAGTCTGGCATCCTCCTCGTGCCACGCAGACCATCTGACGCAGCGGCCCCTCACAGCAAGTGGATCAAGTCGGGTATTGAGCTCTACGCTGGAAAGCCTCACTTGAGCACTGTCACTTGTGACAGATTTGCCGATATGAGTCTGTACCCTGTGACGGCTACAGAAGGTCAGCGAATTACACTCCAAGTAGCCAAGGAAGGTGGAAATATTTGGGTCCATCAGCTCATTCTGGATGATGACGGAAGTGTTAAGGACCGATTGCCACTGAGGGAGATTTGCTGGATCTTGTGCGAGGAGCAGGATGATTGGGTCTTGGACGTAAGCGCCTTGGCAGCCAGACCTGACAAGACTGCAAAAGGACCCTTGAAAGTCGAATTCAGTGACTTCAAGGTGCAATGGAAAGAGTAAATAGTCACTCAGACTCGAGCGCCAGCGGGTCAGGCATCGCGGGTTTTATTAATCGCATGTGGTCTTTCTTTAGTTCCCACCGAAGAATATAAGCTCGCCTTCATTCACATGTATCTCAGATATTGGTGCACAAGTCTCAAAGCTACAACATTTAGACTGTACTAATCCCAATCAACTGTCATATGGGGTTACCCGTGCAACTCGTGTTAGTTTAGTCCTAACTCCTTTAGGTGTTTCCTACGAATAATTCACCTTGGGAAATGATATTACCTATAGTAGATCTCCTCTCTGTCATATTAATTTATAGATATTACTGCTCCAGTCCGATAGAATTTGAGAGTCTTACGTCCTGCTGCCATTCACGACCGCCTTCCTAAACTATAGGTTGGCTGACTACCCCGCCCCTCAAAGTCTGCTGACTATTTTAGGTGATGCTTCAGGACTCCCTATAGACAGAATTCTGACAAGCCTAAGATTACTCGAACAAGAGGTTCAACTCTATTATATGTGCTATACTCTGCCGCGTACCTCTAGCCTACGTCGTGATAGCCGATATACCAGTCACTCCAAATCTACATAATGTCTTCCAGATTACCGAAACCAACAGAAACCACGTCATACCAGTCGACAGATCCTGGATGTCCAGTCTGTCATTCACTAATCCTAGAATATGACACAGTGACTAGAGGATTGACTATGTCTATGAGCGAGCTCAAGGAATCAAGCAACGCTGCTTCATGCCACACTTGTGCTCTCTTATGGGAAGCGATTAGCTCGGCTGTGAAAGAAGAAACAACTATGCCAGAAGTGCTTTATGAATCGGTACTCGTTGAAAGCAAACCACCAAAGCACCCAGGGCCCATGGTTGTACACCTTTTTCCTCATCCCGTCGCACATTCTGCCAGGGAAAAGACGTTTCAGCTATACACAACTGACAGTAGGTTGAGCGGGCCTCCAGCTGAATAATATGATATCTGACTGCACACAGGTGATTTCTCTCTGCCCTGGGATTTGATCGGCCAGGGATATCACATACCAGAATACGGTTTAGCCCCAAGTTGTGTGTCTTTGGCGCGCGAGTGGCTCAATGCATGTGGCCAGGCCCAAGGGAAGCATGCGAATTGTACCAAAACCACCATTTCAACGCTGCCAACACGGGTTATATCAGTTGGAAATGACACAGAATCGCCCAGACTTATAGTTACTGACCCAAACCAGCAAGCACACTATGCAGCTCTGAGCCACTGCTGGGGAGGAAAAACGCCGACAATGACCACTGTATCGAATCTGGAAGCATACACTGTTTCGCTCCCTAACGACCTTCCACAGACGTTTCAGGATGCTTTGAAAGTGGCTCGAGCGCTGGATATTCCCTACATATGGATTGACTCTTTATGTATTGTCCAAGATTCTCCAGAGGACTGGAAGCATGAGGCCTCCCTAATGGCTCAAGTTTATGCCAACGCCCATGTTACCATATTTGCCGATGCTGCACCAGACAGCACATCCGGCTTTTTATCTCCTCCTTCACGAAAAGCCCCAAAAAGGTTCGCTGTGCCATGCAGAAATGACCGGTCTAGCTCGGGGGTCGTGCACATCCGAGAGCGTGGGTTCCTAGCCCAACAACTTCCTTTTCACACATGGAGTAGTAAAAGGAGTGGTTTAGGTCAAAGTAAGCTATCAACGCGAGGCTGGGTGTTTCAGGAACGGCTATTATCACCGCGGACCCTGCACTTTTCGGAGAACGAGATGGCTTGGGAATGCAGATCTGTTTGTGAGTGCGAATGCTCAGCGACTTCTCTCAGAACGCTCCGCACCACAAGCGTTATGAAGCACTTTCTCCATCCTCAAGATCCTGATGTTTCCTTGGCTGAAGCGAATTGGAGATCTGAAATCGTCCCGGCATATACTGCGCTGGACCTCACCTTTGCGACTGATCGACTCCCTGCCATTCAAGGCCTGGCCAACGCTGCTCAAAGGCTGAGAAGTGGTGACGAATACATTTTTGGCCTTTGGCGAAAATCCATAAAGACAGACCTTTTGTGGTATCGAAATGGAGGCGATGGCGATGGTCACAGAATCAAGAACGGGGGTGCTCCAACATGGTCGTGGGGATCTGTCACTGAACCAATTTATTACTCAGAGAGGGTCATACCTGGTGATTCGAATTTACAGATCCTGGACATCATAACAAGAGAGGAGCAACCTCCGGTACTTGTTATTCGCGGTCATCTCGTCAATGTGAAATTAGAGGATCCTTATAGTAACACAGTGTCTTTGGGTCCCGATGACGATTTACGAGTTGAATGGGATTGCGCTGCGGATCAAACGAAGTCTAGCAAATTATCCGGATATTTCTTGGTATATGAGGCTGATGATGGAGGGCCATTTGGTCTTTTACTCAGCGTCGACCGAAACGATCCAACGGGGCAGCAGTTTCGAAGAGTCGGATATGTCCACGGGCATAGCATCTCAAAGTGGCGTCGCTCATGGGGTAGTGGTGGTTGGGCGTCTAGTCAGGGTAGCAGTGCATCCGACACCTCAGGTGGAATATGGGAGGATGCTGGCAAGGAGGGGGCGAAAGAGTGGGTTGATGAAATATTCAAGGGCGAACCTGTAACTTTTAGATTGATCTAGTGGTTGCAAGATGTGTACTTCTACTCAATTGTTGTAAGTCAGAAAATCAGCTGAAACCCCATGTTCTCAACATTTTGTTGAGGAAGATACATATGGATAGACCCTGTTCACGTTGGTGACATTCTCATCTGCCGACATACTCGTGTGTGATCCCTGAAACGCGGCTTGCACCCGGTACGCAATATCTGCTCCTAAAGTTGTCTCATGAGAATCACCAAACTTTGATTCGATACAACACGTGGCTCACCGACTGGAGCTTTCCGCCTGGAGCGATCCGATTGGTAGAAGTCTACTAGCTTACAAGACCCTTTCCCCTTGGGCCGAAATGCATTGCTACGGTTGCTTCCACGAGGCATTGGATCTTGAGCGATTGATTGTCATTGGTGAAACCGAAACGCGTTCATGCGTTATGCGGTTCCGCGCCCGTTTACCCCGGACTTTTGCGGCCGCTACCCCGCACGCACGTTCACAGCGGCCTGATGAATTGCCTGATCCGCGAAGTCAGACCACTGCCGATCAGACCGAAGCTATATAACAGGTGATGTCAGGACATCTCATTTCTCTCCTCAAATCATCAATTGACATCTAAAACCTCCACTACTCCCATCTCTGTACTCAAATATTGAAAATGAAGGCCCTCGTCTACGCTGGTAATGGCTCTGTTACCCTCCAGGACCGCCCTCTTCCCAAGATCGCTTCACCAACAGATGCCATCATCAAAGTCACCAAGACCACCATCTGCGGAACTGATCTGCACATCCGAAAAGGCGATGTCGCTACCTGTGAGCCAGGAAGAGTTCTAGGCCACGAAGGCGTGGGCATCGTCCATTCCGCAGGCCCATCAGTCGCACGCTTCAAAGAGGGCGATAGAGTTCTCATCTCTTGCATTTCAAGCTGCGCGACCTGTGAATACTGCCGAAGGGGAATGTACAGCCATTGTACCTCTGGCGGTTGGATTCTGGGGAATACAATTGATGGAACTCAGGCTGAATATGTCCGCATTCCCCATGCCGACTCGAGTCTCCACCCTATTCCTGATGGGGCAGATGAGGCGGCTTTGGTGATGGTCAGCGACATCTTCCCAACAGGTCTTGAGGTTGGCGTTCTCAGCGGAAAAGTCCAACCCGGTGGGACTGTAGTAGTTGTTGGCGCCGGACCTGTCGGCTTGGCTGCTATTGTCACTGCCCAGCTATACTCACCGTCCAAGATCATTGCTGTTGATATGGACAATGCAAGACTTGATGTAGCCAAGAAGCTCGGTGCAACTGATTCCGTCGTCAGCGGCCAAGACGCTGTTGCCCAGGTGATGAAATTGACAGACGGGAAAGGCTGTGACACCGTTATTGAGGCTGTTGGCATTCCTGCTACTTTTGAGCTTTGCCAAAAGCTCATCGCCGTTGGAGGCGTGTTGGCAAACGTTGGCGTGCATGGCACCAAAGTGGACCTCCATCTCCAAGACCTGTGGATCAAGAACATCTGTAAGTGGCTTGGATCTCTAATCTACCGTTTGACTTGGCACTAATGCAGGTACCTCTATCAGCGATCACTACTCAGCTGGTGGATACTGTGACTACCCCCATGCTCCTCAAGCTAGTGCAATCTGGCAAGCTGCAACCCTCGCAGCTGATTACTCATAGTAAGTTCTCTAGCTGTGAAGTCTAATGTATCCATACTGACGGGTTCCAACTTAGATTTCAAGCTGAGCGATGTGGAAAATGCCTACAAGACGTTTGGCGAAGCGTCGAAGCATAACGCTCTGAAAGTGCTTATCGAGGTAGATTAAATAGATATTATAGAGAACACACATGAACCATTTATTCTAAATTTCACTTCCATCGAATATTATACCGACTGTCAAACACTAAGCCCACTTTCCGACCAGAGCCATGATTCCAGCACCCAGGAAGAGGCAGACGATCATAAATCCCAGCCTGACCTTGTCGTTCGTCCTCTCGCGATTGAAAAGAAAGTCTCTAGCAATCATCTCCACAAATCCGGTATAAATGAGAATTCCAGCAGAAATAGAGTCGAAAATTCCGTTGACCATGTTTGCAGTGTAGGATGAGTTGTCGTACGTCTTTCGGATACCGAGACCAATGGCAATGGCAATAGGGGTTGTCAAACCGTAAGCGAGGCATAGGAGCCATGGCATACTGCGAAGTCGGTTGGGGAAGGGAATGGCACTGAGTCTGGCGCCGATACCGAGGCCCTCGAAGGACTGATGGAAGACAAGGACGGGGAACAATGTGTCGAAGTCGGATGTATCTGCGACTCCTAGATTGAGGCCGATGAAGACGCTATGAAACAGGACACCAAATTCAAGGATGAGGAAAGCTGCGATTTGGGTCTTGAATGCAAGCTCGGTTTCTTCGGAATCGCCATCAAGGTGTTGAAGTTCCTTGAAATCGGCATATCCACCACGAAGCTTCTCTGACGTAGCTGCCTCTGTATCGTGCTCGCCATTGATCACAAGCCTTCTCGAGTTCGAGCCATCGTCAGAGTGCTGTTGATGTCCATCACCGCCGGAAGTAGTAATAGTATCCTCAACCCCAGAATCATTATGTTGAAGCCCATAGCGAGACTGAACATAGTAATCGGCAAGAAAGTCGAACAAGAAAGTGAACATGGCTGCTGAAAGAGCGATAGCAGGTGGCCAGGAGTATGTGGACCAACCACCAGTCATACCAACACAAGATGCCGGTCCGATCTCGGAATAGGCAGGATCGAGTAGGTGGACAAACGCAGTTGCGATGATGACACCGGAGCCGAAGTATCGCGCAAAGAGGTAGACGTAGAGTGGGATTTTGAGGCGAGGCATTCGTGTTGCCACAACGGGGAAGAAAGTGACTGCGGTTGAGACGACGAGGATGACGAATAGTGAGCCAATTCTGATACCAAGAGGGCCATCGTATTGGTTTCCAGCCGTTGTCAGGAAGCAGGTGATGAGACCTTGGTCAGTAATTGACTGGAACTCAGTGAGGTTGACCCTCTCAGGGTCAAAGTTCGTAGGTCCTGACATTATCGCAATCTTGACAAAGGCTAAGAAATAAAGATAAGCGATTGAAGGAAGCTTAATCAATGAATAACCGGAATGCGAAATATTGCATTGGAGCCGAGGGGGACAAAGTATATATAGCCCATCCTGCTTAACGATTAGGCTTTTCAAATACGCAACCTCTCAAGCAAAAGGCCTCTGGTAGGCAGCCGATATTGCCGGTGACTTGCCGGTTTGCCGTGTTTCTCGGAGGAATAGAGCAGTTTGTAGAAAGGGCTGTCGTGATTTAAATACTCGTGAACCTTGATGGTTATGAGCTAAGAACGGCTTAGTTATCTTAGACTCCGTATTGGGTTGTCAAATCGGATCTCGGCACGGATTGTCAGACCAAGGACATTCTAACGGGAATAACGGTTGAAAATTTTAATGAGTGATTATTTGAGGACCTTGTTGGGCTGCCGGTAAAATGACTGTAGGGCCAAGATATCATACTAGATAAATACATATGGAATGGGAAATCAGAACATGGGGTCGCCGGAGCCGGAGCCGATAATGGTCATAGACAAGACTGAAATGATTAATGACCTTGATAATTTCTGACGTATCAATATCGAGACATAGCTGCCTACCTAATATCATTAGCCTTCGTATGATAGTCCGCCAAAACGCATCAGACACAAGAACGAGCATGCTACCACGGCCAATGACCAACGAGTCGAAATTTATACTAGAATGCGCACCAAACGCCCAAATAACCAAAAGATGATACGCAGTTCGTATTTCCTTCCGGTGCAACATGTCCAATATCTCAGGGATGCCAAGTGCATAGTTCAATCTAGGGCCAGCTGGTATGCTTAGCGTTTATAATCAATGCCAGATGTTACCCTAGCATCGGAGCTGCAGTATAGCTTGCAGATAATGAGCCTCATTCTCGGGCTTCAGCTGATTGAGTTTGTGTGGCGCAAGGAGGTTTTACACCTATGATTGGGCTCCGTCTTTGCCAAAGGGGGTGTAGCGTCTGTCGATGGTCTGGCAAAGCCAATGAACCCCATTTCATTTTCCTCTTCTTTCTTACTATAGTAATACCTCTTTTAGAGATGGGAAGCATTTAGTCATACCTCTGAAAAAATGGGAGTCTAAACTGGTAGCTAGTGCACAGAATCACAAGACCAGGCCCAATGATCTGTATTTTCAGCCTTGCATACTTTAGCCGACTGTTTTTGATGAAATCAATTATACCAGCCTCTTTGGTCAAAGAGCGAGGTCAACCTACTTCCCGCGAGCTTTAAGGGCAGGCGTTTAGCGCGGATCTCGGAGCTTATATCCAACACGGTTGGCTCGGGTGATTTGGAAGGTCGATGTACGGCGGTGCGCACAAACTCTTCTGAGCCTTTTGGAGAATGCTATCAAGTGTCGATTAAGGTGAAATATCGCTTTGTTGGTGGACGTGCTTCTTGGTGGAGAATAACGGGCTGGGCTGATTTCTCCTATCCACTACTCCATTCCAACGTGGCCATGATATTCTTACTGACTTCAATACCGATAAGTCTGGCATCGTTTCGGAACAATAACATCTTATTTCCGTGTGATGTTTGTCGTCTATTACAATATACTTATGGTCCACAACTCCTTTCTTACCTTAATAGCAAGTGCTTCAGCTATTGATAATGTATCAACTGCTTGCATACTATATTCAAGGTCAACAGTCCCTTGATGGGCTCTCCTTTCTGATAGTCCCCCAAATATGGGCCTCATCGAGTAGATGGATCGAGTAAATTGACTTGCTATCCATTCCTTCTGCTCCTCTCTCAAAGGACCTGTACGGTTGCGACTACTGCCCATGGAAATGTCGATTACGTAGGATAAGACGCTTATCGCGTGCACCTGGCCATGAAGCGTAACATGTCGCGAGTGATCAATCTTGGACACGTACTGATCGCTTTGTTTGAACCTCAGATATCCCTCGTCATCGACAGGTAAATCATGATAACTTGGGTATATAATATCGAAGCTTCCAGTTGAGAGTATATCAGTAGGGTAGTTGCAGTTGCCTAGGTAGAATGGGATGCTGAGGCATATAGAATCAACAAGCCCTTGGACTCTGGTTTCATTGGAGGTCCAGAACACGGCATATTCCGAAATACTGCTATCTTCATCAAAATGCTGAACTGCTGAGACTGCTGAGGACTTGGCAAGTTGGCCCTTGATATCCTCGAGAATGAGACAGTAGATACGCCAGGCATTCCAGATGTTAGCAACTTGTATGCTTGGGTATATGTCGCAAGCGTCGCGGTATGAAGGAACTGATGGATCGAGATCGATGCTGCTTCTCATCCGTCGTGGATACCAACTATCTGGTATCCGTTTCAGCCAAGTCCTTAGCTGAGTATCCAAATTACAAATTTGTTGCCGTAGCTTAGCGTCAGGAAAAGAGGCTATTTTTGGGGACGACATATCACGGAACGTATGCTGGAGGTCTGCAATTGATACACCGATAATATCCAGAGACGAACTCGGATTACTCGGCAAGATCGGAGCAACCTCCGTCTGAATCCAGTCCAGATCCTTCGTCGGCAGCCGAGTTCTGTTCCTCACAGAAACAGATACCCTAGAGTGGAGAAGATTGCCAACGAGGTGCGCATAGTACTTTGACTTCTTGAAACAGTCTTCTCTTTGTAACAGCAAAGTCAAAGCTCCCTCTCGATGTGCGCCATGAGCTCTGGCTTGGCCAGATACAGCTGATAAGGTGTCGTGCATCTGAAGGACAAGAGCCGATAGCACAGTCTCATCACGACCTCTCTCCGTGGGTTCCTCTGTCGCTTGGTGGAGCCGATTCAGGGCTTTCACCAGAAGCTGGTAAGGCAACGGACTCGAAGGGGGCAGCTTGCCGATCATGGACCAAATTTTGATTGACGTAGCTGTCACTGCAGTACTCAAAGCTGAATCATGTCGTTCGGACGCCAGAGCAGGACGGACAAATTCCAAGAAACCTCTTGTTGATTCCAGGCTGCGACCAACGTCGGTGACATATGTCAGAAAGAATGGTACAGCAAGATCTTGCGGGTGATGTGATGGCAGCCGGACGATAGTCCTCTCATGTGATGGTTGCTTCATACGTTTGCTGACGTGCGTTACAGCGGCCAAATTTGCTCCATAACGAGCAGTCTCATCCTTGAATCTTAGTCCGCGCTTCTCATAGCCCGTGCACTCAATGCCAAGACGAAGACAGGCCTTGCACCAAGGCTTTCTCTCGTCACACTTGACGCGGCGGTGTCTGCATGTGACGCAGCCTTGCGAAGCCCCTCGATTGACCATGACGGGGTGGAGTACGGAGCGAACTGAACAGAGTAGACTTTTGCGATGTTTGCAGGAGGTGATAATCATTACAGGGAAGATATGGTTCTTATGCTTAATTTTGTCGTATTTAGTGGAATGCTGACATGAGCAATACGCGAGAGCCTCATACGTCGTCCTGGCGGCTGTGTCTGACGATCATTACTTGATAGGGCTAGACTTTGCGAGAGACGCAGATAGTGGGTGCTGCTGACGGAATCCAAATTATTTCCGCACGATTCATCGCTTCATGTTCCTCTATTGACACTTTACTCATCATGATTTCTGAAATGACTCCCCAGACCAGCCGAAGCATGGATTTAGTTGCCAGATTGGAAGCTAGGGATGGCCTGGCGAGAGACAGATATAAAAACCCAAAGAACGTCCGAAAGATAGACATTTCTCACAACAATTAACAACTTCTCATTATCCAAGACATCGATCATTGCAATCATGAAAACATCTTCTGTCTCTGCTCTCTACGTTCTCTTCACGGTTCTGAACGCCGGAACTGCAAGTGCCAAAGACAAAGCAGACCCCATTCTCTTCCTCAGTGAAGACGACAGCTTCAACTTCGACATTCTCACGGGTCTCGGTCAAATGGCCAACGACGGCGCAGACATCAACCCCGTTCTGAGCGTCGCCAAAAATATCATCCCAGGCGATTTTGAGAGCTACATCAATGAATGGTTCAATCTTGCAAACGACACCAAGGCCCAAGCGCTTGACCCCAAGATTGCCTACGATCCCGTCAATGTCAGGGCGACTTGGTTCTCCGTGGCGAACTATTTCCGCCGGGCTGATGCTTATAATCGCGCTGATTGGGATGACCCACGTATCAATGGGTATTGGGATGAGCAGCGCGCTGCTTTTGATAAAGCTATTGCTGCTTTGCCTGTTCCAGCGGAACGAGTTGAGATCCCTGCTGGTGATTTCAACGTCTCTGGGATTTGGTACTCTCAACCCTACCAAAACAACCAGACCAAGCGACTCCCGACACTCTTGCTTACTCAGGGCTTTGATGCTGCCCAGGAAGACCTGTACGCAACTATTGTTGCTCCAGCACTAGCTCGTGGATACAACATCTTCTCCTTCGAAGGTCCAGGACAGCCAACTGTTCGCCGAGAACAAGGTGCTGGCTTCATCCCCGACTGGGAACGAGTTGTGACTCCTGTCGTCGACTATATTCTCTCAGAGAAGTCTGCCTTTGTTAATCCCCAGAAACTGGTTCTGTATGGTCACTCTTTCGGGGGCTATCTCGCTGCTCGTGCCGCCGCATTTGAACCGCGACTTACCGCCCTGATGTTGAACGGTGGTATTTGGGATGCATACACTGGATACGCTGCTCATCTGACCCCAGAGCTCCGCAAGCTTCTCGAGTCAGGGGATAAAGAAGCATTTGACGAAGCCTTAGGCAAAATCCAGGACGATCCAGAAATCCCCACCACGACCAAATGGGGCATCCTTCAGGCTCTTTGGTGTTTCAAAACCAAGTCCCCTTACGAATTTTTCCAGTTGACCAAGAGTTATAATCTACGTGGCGGTATCACAGACCGTATCCAGATGCCAGTTTGGATCGCCGACGGAGAATTCGAAACACTTCAATCTGGACAGTCCAAGCCTGTTGCTGAAGCCTTGGGAGATCGCGCTGAACTTCACATGTTTAATGGTACTGCTGGGTATCATTGTCAGACTGGTGCTCCTCAGGAATTTGGTCGGGTGATTTTTGCGTGGTTGGATAAGACCCTGAATCAGGCTTAGGCGCTAAGGAAGATACGTTGAAGGTACTCGCGGAGTGCTAACCCAGGGAGTTGAGTGAGTATCAACACAGGCGGCTGTGTGGCCAGCGAGCTCCCTTATCTAGTGCTTGTTAAGTCAAATATGTGATGTGTCAGAGACACTGGGCTCAGAAAACTTGTTTTGCGAGTACCTAGAACGTGTTACTTGTCTCAGTCGAATAATTGAGACTACAAATTCTCACTCTTTCCATTTATTTTCTCACTTTGTATTTCTTGAGTTGTGAGATTGCGATAATGCCCAAGCCAAGTTTGTTGACGCCAATGAGGCTCAATTTACTAACGTTTGACCCCCTCGTCTAAACAAACGAACTGGGATTTGGCAAGGCGGGTGTTGATTTGAGACTCAACCAATCATAGCCAGCATTGTGTTCCGTGCTTCTCTTGGTACCTACCTATACCAGTATTGTGTATCTTATTTGGCTTAGTGCTTCCGAGCTGCCCAGTTCTCAAGAGTCGGAAAATCTTGATGTTGAGCGAGGGCATCAAGGAATCTTTGCTTAAAGATCCGATCTGATAATTAGATTTACCTAAGGCTTTCTGTTATTTAAGCTTTAATCTTCGTGCCTGATCTTACCAGCCTCAATTATCTACACGTGTGACGTAATTGGTAAGATTTTAGTCTACATGTACCAACTCGACCTATTCTCGCGTACGTCTTCACACCGACACGGACATTTCACTATTTCAAGAAAACTCAGTCTTCTTTATCCTCTGCACGGCTGCTTCAATTATTTAATAGTATGACGCCCAGTCAAAAGCCCATCGTTCTTCTTGTCCACGGCGCCTGGCATGGTTCCTGGGCCTGGAAGTACCAAACACCTGAGCTGGAGTCGCTCGGATATGCCACTCAGAATCTGGATCTGCCTTCAGTATCCGGTGTAGCGGGCAAGACGCAATTGGACGACGCAGCACACGTGCGAAGTGTCCTTGAACCACTCTTATCGGAAGGCAAACACGTCGTCGTGCTGGCCCATTCGTATGGCGGACCAATTGGTTGCGGGGCTATCACCGGACTGTCCATCACCGAGCGCGCTGAGAACAACCTACCAGGTGGAGTTTTAGGATTCATCGTTCTCTGCGGGTACATCTTCCCTGGAGGCATGGACCAAGGCGCTGTCATACGCAGCTTAGGAGGTCTTCCTTATGTCAACTGGGATACCCCTTCTCCTGGACTCTTTGTCGCCAAAGACCCTGGCAGTCTGCTCTATCGACCGGATGTTTCAGACGAGCAGGCAAAATGGGCTCTGTCACATTTGCAACCGCAGAGTATGGCTGCGAATATGGGGATCGTTCCTCCTCAAGCTTGGCAAGAAGAGTCATACCGAGGTCGTCTGGCATATATCAGGGCAACAAAAGATGCTGTCATTCCCCTTCCCGACCAGGAGAACATGATTGATTCGAGCGGAGGGAGCGAAGCTTGGAAGACTGGCGTTTTGGAGGGGTCTGGGCACAGTCCACAGATTTCTCGACCCAGGGAGGTTGCCCAGGCAGTTGACAGTCTGATTCAAGACTTCCAAAGTCACAATTAAAGTAAGTGGAGAGCTGGTTGCTCTGTTAGGGAATACAGATGATTTTGGTGTTCTTGCCTCAAATTCGCCCAATGCCGTTGGTGATGTTATGATTAGTCGTAAATTGTGTTTACCATACTTTTGGATTCAGCACAAACCTCGCTCAAAAGCAAAAGATGTAGAGTTGGAGCATACAATAAGTTTCCATAACGGCAAAGGGATAAATACGCCACGATATTTACTTCTAATCTTCTTAACCATAATTTTGTGCAACGTGGAGTTCATATCGATGAAAGATTAAATCTGCTGAATCATCTTGCTTAGGGTAACCGGTTTGCCTGTCATCAGCCAGAACCTTATCTTACCACGGGAAATACCAGAACAAGATTTCTCAGCTGGACGGGAACAGTTCAAAGCTGCACCAGAATAAGCGCATTCCTATAAGCCAATTTCTGTGTTTGATGCAGCAGGAAATGCCAATGACAAATACGCGATTCCTCGATTCCGTGAATAGCATTGAGTATTGAAATATTAGCGCATAGGTGATAACTCGTCGTATTCGTCGCTAATTGTCTGGAAATTCGGAGAGTCCAAAAAGAAAGAGTTCCCGAGCGCGGGAGAAAACAATAAAAATTCGAGACTTCAGCTGGTGAGCGAATTCTTGCTTAACCGCGGGAAGTCTCTTCCTTAGAAATCGATGAGTTGCAGCCGCGGGACAAGTCAAATTCAGGGATTGTACCCGCGGGAGCGAGCAACATCAGGCCAGAGGTGGGTTCGTGAGTCGAGAGCGAAGGAGCGCAAGCAAATGAGTGACGATGAAGGGGAGGACGAGGCCGGGGCATCAAGGCTTCTTATGTGCCGTTCGTGCCGAGAAATATGGGCCTTGGCATCAATCTAAGGCCCGTCTTGGCAAAGGTCCAGCGGACTAGGACAAGAAGAGTTGGAGGTTGCGGGGTTCACCGATGAAGCTTAATCTGTTTATGCGGAGGTGGCCCTGGCCCTGTAGGACACGGGGACTTGGGGTGATCTCATCTCGAACTCTGTGGGATCAGATGATGTACAGTGAGTCTAGATGCAGTGTTGAAAGCCCAAAGACATTGACGCTTGCGTGTCTTTGACCACTATACCCAAGTGTTCTGGAAGCCTTCTCGGGAGCGAGACTGTTCCCTTCAACCATTGACTCGCCACCAAGTGAATCTTCTCCGCACTCGCACGGGTACCCATACTCATAAACGGGCATCCCGCCCCATTTCTTTCGTCGGCGAATTATACCCGCGGGAACAACAAACACACATTCTGTCTCCATCAACAGCCATCACCAACTCCATCAAACCCAGCAATGACAAACCAAACCGTTTCTCAATCTCCACGGGGTAAATCACCCGAATCAAGATTTACATTTTACCCCATGGGCAACCGACTTAGTGACACCTCGTTTCAATCTCCTATAAGATCAGGGTCCCCCTTCGACCCCAAGCTTTCCCCAATCACTAGTCCAGTCCAGACCAAGCATCCAAAGCTTAAAGAGTCAAGACCACCCAGACAAGCCAACTCATATCTTTCCCCTCTCTCAGTTTCAGCAAACACATCACAATGGCTGGAGGCGTTGTCAAGAAGCCCGTTAACATCTTCAAGCTGGGCGATGTCGGTGAGCCAAAGGGCGTCTTTAACTGGCGACTATGGTTTGCCGTCTTTGCTTTCGGCCTCATGGGTGCAGCCCGCGGTATTGATGAGGGTCTTATCTCGGGTGCTTTCAAGTCAAAGGACTTCAAAGAATACATTCACTTTGAGGACTACTCAACTGTCCAACAGGCCAACATCAAGGCTAATGTTTCGGCCATGGTTCAGATTGGTTGTGTTGGAGGCGCATTGATGTAAGTACTAGTCATTTGCAATCTACGATTATATCCACTGACTCTTTTACTCTAGTGCTTTCCTCATCTGCGATAAAATCGGACGTATCTGGGCTACTCGACAGCTCTGCATTGTTTGGATCGTCGGAATCGTCATCTTCATGGCCAACGGTGGCAGTCTCGGCGCCGTCTACGCCGGTCGTTTCATCGCAGGTCTCGGAGTTGGTCAAACAGCCGTCGTCGGTCCCGTCTATCTCGCCGAAATCGCCCCAACAGCTGTTCGTGGTCTCTGCACTTGTGTCTTCTCCGGTTTCGTCTACCTCGGCATCGTCTTGGCTTACTTTGCCAACTACGGCTGCTCTCTTCACATGGGCGACAACACTCACGCCCGCTGGCTCGTTCCTACCAGCCTTCACATCATGTTTGCAGGCTTGATTCTGATTCTTAGCTTCTTCGTCGACGAGTCTCCTCGCTTCCTCATCAAGAAGGGTCAGACCGAAAAGGCCACTGCTGTTATGGCCCGCCTCCGACAACAAGATCCCGAGTCCGATTACATTACCCGCGAAATCACCGCCATTCAGCTGGCACACGAACACGAGCTTGAGAGCGTCAACAGCTCATTCCTCGGTACATGCAAGGAGCTTTTCCTCAACAGCAGCAATCTTTACCGTCTTTATCTCGCCAGCATGGTTCAAGTTCTTGCACAATGGTCCGGTGCTGGTTCTATCACCCTCTACGCGCCTGATCTCTTCGCCCTTCTCGGCATCAAGGGTTCCGAGACTGGTCTGCTTGTTACAGCCCTCTTCGGTATTGTCAAGCTTATTTCAGCCATTACCTGCGCTCTGTTCCTTGTCGACGTTATTGGCCGAAAGCGTGCTCTCATTGGAGGCATTGCCCTGCAAGCTCTTGCTATGATCTATGTTGGCTCATTCCTCACTGCTGTGCCCGAGCCTCATAGCTCTTCCCCTGCTGCTCGTGGTGCTATGGCTATGATCTACATCTCTGGCATTGGCTGGGCTCTTGGTTGGAACACCATGTCCTACATTCTTACCGCCGAGTTGTTCCCCCTCCGTGTCCGAGCTTTCGGTACTTCTTTCGCCATGACTCTGCATTTCCTCTGCCAATACGGTAGTAGCCGAGCCACCCCTAACATGCTTTTGCCATCGTCCGAAGGTGGAATCAACCCCAATGGCACATTCTGGACCTACGCTGCTATTCTGATTGTTGGTGGTATCTGGGTTGTTGTTTCAGTCCCTGAGACTGCTGGTCGTTCTCTTGAGAGCATGGATAGACTCTTTGACCTTCCCTGGTACAAGATCGGTCTGTTCGGCAACCGTGACGCTGAGCAGCAGGATGCTGTGTACGACGAGAAGGAGAGTGTTGCTATGAATACTCAGGGACAGGTTGTTTATGTTGAGAACAAGTCCAGAGAGGTTGTATAATTTACTGGAATGGAGTTTGGGATCTTACGAATTTGACATGAAGGAAAGCGATTTGGTTCTTGCATGATATTATATCTTACAACGCATACTGTTCAAACTGGCACTTTTCACTCCGCATCTGACCTTGTCTGTGATATTCACTTGCTTAACCCGTAGTCTCTATGAAATTGTCGTCAATCCCTACCCTTGGATCTGACCAAAAGGATATGAGAGGGGCTCCCTTTTGGTGGTCAGATCCACAGGTAGAGGCTTTCAAGAGTTTGAGGCACTATGACTAGCTGCTTCGGCCCTAGCTTTTAGATCCTATCAGTCATATTGAGCCTAGCACTAACTTGTTTTCGCTTACCGATATTTGTATGGGTTTGATAGTCATTTTCACTATCATTTACACTTTGGATGATTGGATCAGAGTGAGACAAGCATGAATCTATTCACAAGCTTACTCCGCAGTAACTACATTCGTTCGATCAGAGCTAGTAATCCATTGCATAGTCCAGGACCTCAGCATACACCAAGTTACCCATAGATAAATTATTCCTGCTCTTCTAAATAAATCTTGTCCTCTAACACCTTGTTGCAAAGGGTTCTGTATTCAGCCTCGTGAAAGTAGACAATTAGATAAGACTGATCCTTATCCCACGAGATATCAGTCCATATGTATCTAGAACCTGCAGGAATGACACCGTTCTCATCGCGGCCATCTTCCTCGATCGACATAAGCCGCCGACGGGCTAACAAGCTGGCCCTGGTCTCCCACCCTCCCATGGTAGATGTCATCTTTTCGAAGAGGTTAAAAGAATCCAATCTGACTACCTTGTTCCTGCACTTTTGCGATACAAAGTTGAGGACAGGAAGAACGTAGATGTCTAAAACAGTCTCGATTCGCGTGAATGGACCCGAAGTACCCTCGATAGAGTGCATCATTCCCATGATATCGGCAAAGACGTTATCGTACTTATCGTACTCTGTCTCCATAGGATCAAGACAACAGTTCAGGAGGATGTAGACTACCTTTAGTCCAACGTGAAATATCCTGGTTGTGTTTTTAGCAACCGTGCTTGTTTCAACATCCAGTCTCTCGACAATGACACCTTCCCATTGGTGAAGCTGTTTGAGGAACATATCTCGGCGTGCCATCAAAGACGCTCTGTGAAATGTATCGCAGTACGAGCGATCCTGCAAGATCTTGAAGACAAATATTACGGCGCGAGTAATGAAACTATTCCACATAGCGGCAAATTCATTGAAGCCGGTTTTTGCTGAAGGGACCGTGCAAGGTATCGCCTGTGTGGAAAAGCGCGACCAGCAGTCTCTCTGCAAAGGAAAGAAGCAGGAGTTCAGACTAAAGAAGACTTGCAAACGGGGAAGAATCCGCTCAGCTTGGTCCAACCCCCCATCATCGGAGATTGCGGTGAAGATAGGTTCCGGCTGCGGCTCGAACCCTTCATTGACCTCTTCTGCCAGTTGATCCTTTTGCTGTCGTAATAGCTCAACGCTGCTTGTGAGCATACGATCAGCTGTTGCGGTATTCCCGTGCATCAGTTCGAAGAGAAACAAGATGAACATGTTTATGAGAGTATTGCGCCTGGAAACGGTGGCGAAATTGGACTTGATTCGGGCTTGTAAGGAAGAAATCGCCTTTACGTGGTAATGCAAAGCGATGCGATACGCTGGGTCTCTGGATACTCTAGAGAGTTCTGAGAAAGGCTTCAGACCAGTATATGGCCTTGGACCAAGACGGTAAAGAGATTGCATGAGTGCCCCAACACTCAATACAGAGAACTTCACACAGTCATCGCTCATAGCTTCTCGTGGTATGACCTTGTTCCAGAAAAGGGTGCAAGGGGTATAGCCAAAGTCATGGGCCATTTGATAACGGAAGAGATCGAAGTAGGGTACTTCATGGGGCTCTAGGCTGGAAGACCTAGGCAGAATCAGAAGGGGATAAACCGGGAAGATTTCATGGCTCGCAGGCCCCTGCTTTGGTAAAAGGAGCTTTTCTTGAGTGGGAGGCTGTCTCGTGATTTTTCCGGCCTCAATGTATTCACAGGATCGCTGAGACCTTTGACATCGACTGCATGTTGGTTTTGCCTCGTCACATCTCAAGTGCATTCGTTTACACTGATAAGGTCAGCAAAGTGCTCCCAGGCACACCAGTGCTAGAGCATCCCCTGTCTAAACGCAATCATAGGGATAGCTTACTGACAAACAACCACTGCGGCTCTTGGGTGCACTAGAACGTTTAGGCTTGCCCAGTTGGAGAGTGTTTATGAGTGCGTTGGCGGGAATCATGGTTCGGCCGACGGCTGCGCCTCATATATACTTGCTTATAGTGGAATAAGAGGCGGAGCTGACTGTTAGATCATATGTTTTCCTCAGTTCTGTGGTTCAGAAAATGAGGGTGACAGGGTTGAGAAACAGCAAAGGTCAGCCCTACCAGGAGCCAGCGATCAGATGCAGGTTTACCTGTATGACAAAGCACTCCACTTCTCCAATGTATTCCAAACCACTGTCATAGATGATTGGCTGATGAATACGATTACTCTATAAGGCCTAGCTCCCTTGATTCCTCCGCCATTTGTAGGGATCGACATTGCTCGAGCAGCCAATCGCTTTGAGCAGCTAGCGAAGCGGTGGCACTGAGGAAAATACACTATTCTCAATTAGGTTCTGTTCTGTGAAGAGGGCACAGAATTGCATCTGGTATAAAAATCACAAGCTCTGAAATGAGGAGAGGTACTATACCCTCCTTATTTATGGAGAAGACTGGCTCTGAAAGATCTTGGGTGGCTTTCTTATCTACCCCAGAATGAGACCAATTATCCCCCTCTACAGTGAAGCCTCCAGCCCCAAGCCCTCGTCAAGGATACTTCCCCCTAAAGGAAAGAAGGCTGTACGGCGTTGGGAACGTACTGGAAAACCCAAGTCCCGATCGGGCTGCGGGACTTGCAAGATCCGAAGGGTCAAATGTGACGGTAAGGTCATTCGATATCTGGCCCTTGAGCAGGTTTCTAATCATATGAGTATAACTACAGAAGCTAGACCAATATGCGTTCGATGTGCTAAGGGAAGATTCGATTGCGACGGTTACAACAGCGACACGACCAGAGAAGCGAGCGACTCAAATGGATTATCAAGTGGCACTGAGAGTTCAATTAGCGACGTGTCCGCGTCACCTAGAGCCCCTGGAACCCCCGCAACAACTCTAGACCTGACCCCAAGTCCTGGGTTAAACCACTCGGAATCCTGTACATGGCATGCACCTACTTCATCGTTCGATCTGTACATATCGGCCTACACCCCCGTCTATATGGAACACTTTAGCCAAAATGCTAATCTCGGCAATGCACTATTCATCTATAGCGAACCTTTTTCCAGCATCTTGCTTCAAGAGACCCTTCAAGATGAGTGTATACAAAAGGCAGTACTGGCCCTTGGGGCGCTCTTTCACAGTGGCTTTATCTTAAGCCAGAATGATGTACAAATAGAGATCGCCAATCACCACAGGCTCCAATCTCTTCAGCTCTACAACGTTGCACTGAACACTTTCCGAAAGCGCATGCAGAATCTGACCGGTACTACGTCCCGATGGATAGCTCTCATGACCCCACTGCTAGCCATGTATGAGTTGCTCCAGGGTGACTTCGACGCTGCAGATAAACTTCTTAGTAGCACGATTGAAGGACTCCGTTCTTCAGGATATATCTCGCACACTTCGACCAGCGAGAGCTCTGGTATGTTTTCTTATACAAGTCTGCAGCTTGTCGGAGATGCATTACCTCTATTCACGATGACAAGTAAACAACGCTGCCATGCGGAACTCCAGTGTGATTCTGCGGTATTTCTCCACTCAGATCTGCTTGCCACCGTTGTCACTGAAGATGCAAGCTTCGACGAGGAGTGTTATTGAGATATGCTGCATGACATATCGAGTCTGGATAATGATTACAGCTGGATGGGCTGATGTCGGCATTCGTACTGCGAAAAACCAGACAGAAGCTGATACTCATATTGCAGCATAAATTGAGCATAGCGTTGGACGGAGGTCACGAACAACAGAAAGAGAAGAGCTGTAATGTTGGAGATGGATACTGAGAGCTCAACCAGAAGTACGATTTGGATAGTAATGTAAATAATTTTCAACACGATAGATTATAGGAAAAGAATGCAGCACTGGCTATATAGGAAGTTCTCATGTTAGATTCCGATGAATAAATCATTTCCTCAATCGCGACAAATCGCAACCATACTATTTCAGCGACGTAACCTCAAGCACTGCATTGACAAACGCACTAGGCTTCTCCTGGGGAAGATTATGCCCCGCACCAGGAACTTGATGGTGTACACGTGGACCACTGAAGTACTTCGCTGAAGAAGACCCGTTCGTCGGCGGAAAGTTGCCATCTGCAAGTCCATCCAATGTTACCGTTGGGACTAAGATAACAGGCTGCTTCAGAAGCGCTTTCTCAATGTCGCTGTAATCTGGATCGCCTGGAGCATACAACAGGCGATGTCTGTAGACATGAGTAACAATGCCGACATAGTCCGGATTGACAAAAGTCTCAGCAGCTCGATCGAGGTCTGCTTCGGTGTAGTTCCATTCAGGGGAGTTCCTGTCCCAAACAACTCTGGCTATATCTTTCGGGTGTTCTGCCAAAGCTGCTTGTCCACGAGGCGTTAAGAAGTAGTAGAAGTACCAAAATCCCGCTTCAATCTTTGCGTCGAGTGGAACCCAGGCTTTCGATAGGTCTTGGATCAGGTAACTGTTGACCGAAACCAGGCCGGCGCAGCGTTCAGGCCACAGAGCTGCTGCAACACAAGCACCGCGTCCGCCCCAGTCGTAACCAGCAAAGATGGCCTTTTTGATCTTTAGAGAATCTAGCAATTCAATGATGTCGTAGCCTAGAGCTGCTTGCTGACCGGAGCGGAATGTATCTGTGTGCAGAAACGTGGTAGGTCCGTTACCGCGTAGATATGGGACAATAACACGGTATCCTTGTTTCACAAGAGCTGGGGCAACTTCTGTGTAGCTGTGAATGTCGTAGGGCCAGCCGTGGAGAAGGAGAACGACCTGCGCATCTGGAGAACCGTCTTCATAGTATGCAACTTGAAGTCTGGTAGTGTTTACATACGACAGTGGCTTAAGTCCGGATAGGCGCCCGGTACGACTGCTTAGGTGTTTGGAGGAGTGCTCTTTGCCAGGTGAAAGGTCAGGTGGCTGCAAGCTAAGAGTATGAGCTATGAAAGCAGCCAGAATGAAGATGAGAGAAATGATCATGGCGCACTTAGTTGAGAGAGATGCCTGGCCGCATACATGATCCACGGTGAGAATCGGCTTTTTGAAGAAAATGACATTGATGGCCGACCAATGATAAGGTCGACCCCGTATAAGTGAACTTCGTAAACCAGTATTCCATCGTAAATCCTCTAAGTGTCGCAAGTGGCCTGGAACACGTCTTATGTGAGATATATCCCGCGTTCGACATTGGCTTTTGATTTGAAAACGTGTTTTAGTTGACTATTGACTCTTCTTTCTGTATTAGTATTGGTAAACGAAAACTAATTATATAATGTAATTCTATTACTATGCTACTAATTTAAGTACATCTTGCATTACGATTTGCTTTCTAACCTATTATAATGCTTTATTTATATAATAAACCTACTTTTCTATTTTAGGTTTACTATAAGGAAATATATACTTAGCCTAACTCTTTACTAGTAAGGGGAAAACCTTTAGGTAATAATCCTTTTTTTATTATATATTAAACTAGGTTATAATAAGAATAACTTTCCTAATAGACTTACTTTTTTAAGCCTTTTTATTAGCTAGCTAACTTTTTATATTAATATTATAATTTTTAAGTTAATTTAGGTATAAGCTAGGGTAATTATTAGTAATTAGACCCTAATTTTAGCTTTTTAAGGTTAAGGGCTACAGGGTTTAAACCTACTACCTTTAGCTATTAGAAAGGTAATCTGTGTATTTTCCTTATTATTCCCTTTTTTAGAAAGAGGGAAAGTTCTATATCTATATCCCTTAGCTTACTAATAACTAGCCAAGGTATTACCTAAGTATATATAATTATTTTATTATTCTAATTTAATACCCTTTTTTAGTATATAAAAATTAATAATATTATATACTAGTTCCTTTATAGTAAGTATTATACTAGATATATTTTTACTAAGATATTACTAGAAGATTAGTAAAGGTAATCTGTACTTAAGTTGCCTTAATAACCGATTTTTATATATTTTTATATTTTTATTTTATTACTTTAAAATATTTTAGCTCTTATTAAGCTTTTACTGCTACCTTATTTAGTTTTAATTAAAGTTATTTACTAATTTTTCTTATTATAATATCTAAATAATTTCCTTATTATATCTTATATTACTTT